TAATCAGCTTATTATGCAGCTTATCTCTGCTTGATAACAGTTGACTCAATTATTTGAGCAAAATTTAGACAATTCAAACTTATTTTCAAATAAATCATATTAATTTATCGTGTTAGTAAATCGTAAATCATGTTAGTGAATCGTATAATTTTATTGTACAAGCAAATTTTAAAAATAAATCTCCAAGAGTCTTGCCATAGGCAAAACGAATTATTCATTTATTGCCACCCATTAGTGACACTGTCAATTATTGAAAATGCATTCGATTCAAATAAATCGACAAAATGATATAATTTAAATATTCTTTAAAAGAAAAAAAATAAACCGAAGTTATTTTCAATGCACAATTCTATCTTATGAAATCAAAGAGATTGGAAATTTTCAATTTTACACAGTTGGTATTATACATAAATGTTTACAAAAAGTATTTACTTCTTCGATAATAGCCAATCGGACCATAAATGTTGTTTTTGTCCACCTTTACTATTACTTATCCGTTGCTTTAATTTGCTTCGTTGTATAATAACAAAGATAAAACGAAATATAGTTAATGAAATATATTGCCGCACTTTAACCTTTAATGTATAAGCAATTACTGAAGCTATAATATTTGTGACACAATAGTCATAGATGATAATGATAAATTATACGACATACCCATTATGGATAGGTCAATATCTACAGCCAACCCATTGATCAATATCATTACTGATATAAATCATTGAATACATAACTTTTGATCGCTTGAATAGATAAATCTATCCTAACCAATCACCGCCGCATGTTAAAGGGAATGTTAAAAAGTCCAAGGATAGAGTAATGCAAATATTTAACAAAGTAAGAAAGAGGAAGAGATGAATAAACTTGAATTTTTTTTGTCGTATTAATCATTTCCAGCTAATTTTAAATGTACGAATTCATTCCGATAAGTATACTAAAACTTAGATTGTTAAAGTATAGAGATAAGATAGATTTAGAGAGAGAGAAGGAGAGAGAGAGAGAGGGAGAGAGAGAACAATAAAATGAACATGAAAACTGAAGATGAAATTTATCACAAAGCATTATATGATATAATCAAATATTTTCATTAAAAACTTCATCAACAGAAGTTTTAGCTAATAAAAATATATTTCTAGAAAACAAAAGAAAAAATGGAACGTTAATTAAAGAGAATTAGTGATAAAAAGTGACAGCATTTCTTTCATTTCATTAATTCTAATAGAAAAAATGACAGAGCTCTCTCTCCCTCTCTCTGCAACGATATTGAAAAGAATGATATTGGTAGCAGTTTGAAAAATTGTACAAATCAGAATCTCAAAAAGAATTAATTCCTTTTGATGTAAAAATATTTTAAAAAAGTAAAAAGTTGTATATATTTAAAAAAGCAATCAAAAAATATATATTTGTATTTACTTCGAAACAATTATAACCTGTAAGTAATTTCTTTTTAGTTAAGATAAATTAAAACTTAACAAAACTGTAGCATAATTTTAGTTGACAAGTTTCAATAAAATAAATGAAAAGAAAAGAAAAGACTGTAACAAAGCAAGTTGTGGTAACGTTTGCATATAATAGTTGCAGTAAGCTAAAATGAGACAGCTAAAATGAAAAATGATATTGGAATTAAGTATTTTGATATTACGTGTAATAATTATGGATTTAAGTATTTGAAGGAATGCTCGCTAAAGTCTTAAATTTAATTAAAATATAGGAAAACAGCCAGTATGTATGACAGATTTCTGGAATTGTTTTCTTCAAATTGAATTTAATTCTCTTCAGCCTATAATTTCGTTCGATTATTAATGAATAAAACTGTGATATGCATAAAATCAAAAAGTTCAACTGACAACAAACTTCTATATTTCAACCATATATACATTACTAGCTTATTTTGTAATAGCTCATTACAACTTTGCAGTTTACTTAGCTTATTAATAAATAACAAACTACATATTATTAGAAAGCAGGGTAAACTTTGATTTATACTGCCTTATAGAAAGAATTTCAACAATAAAAAAGTATTTCATTAATTGTTTTTATTCAATTAGCACAGATCTTAATGATTGGTTGAATTAAGAATATTTTTAAATTCTTTTATACTAAAAATGATGCAAATGGCATAGTTTTAATTTAATCGGTTTAAAAAAAGATAAAGAATTGGAAAGGGAAGAAAATCGATTGCCAAAAATTAATGCCATTTCAATAATTTATAAAATCATTTCACATTACAGCTGCGGTGATTAAAGGTAAATTTAAAGTGAAAAATAAGACAAATAGAAAAATTAAACAAACAGAAAAATTAAACAAATCGAAGAGATGGAAAGATGCTTTCGGTGGAATGTAAAAAATGTAGGCGTAAAATATACATTCAGTATTTTAGATTACATTTACTATAGCTATGTCTAGAGATGATTAGATGATAAGAAATGAAGGAAATAAGAAAGGATATTAATTTTATCAATTTGATCAGAAAGTTTTTTGCTTTGTAATGTTTAAGTTTTTTGATGTTTTCATTTTTTATCTAAATTCCTTTAAAATACTTCACTTTAATTATGTTAAATTTCAAGAGATTTTAAGAATGTATAAAATGAAAAAATTTGCAATGAATAGCTTTACAGAAGACTTTAATAAAAATAAAGTAGAAGGAATGAGCTGATAGATGATAAGCTGATAACAACGAACAGAAAGGTATTGTGAAAAAACGAGACGAAAAGATAAGCAAATGAACAACTCGCACTTTTCTCTGATAAATTGTTAACATATATATATATATATATATATATATATACAATATATTTCAATGATGATTACGATTGACTATTTGCGCCTATCATATATCATTAATTTTTGACTTTAAGAGTACATAATGAAAATTATTCAGGAATAGAAGTCCATTAAGTTCAAAAAATAAGTTTGTTCAATAAGTTTAGGCAGTCGTGCTAATAAATATCGGAAAGATAAGTTTCTTTTTTATATCTCATAAACGAGAAATATTTGAATAAATGATTGTTTGCTAAAAATTGTTTATACTATCATTTCGAAACTTTTCTCGAAAGGAAAAATAAGAAGTTCACTTACTTTTGCTCATTTCAAATATATAATTGAAGTATGCACCGAATTGCAGTAAGCAATGTTTGTAGCTTATAAATTTCACTTAAGACATCTCTTCCATACGTATTATTTCAACTGTTATAATAGTAAGCTATAAGTAGTTGATTAAGTAAAAATTGTTCGTTCTTTCTTAGTACACTGTCTTCTGATGAAAATGCGCTTTTTTCCTAAGGGAATTTGGAAAATTTTTAACCTAAAATAACCATTCAACAATTCTCGCAATATCAGAAAAATTTATTGATGGACTTAGATTTTCCGGAAAAATCATCCTATGAAGAATCCATCAAAAAATGAATTGAAATTTCGGAGAAGTAAAGAGTGATTAGCATGTAAGGAATAATCAACATATGGTGGAAAGAAAAATTTCCCGCATGAAGGAATCCAACAATTTGAAAGATCCAAATTGTAATACCGAAAAAGTTAATCATTTGTTCGTAACGCTTCAAATTTTACAACAATTATCCTATATAACTTCAATACCTTTCTAAAGCTTTTAAATCAAGCACAGGTATGAATAACGGATGCTACCACAAGCATATCACAAAAAACCGCTTCCCTTATCTCAAGACCTTAACATTTATCACTGATGAAAAATGAGGTTTGAAGTGATCCACAAAATGATAAATCTTTCATTTCGTAAAAGTTTGAAGATAAATAAACTCATAGATTATTCCATTTGAACAAAAATTAAAATGATAAAGTAAAATGAATTGAAAGTAATAATTTTCAGCTTAAAAGTAAACAATTTCATTCATTTTTTAGCATTTAAAATAATAAACAAAATTAATTAAATTAATTTATTTTTTCTTCAAACTTTTGAATTAATTTTGTTTTTATTACTTTAAATACTAAAAATCAAAAAATTATATCGAAAGAAGGGAATTAAAGAATTTTTGATGTTATGTGAATATTCCGATGTTTGTTAATTAATTTTTATCTTTTTCTGTTATCTCTCTCAATTCCTACAATTTACTCTTTCTCTAATATTTTTCAAATTTCGAAGTTTCAATTTCATTGATAGTTCCAAAGCTTAGCAATTTATATGAATTTTATCATAAGAAAATGCATAGTTATATCAAATTTTGCTAAAGTGCGAAGATTCGTTCTATGCTAATCTCTTGGAATTTTACAGTATGCAATTATTAATTTAAAAAATAAAACAATATATAAAAAGACGAAGGTATAAATTTTAGTTAAAATATATCGTCGATTTGTATAAATGAATAATTCAAATGAATCATATTCCTTAAATCACCGATCTAATCATATCAATTTATGCAAAAGTAAAAATCTGAGTATAACTCGTGTAATTAATTAACAGAGTGCAATTATTTGATAGATTGCTTTAATTGGATAAATAATACTTGCTTTAGATTACTTAATCAGTTGGATGAAGGGATGCTATAATTGTTACTTTAACAATTGATTTTAATTTGAAGAATATTATTGAGACTAAATAAAACTTAACTGATATATTAACCATATGAAAGATATTCTTTTAGTAAAAAGTTGCAAGTACTTCCTAAATAGACTCAAATGACATTTTTATATACTATTTATTAAATTTAAGATTAAAACAGCGTTAGAATATGTTAATAAATTAGATAGATTATTTAATGGAATAAAATGCTATGTATCAAAACTTTTCATTTTTATTTGACCTGTTGATAATATTCTCAAACATTCACTTCTTAGACAACATAAGTTAAACAGTTATGATAAACGGTATATCTAATAAGTCATGTCAAAAAAAAATGTAAATACAATATTGTCAAATGATCTCTTCTGATATTGGCATGGCATGAGGTTGTGAATGGAAATGTAAGTTTTTAAAATAGCGCTATCTGATTCAATGTATTGTTTGTATCTTTTTTTCCTTTCAAATACTATCAATAAATTGTTATAAAAGATATATCTCTCACAATCAAATCGTCGCAATATTGCCGTAATCGTGTTAGCACAAAAGCTTGTTGGAGAAATGTCGTTGTCATTGGTGATTTTAGTTGTGATGATTGTCGTGCTAGTGACTGAGATGACGGTAATGATGAATTTTCATTATTATCACAATTTGCGGTCAATGAAGGCTCACGTACTTTTATAATACATGCCCTGGAGTGTATACTTCGTTGCACAACATAATACATTACTTCACTTTCGTTTTTGTCCAATATGGTCGATTGAAAAAAAAAATTATGAGAAAAGATTTGAAAACATAGAATCACAATTATCAGCTTTCAAGGCTTTTTGTTTCACTTCAATAGAAAGCGAAAAGTAATAAAAGTAATTTGTTGTAACAGAAGAGTAAATATTTATCATCGTAAGGAATATATGTCGAGATTTGATAGTAAATAAATGACAAATGAGTGTCATTAGATAACGTTAAGCAGTGAAACATCCAACAATCGATACAATGAAAGATCCCAACCATCAAGCTTATTTAGATGTAAGAAATCTGAAAATCAAAGACAAATTTGAGCTTTGAATGTTAAAGCAAAATATCGCTTAAAATTGAATTTTTCATATTTGTTTTATGAGCTTTGATAGAAACCGTTGATGAATGATAATAAAACAAATAATAAATGATAATGATAAGCAATGATAGTAAATTAGGAAGTAAATAATTGTCTAAGGTAATTGTTAATTGGTGCAGTTATCCAAATTGCATAAAGATTGGGTGTAAGTAAAAAATGAAAGATATTTACCTCGTACCATTTGAAAGATTCAAATTTCATGTATTATAAGAGCTGCATGTTTTAATTTAAAAAAAAAAGAAATTGCATAATGGGTATAATAAGTGGGAACTAACCAATAAATAAGCTAATTTACTAGGATTTATGAATTTGTACTCGTTGTGCAGATAGGCTGTAAGTCGAGGAGCCAAATTTAGATTTCAGAAAGTTCATGAGGTCAAACATTTCTTTATTTACCTTAAGATCAAGGTCAATGTTAAGCATTCATCATTACTTCTAGTTTCCGCTGCGCTTTCTTTTTATGTCTACTTAAAATCATTCTCTTTCCCTAGGAATATATATGCACATTGAATAATTATATATCTAACGCAAAAATATTTTACTTTCATCAATATCAGCTAAGGATTTCGCTTTTAGGTAATATCAATGCTAAAAAAAATGGCTAATCTTCTGACCTTTGACACATACTTGATCTAGAAGTATTTTTGATTTTCACGATGATTTTATGAAAAATATAAAACTTTATGAAATGAAATATTACTGTTTATAACGAGAATTTCTGTTTTGGTAATTAAAAATATATTAAGATATTCTTAATCACAGATATATTTTTGGTAATCAAGGATGTAATCCTAATCAAGATATATTTTTGGTAATCAAAGATGTATAAAGGTAATCAGGAATATATTTCCTTAATTGTCAAAAATTGTGTCTGCTAAACCCATCAATCCGAAGAGATTACTAGTTCTGGGGAAGTGATAAATTAGATTAATTTAATAAGTTCAAAGAAAATTATATAGATGTAGCATAGTAAAGTTCTTGAAAGACAATAAGTTTAGCTATAGCTATGTAATGAGAATACCTGAACTTATTAAGGTATGCACTTGTATAGGAATATTTTGCATAATTTATGTGTTCTACGGAAAATTCCAGGAGTCACAAAGTTCAGTTGGTAAATATAATGTGGGGAATATATTGTGGTGTTAGTCTCATAGCATCGATATTTTTTTAAACAAGGTTACAAGTAATGCTCAGTTAGTCGATGTATATGGATAATGAGAATTTTACTCTTTAAAATCAACTCTTCTATGCTAAAAATTGAAGGGTGATGAGCTTTGATTATCAGAAAGAAATAGAACTTTAATTATCAAAAAAAGGTTATAGGTAATCTTGTCCTCTTTCCTGTTATCAAACAAAATTCGTTATAAAATTCATAATTAATTCTGAATAAATCTTATTTCCTTTGACCATTGTCCCTTCTCTTTTGCCGTAGGTAAAGTAATCGTATTTCTAAAGTAATTTTAGTAAGATTTTGTGTTGGCAATTTCAAATTTAGAATAAATTAGCTAATATTTAATTGGTTGAAAGTTTGAAAATTTTTTGAAAAATAAATTTCTAAAAACATTAAAGTTATTTAGTTCATATGAATTTTTCTTCTGTCAAAAAAGGAGAGATGAAGCGGTAATATTTAAAAAGAGTTTTTGTTTTAATAGAATAATGGAAGTGTCAACAAAGAGATGACAGTAAACTTTGAAGTTATTCCTTTTTTTAATGTGTACCTTAAAGGGTTCATGGAAACTAAAAGAGATATTATTGAGTTGCGCCGAGCAATGACCCAAATTTTGTTGAGTAAAATCAACATTAAACGAGTTGGGTGATTTCCTCAACTTCAATCCTTTTAATTTCAATGCCAAAATTACCTATTTTTTCTTAAATAAAAATCTAAATATTATTGTCAATTCTAAATTTATACATAAGAAGAGTTTACTGCCTATTATTTTATCAATTAAAATTGATAAAATTCAGCCTACCTGTTGCATATGGCCTGATATTTCTATATGATTTGTGCACTAAAATTACATCAATGAAGTTAGTTTCAATATATTTGTACTGTACTTTAATAAATATCAGCTACTGTTATATCTGTTTCATTTCCACTTCGGAAAGTTATTCGGTTTTCATACTACCTAATTCATGAACTGAAAACTCAATGAAGAACGGAAAATCATTTCCTGTCCATCTTTTATAAAAATTCCGATTACATTGGAAGAGTCGACCAAAAATTCGAGTTGAAAATGAAACTCAAATAAATAAAAATAAATTAATTTAAAATAAAAAAAAATCGAAATGAAATTAAAACAAAGATACAGAAATACTAGCAACAACTAAAATGACAAATGTTAAATAGCTAATTATTTTATTTAAAGTAAACAATGCTTAACGTAATTATCATATTGATATAATGTATAATAGAGTGATGTATACCTACTTGTATGCGGATTAATATTGATACCATTTGATAATACATTAACATTAGATAGTATTATTTGTTAGATCAACAATTGAATAAATCTGATCAATATTTGATCAATTATTGATCATATCTGATCATTCATTAATGCTTTCGTATTGAAAAATAAAGGAAAGAATAATTGTCTAACAAACAATAAAATCAAATTTTATCATTTCTTATTAGCATAAAAAATAAAATGAAAAAAGCTGAATTATAATACAATTGCTTGAAAATGGTTGAATAAACTGACGAACCAAAAATTTTAGTGAAACCCAAAATTGAGTTCCTCTCTTTACAATTGTAAATAATCCCAATAATATAGCAAATAAAACAGAGAGAGAGAGGAAGAGAAAAAAATTTTAATTGTTTGTTAATTTGTGACGAGACATTTAAAAAAGATTAGTCAGACTACAACAAAAATCATCATTATGCATAAACAAATTTATATATATATATATGTATCACAAAGGACTTTCACCCATATATCGTTATTAACAACAACGAATACCTACTTATCTTATTATTATTCCGTTATTTAATTTCATCAATCGTCCCAAATCATTACAATTATCGACGATATCATAAAAAAAATAAATTGAACAGATCTTAATAAATGTATTTTGTAGCATCTAAAAACTCTGATCGCTATTACTGTCATCAAACAATTTTATTCGTAACATATTTTATTATTGCCACCAATCAATGGCAATAATATTACGATGAATGATAAAACTGTCCTTCAAATTTTAAATTACCTTCTTTTTTTAAGTATTGTGTCAGCATTGAATACATGTCTTACCTCATTTTGCTTTATCTAGCATACTGTTCTCTCTTATTTTGAAATATTCATTTCTAAAGTTGTATTTTGAATTTTCATTAATTTTCCCACTATTACTTTCAATCAATTAATTAGTACACTTAAATTAAAATTAAATTTTCTGAATTAAATTCCACAATTTATATCGTATTAAAAAAATGCACACTTACATACATTATATAGTTTATGTATATATATTGAAGCTTATGGAACAAAACTTATGATTAGATATTTACTCGAATACTCATTACTTTATATTATGCGGAAATAGTAGAACGTATGAGGAAAAAAATTCAAGAAATTATAGTAATAAGACGACAGAACAGATTGTAAATAGAAGGAAAACAGGAAAGTCATTAATTGAAGGGCAGAAGAAGAAAGAGAAATTTCTAAAATCTTCCAAGGTCAAGCTTATCGATTTGTAAATAATTTCTAAAATATCAGCAGTGGGATTTTGATAGTAATATCAGTATTAGATGAAAATAGAATACAAATATATTTACCGGAAATGGTGGTGGATTTGTGCTAAGTTAACCAGAACCGGATTAAAAAATCAGAAATGCGATTGTATCTAGAAATGAATGGGTAAATTTTGTTAAATGATTAATGATATAAATGAACATTTCAAAAAGACAATACAATTTAAATAAGAAATGCATTAAGAATTAAAAAATCTTATCTAGTTAATATTCAAAAACTGATATAAGATAAAAGCAAATTTAATTCTAATCAATCCAAAATGATTAAAACTCGAAAGCGAATATGAACAAAACTATCGTTGAAAGTAAGAATTCCTATATTCAAATTTCAAATAAATCTTCAAAATTTTAATTGAATAAGAGTTTAAACAATTGTTAATTAGAATATTAAAATTGGACATTTTATATGTTCAATATGGAATAATTACAATTTGTTAAGAGTAAAAGTACCATAATTTATGAGATTGGAAATTTTACTTCTTGGCAGTTTATTAACATTCTATTGCAGGTCCAATGCTATAGTGTCAGTTTATAACAATATGTCTAAACGGTTTTCAAATTAATATGAAAGGATGACTAATTAGATACCAAATTACGACTAAAGTTACAGTTATGAACCATAAATTAGCTTTGAATGTGATCTCAAAAAATTTCTCAAAAATTTTCAAAAACTTTCAAATTTGACAGTTGCAAGTGATGGAGAAAGTATCATTTATTACTCTCTTACTGGTTGTAATTAAGGTAATAACAGTCATTTTTTAGTTAATTTTAATATTAAAAAGAATATAATAAAAAGCTAACAAATTATCGCATTGTGCCAACAATCAAAAATACAAATTTTTATAAATTTTATAATATATTTCAGGATATCAGCACTTCTCAGATTTTTTAGAGATTAATTAAGATTAATTGATTAGAAATCCCTATATTTTCAGTATTGCAAAATTGAATTGAAATTAAATTCAAACAATGTAAGAGAGAATACAGTTGTTGATTTTTGAACAGTCAATAAATAACTATCAAACACGAATTTTACTTGATAATATACTCGTTAGCTAAGCTCGTCAATTTATACATTCTAATCATTGATAATATTAAGTATTTTAGCAAGAAAAAGAACTAATAATAGCCTCGGACGAAATTAATCAAATTAACATATTAAGTGAAGAGTATTTTACGACAAATATTAATCAATAATTCGAAGAAAGAATTATTGATTTGATTTGAATTTAAATAAAAATAATATAGTAAATTGAATATTTAATTTATTCCTAGAATTTAGATGAATGATACTTCCAGCCACTGTAATTTGTAAATTTAAGCATGGCAATAAGATAATGCGACAAAGAAAAGCTTGCACTATTTTCAACTTTGACCTTAGTCATAAAAAAAACTTCAATTCTGCAAAAATATTCAGTTATAAAGAAAACACCTTAAAAAGTTTATTTAAATATGCATGAAAGTCTAAAATTAATTTGCCATTTATATTTTCCTTTCCATGTCTTCAGTCCTGGCAATAATAAAGTTAATATTTACAAAATTATGCAAATTAATATTTAGTAAATTATATTTTAATTCAGTAGAATTGTTTTTCCTAAATTAAAAAATTAATTAAATGATTTTAGTGCTTTTATAGCGAATTTCAACCTAAATCTCGGTCATAAATACATGTTTACTTCAACAATGTTTCATTCATTTTGTTGCGTTTTTTCTTATCTCCACAAATATACAATTACAGAAATTATTTGCCTGTTTATACCAAATCAATTTCATTAGAAGTAATTTAATAATAAGCTGTAAGCAATTATTGCCAGCAAAAAATACTTCTCGAATATTTGACAAATCGGTAAAATTAATTTTCCGTAATTTTAACTAAAATTATTTTAAAATATTAAATAAATCAAAGAAACTATTTGAATGGATCAAATTTTGTCAGCTAAAAATTATTGAAAAAATTTTTTTCTTTTATTTTTCAAATTTTTTCAATCATCAGAAGAATCAAAAAATTAATACTATTTTTTTCTTATTAAAAATTTTAGGCCTAATTAATAAAAAACTTACTTCTAAAAAATTAAATTTTATGATTTAATATTTAAAGAATTTGCTCTTTAGAAATTTAAGTAAATTGATTTGATGTAATAGGGAAACAATTTCTGGAATGTTTACTCTTTAATCATAAAGTTGTAGAAATAAGAAAAGACTTCGGTGGGCCGAAATGCGATTCAAATTCCAATAGTTTATTGTTTAATATTTAAATATCATTTCAACATTTACATGCAATCCTTCAATTATCGAAGTGTCACTATCGTTAAATATCTTTTTACAAATAAAGAAATGCAATTTTCAATTCATGGTAAAGTGCAAACGGAAATTAAATTCCAATTGAAACTATCGAATTTGAGGCATTTAATCGTTCTTAAACAAATCTGATATTGCGAAAAGAAAATATACTGTTCAATTTCAAAGATATTATATATATTTTTATTTTGTTTCATGTTCATAAAAGATTGGCAATACATTGCCAAAATATGTTGTTGCAAAAAAATTTTTTTCAACTTTACTTATTGCAAAAAAAACATACATTATTACGCTGACTGTGATCGCTATCAGAGAAGAGTGAATTGTTGAGTGCTTCCACCAGTGATGATCGTTTACGAATGTAACCATCAATGCCATTCTGAAGATTTGAATAATTTTGATTACTTAAAATATATCGAAAATTATTTTTGTAAAAAACATTAGCAAATTTTATGCAGAAAATTAATTAACTAATGAAACAAATAAAAGACCAGGTAAGTTGGCGGTAGAATCATGAAATGAAGATTCTGTTGATTTGCCGCAGCAACAATAATTGGATTGTAGGAATGGATTCCGGTGAGAAATTGAGTTGAATAACAACGTTGTTCAACCTGATGCAAAATTTAACAATAGAATTTTGTTATTTAATTCAAAATTATAAACCACTGCTTGAAAAAGAAAAAGAAAATGCAAAGAGATAGAAATGAGAGATAAAAATGTAACTGCTTGATTGTAAACAATTAAATTTGATGGAAAAGCACTTTCATCGAGTAAATTCATTAGTAATTAATCATTAATTAGAACAACCAAAGACTATAGAATTGTTTTAAAAAGTGTGTTAAAAAGAAACGTTTCCACAATTCAATCAATTATGCATGTCTTTTTTAATATTTCAAAGCTAACTAAGATTTTAGAAACAAAGTTTAGCAAAAATTTTCAAATCAACTTTATTTTTACTTAACTTAGTTTGTCAGCTTGGTTTTGATTAAAATAATATATAAATAAGCGCATGTCTGAGAGTATCCATCCTTATGCAGGGGTGGTAATTAGAAATGTATAAAAAGTCAGAATTGATTGATAAATTAAGGAAAGAATGTATTGTTCAGTCAATATCGATATTTGCTAATATAATTAGATAGATTTTAATTATCACAACTAATGTACTATCAAATTAGCTTCAAATTTATTTCTCAAATTTCTAGAATTTCTTATAAATTGAAAAAGCTAATTCAATGTTAATAATATAATATGAAAAGAGGATGGACAAGTGACCAATTAGAGATAGCAGTAAGTATATTTATCCGGTAAGATGAAAACAAATTATATTCAAATTGTCTCATAAATGGCTATACACTGTATCTGTTATTTATTAACGGTGTCCATTATGTTTAGTCTTTTTCATCATACTTCAAACAACAAATTTGTCCTTCACTCACGTGCTTCTTCATCATTCCACCTCTAATATAAATCTTAGATACCTATTAATTCACATTTGCTCACAAAGTTAAATTTTAATTCACAAAGTTAAAAATTTGCTCACAAAGTTAAATTTTGATTCACAAAGTTAAATTTTAAAACTAAGACTTGAAGAAAATGTATATCTTATTACCAAAAGCAATTAACAAGTATCGAATCTAGTAATTATATTAGAATATGACAAGAGATATCTTTAAGAATATCTTTAAGCGTTTCTAAATTCCTTGAAATTTCTTACAAATTTAATCAGATATTATGGTAATATAAAATATTCGAAAATATGACAAGTAAATATCATTTAAACTAAAACTAGAGAATTAATAACTTACTTTTTGTGCAATATTACTGATTAATTAGTTGAAAATTGAGAAGTTTTAAAGTTAAATTTTAAAACTAAGACTTGAAGAAAATGTATATCTTATTACCAAAAGCAATTAACAAGTATCGAATCTAGTAATTATATTAGAATATGAGAATGAAACAGTTATTTTACTGAAACGGAATGAACAGCATTTCAATATATGAGCATTTCCTGTCATTTGCAAAAACATATTTGTGATTCCATTATTGTAAAAATTTGTGAACCTGATAAGACTATGATCTTCGATCGGTTCTAGAATCCGAATATTCTCGAAAGGAAATATATATAAGGAACTATATATTCTCAATTGTGATGCAAGATTTTACCTATGTAACCTTATTTCAGTGTACCATTCCTAAATTGTTCCATCGACTTAATCTCTCTCTCTCTCTCTCTCTCTGTCTCTCCCTCTATCGCATCTCACTTTCCACCTATTATCCTCTAATTTATTTCACTTTTTCAAACATTATTTATTTTTTAAAGATGAAAAGTAACGAATAGCTGTCAATAAAGTGTATTATTTTTATTAGCATTATTTTTAAAATTATTTTAATTTGGTCGATGGTTGCGTTGAAAAGTTTTATGTTTGATTTGTTGCGAATGTTTCTTTTTTGTTCTTATTATTATTGTTTACTTTAAATCATTGACTGTCATTTGATCTTCTTATTTATTGGGTCAACACTTCAAACTCCATTAATCGCAAATCATTCAATCGTATTCGTACCTAAATTTCGAATTTCTAAAGAAAGAATACCAAAAGAAGAAATGATTCCTCACTAGTAAGTCATTGTGATCGAATCGACTTAATAGTTTATTATTCTTTTAATATTTTCATCAATGCTAAAATATTCGTTAGAATTTCCTTTAAAAGGAATTATATGAAAGAATTCATATTTCAATACTTAAACGAAAAGTTAAATAAGAAATTGAGAATAATTTTTTTTTCCAAATAAAATTTTCTTCATATTTTTGAGTAGAATAAATAAATATTATCCTACACTAAAATGACAATATTTCTAATTTGTTTCTGATAAAAAAAGTAAATTTTTTCATACCGAATCAGTGCTAACAATCTTTTTGATCAAATAATGCATGAATAATGTATTCTTTGCTTGAGTTTGTGTATTTTGGTAATCTCTGTTGTAACGGGCCAAATGTCGAACTTCACGGGCGCTTTTGTCATTTAAAAATCGCCTTGAGTGACCCCCCATAAAAATGAAAAAATTTCGAGGCGTATAGTAATAATCTGACAATGTATGCTTCTCTAAAAACTGTTTCATCGATTTCAGCTTACAGCGTTGTGGTAATTTAAAATGAAAATCCCAAAATTTTGCAAGATAAACCCATATGAAGATGCACAGATAAGTTAAGTCATCAAAAACAATGATAAAAATGCAGAAATTTGCGAATATAATAAGAAGCATGAAGATAATACTCCATACAGAGATATCGGTAATTATCCAGAATGGATTTACATTAGCCAACATCATTCTTATATCTTGGCTACTAGCCTGTTGAATTTCCTCACCACAGAATTGACCACAACAAATACATGTATGATACAAGGTGCCATTATCTATCACCATATAATAACATAGATCAGAGTGTGTTCCAGTCCTTAAAAAAAATAGCAACAAATGTTGTGCATAGTTTTTTTGTCCTTTGAACTTTGGCCATCATTGCTGTTATGTTCTTTCTTGTTCTGATCCAATGTTGTTTTGTTGTAATTCTATCAAATCTAGTTTTATGATAATTTTTTAAGTGAATAGTAAACAATGAAATTTTGGATGCTTTTTCCTTGTTTCCTTTTTCCGCAAAAAATGGTTCAACTCATAGATTAATATAAATTTGCTTTTGCTGCTATGATTGTTTACAGAAAAATATAAAATTTGATAGTTTTGATCGTCTTTTCCTACTAATGACCTTTAGAAAGGTCACTGTCAATGCAAACATTATTAGGTGCTATTCAAGTATTATAACCGCATTATTTTAATGAAAATCTACAGCTCTCGTTTGTCAACAACTATCCATATTGCTAAACTGAACAAATAGATTTAAAATGGAAATGTCTCATTGGAATATTTTCATTGATTTTTACATTTTGCTAAAGATATTAAAAAAAGAATAAATTGTTAAATATAATTCGATCAAAAAGGGTATAATCAAAAAAAGAGTAGAAGAGGAAGTTCTATATGATTCCTATCGTAAATGTGAAAGTTTCTAGTGATAAGAATTAAAATTAATCATCATTTCACGTTCATTTCCAGTATCAAAAGCTTATCATATTTGAAATTGTAATAATGAACTACACTATGTCTTAAATTTTTTGGAATTTACTTATCAAAGAGAGTCAAGTGAATTAGTGATTACACTTCAAGTTTTAAGAGATATTAAAGGTAACGAATAATTTCAGAAAAGTAATTAAACCAAAAAAATCCAAATTTTGATAGATAACAATTGAATTGAAAATTAAAGAATAAATTTTCTTTAACATCAATAAAAAGTGCTTCATATTATCATTTTAGGTGAGTTATTGCAGTTACAATACTTTTAATGTTACAATTGAAGAGTTTGGAAGTGTAGAATTATTAGAGGACAATAGAAAATTAAAGGTGCTAAGTTGATAACCTGTGCATTTAATAGGTCATTCTAACAATATTCTATATGTTTAAGTGAATGCTTTCTAAATGGCTTTGTTCTTTTCACGTATACACGTCTAGACGTGTATACGTGAGATGTATTGGTGTATCGTGAAATATTCAGCGTCAAAGAGAAAGATAAACAAACATCAATCATTCAGATTCAATGAGCTAAAACTTTTCTTGAGTTAAAATTATTCCATTGTTGAAAATAATGAAAAAAGTGGTAAAATGAATAGAACGTATAGATTTAAAAAAATATGTAATATAATTACTGATGGCAAATTTCTCCATCAATACAAGTAATGCTTATTTCGTTTGGTTTTTGTTGTAGAGGATAAACTTGAATATATTTACAGTTTATAGTACTATTACTCTTTCGACATATATTCGGCCAAGTAATCGATTGTGCATCGTTCGTCAAATGGTACGTTTTATTACAGTCTAACATAAGTTGATAACATTTACCACCCAATGGAATCCAAAAAAACACACAAATCCCAGGGAACAACCAATTTGTATGCATCTAAGAATGCTAATGAATGCTTTTAAAATGAAAAGTTAACATTTTATAAATTAATTTGCTAAAAATTAAATTATATATGAATTAGTTAATATTATTGGAAAACATGTGGTTGCTGATAAAACAGTAATATTCTTTTGAATTCATAAACCATCGAAAGAGAGAGAAAGAGAGAAAGATAAAGGAAATTAATTGACCGTTGAAAATTAGCTTATTAAGTATTGAGTGGTCTCAATAGGCTCAATTATGGACCTAAATGTCGAAAGTTCAAATTATATATATATATATATATTGTTTATTTTTAAATATTAAAAAGCTATCCAAAAAATATTGTCTCAATGGACGAGGGAACTGATTTGACGATGTATAAATCACATGTGAATGGGAGTAGCAATGACGGTGTAACAATGAAAAATTTCTTCATACAATGCCCTTAGTTGACAGCACCGCAGCGGAAATATCCTTCACGATAGGAAGAGGGCGATCGGTAAACGAATGAATGAGTGAACTGAATTGAAATGAATGGGTAAAACTACTTAAATAATTCTTCCCATTTCTTTTGAAAAGGAATAAATACATCCAATTTCTCTGTCCATCTAAATGATATTTTAAAAAATGATGAAGGTCAGATTATCGATTTCTAGTCATCATTTATTTGATCGAATTGTAAGCTTAATATTTTCATTCTTACTATTAAAATGTGAAAAGTTTCAGAAGAATTGCTAAACTTCGCTTAAAATAGATTGCTTATATTATATTATAAACAATTTGGGTATGTCTAAAACTTTGTTTTTATCCAAATCTTCCAATTAAAAACTTCGGAAATAGTAAATTTAGATGTGAATAAATGCAAAGTCGATACTATGATTTAAAATGGTAATCTGTAGATAACAGAAAAGTTTATATATACTATCTATAATGCGGAATGATATATTTTATCAGGAAATTCTCCTGATGTTTTGTTAAGCAATTATAATTAAATTATTTTATTAAACTATTCGATTACAATGATTTCCTTCTAAATTATGAATGACTTTTGAAACATTACCTAAATTTTAGATGTAAACGATATATAACAATATAAACTTAAATTTAAAAAATAAAATGTAAAATTAAAAATCTAAAAAATTTATAAGAGAAAATAAATAATTTATATAAATAAATAATTTTGTCGAACTTGAACCTACTAACTAACCAATTGTGGCTGAACAGCAAAGGAACGGAGTGTATCACAATGCATGATTTTCAACAACTCCAAATACAGTACAGTGTAACCAGCTGAAATTGAAACTAACTCAGCAATATATGAAAAAGTTTAATTCACACTAAGAAAGTTAAAAAAAAACAAAGAAAATATAATTCTAATATTAGAAAATTTAAAACAATAAAGAGGTATGAATTGAAATGATCGGTAAATACTAAGGTGATCGGAGGTGTAGCTAAATTAGAAATTAATTGAGTAAATAGACAAATAAATGAAAGAAATTAGTGATGAAATAGTTTCCTAAGTAGCATGTATGAATGATCATCTAACTCAAATTAAGAACAATTACAGCTAATTACAGGAAGATCCCTTTAGTTAAAGCATTATATCATTAATTTTTTTAACATCCTCTTTAAAAGCAATATAATATTGATTACTATTAAATAATTACTCATTTACTTCAAATAGAAAGTTGCAATAAATTCACAAATAGTAGCATTGGATAGAAGAAAACATAAATTTAACTAAATTAAGGTAGTAAAAAAAGAACAATATAAGGATGAATAACGGTATGAATGACATATTATGTGGCTGGCTATTCCATAAATGGCCCTTATGGAAAAATGTAAACAGAGAACAACTACGTAGAATATTTTATATTTGTATTGGTAGGATTATTATTTTTGTTTGCTTTTCCGAATTATTATCAAAAAAGATATTATATTGGAAAGTTGTAATGTGAGTTATAAAAATATGATAGAAAGGATATGAACAGTTTGGTGTAATTTTGACATGGAGTCATAGATACTAGGCCTTTAGGCTTTCCAATTAATGATTTTGATCTTATAGCCTAAATTTACAATTCATTTACCAGTATTTCGATATACAATTCTTGTAACAAAGGCTCTTTCTTTTCACTTTTTTAAAACTATATAAATGAATAAAGGAATGTTGAGCTTGTTTTCAAGAATTAAATTACAGTTTGAAGTAGCTTTTAAAATATAGGTAAAGAAAGTTCAAAGAAGATAATAATAAAAAAAACAGAAATTGAAAAAAGGGGAAGATAAAGTAATAAAAGAAATGAGTAAAAATATTATTCACTCGATGAAAACTTAAGACTCTAAGGAAATGTTAAATTTCCTATTCAGATGTTGCAATTACAACTAAGAATTCTTTTGTTGTATAGGATTTTACTTAAACGAAGTTCATATTTTTGTTTAACGAAATTTCAATTGAAATTTAGGATCAACAAACAAAAAACGAAAGTTTCAACATTTAAGTTCATAAATAATTATCAATGATTAACAGCTAAAAAAAAATTTGATGAATTATACATTTTTGATAAATGCATTAAACTATATCTTATTCCCTTATAATTTATACGTGCCAATGAATTTCCTATCATTAAAAAAATATTTTCGGAAAAATTTCCCGAAATTTTCCGGGATTTTCGGAAAAAGACACTCTTCAATACTCTTTATGTATATTTTTTACATTTGAAGTTAAATTAACAATGTCATTTGGGAAAAATTAGGATTGAAGAAAATATATTTCATATATGAATTTATGCGGGCTTTAAATGGTACATAAACAAGAAATTAGTTGAAATAAAAGTAGTAAATTTCAATTTAGCTATTAATATAAAATGGATGTTCCTCCTCTGTCTGTTCCCTCCAACTATGTTTGATTTTAAAGAAGGAAATTATGCTTTTTTTAAAATGAAGTGGATTAAGAAAGATAGTATGGAAGTATCGTTGTTTGCCGTCAATATCAAATCAATGAGAAGTTTGTAATGAGCGCATTGTGGCATTGAGTATTTGAAAACCTGTTTGCAATAAATTCCGCCTCTAAACATAATAATTACTAAACATAATAGTTGTGGTTCAGCTTTGTAGCTAAAATGAAAGTTCATAACCGCTTTATTAAACAACATAAGACATTATCAAAAATTATGTAAAAAATTATTGAAAAAATATCAGAAATAAAATTTCATATATAAGCTTTTCATTTTCATCAAATGACTATTAAGTGAACAGCAAAATAAATGCCACCCTAACACAGAAAAGATCAGAATGATAAATTAAACAAATGAGATTCAATTAGGAAATTCGCAATGCAATCAAATATATTGAGAATTCATTGATCTCTATATGAAACAAAATACCCATGAAATTATTATGTAAGTTCATGAAAAATTTAAGCAGCAATGAAGGAATGATAAAAATAATGCCCTACAAAAATTTGAAAATATTGAACAGGAGTTGATGCAATTTTTGACATCTCCAAATCGTCGTCTCTATTTGCGCTTCATTTCAGTTGATTGATGCCTTTTGAGCACATGCAGATAAGGATGATAATCGAGAGACAAAGAGATAAGCAAAGCAAACAAACTTTATTTTCTCTAAACTTATATACTTACAAGCAAGAGTTTTAATTGAATTGTCCCGATCGAATGATGCTTAAGCAACAAGTGTATGATCTCTTATTCTCTAGATGAATTTCGATGATATAATATTATGCCTGTAATAACACTTTTTTTAATTTCATCTCTCCCTTACCTTGCCAATTTTAAATTCTGATGTATACAGAAATTCATAAGGAATTCTTACTGAAAACCATGAACTATCTACAACATTCTCGACATTATTTCAAATGAGCCAGTTATACATATTTGTATAATAGCTTGTAGGTGTAAGGAATATCATTTGGTAATAGTCAGTATATTTAGAAAAGTCAGTATATTTTAATGATTTAAATAAAATCATAATCAAATCTTGACTGGATTATAGGAGACAAAAACTTTGTTGGTAAGTTATTGGGTCAGTCACCATGGGAACCACCAATTTATTAGGCATTGGAAGAAATTATCGGAAATGAGCTTTACTCATTGAGTCAAATAAGGCTATCGAGAAACTCTCACAAAAATATTTGTGGCGCATTCAATGCTAAATTCAAAGTTAATTCTTTATTGAAAAATTCGACCCTTAAGCGTTCATCAACTGGCTTCTAATACACATCTAAAATTTTATTAATCATTGTCATGAGTGATAAGCGTTAAAACATCTTACTGAATCCTCTTTCTCCAATCATTATTTAATTTCTTTGCATTTTGGATCATTTCCAGCATACTGTACTGAAGAGACTGTCTCTCCCATACTCAAATAATGCCATATCCTCCTCAGAAGTTTGCTCTCCACAATCAAAATAGTATAATACTTCATCATGGAGATTAAACACAACCTAAACGAAATTCTAGTTTTGAATATTTTAAATCGCATAAATGGAAAAAGTTGGATTAAAGAAAAGCAACAATTCGTGAACAATAGTCCTTTTCGGATTTTTGCTTTTCCGCACTTCCACTGCACATACATTAGATTGACCAAAATACTAATAAGTGAAAACAGTCCAACTTGTTGTCGAAACAAAAACCGTAATAATTTAAAACTTGCTACTGAACCATTGACAATTCATGAGGAAATTAAATTCGAATGTGGAGCTGTGAACAAAAACAAATTACTTGTATGCATAAAAGAATGAAGAATCTGCTCCATGAAATAGCACTATAATTGCACAGTGATGTGTTACTTGCATATATTTTTACAATATTATTGAAAAAAAAGTTTTCAAATTCTCCATTCGAAAATTCCATGTTGCTTGCAGATGATACACCGCTTATCCATCTAATGCAATTACGCTGAATTATTCCTCCTTGAAATATATGCTGACAATGAGGAAATTCAATAACAAGAAATTTTTGCAGAACAACGGTAAACGATTTAACTATAGCAGATTCTGAATATCTGAGAAAACATCTTTAAAATAAATACCAGTATATGAATAGGAAAAATTTAATACATAAGATTTTCTTGAAAACGATAACAAAAGTTCAAATCGAAAATTTCTCTCTACATATGTAGGAAACAAATAATTCAAAAAATAATTTTTAATGGAAACACAGGGAAACCGATTAGCATAAAAGTTTATTAGGATAAAGGATTACCTACACATATGTATGTAACTGAGAAAAATGATGAAAAACTTGAAAAGTTCTTTTATGTAGGAGGCATACATACCGTTCTGCAGAAGCGAATGGCATATATGAGCATAAACTGCATAAGAAATGATGCAAATTAATTTGTACTCATTAAATATCTTACTACGACAATGTGAACGGATTAAAAGGTTTACATCTGCTAGTAAATTATTTGTCCCAGTGAAGATCTATTAGAACTGAAAACATGCAACTTTTGAAAAAATGGTAAATTCTAAGATGCCTAAAGTTCCGCATTGACCCAAATTACATCCAAAAGAAAAAATAAATCAAATAGCAGAAATCTTACAATACTTCACAGTTCAGTGAAAGAAGAGAAATTGCTATCACAGAAAATTGATCTAAGAATAAGATAAATAATTTTACTTTGTAAACAGATGTTGGAGGAGCTCATACACAGAGTTAATAATACCCCACGATAACAGCGACCTAAAACATGGCACAGTTGAGCTGAGATTCTTTGAAAAACACCGAAAACTTTAAAATCCTTAGCATTCTATTACATGTCTCTGACGACGGCTCATATTGTATCTCACTTTGGTGAAGACTTTGCCAGCAAACCTTCAACAATGTTTCCTTATTAAACTCTTCAGTTTTGCCTCAGTCCGTAGGCTCAAACGTTCAGTTGAGCGACAACCGAAATCAAAAAGCTCTTCCGATCTTTTCAATCTCGATCATGTTTCTCGTTCATATGGCTCAGAACGCTTGGATAATCTAACATCATACTCACGTCGGAAACACGGACCAATAGATCGTCATCGCCATGAAACGGAGAACACCCTTGAAGGGACTGAACATCTACGCCCAAACTAATACACTACTAGATGACCTCTAAACTACAAGGACTCCACACTTTCATTTCCAGAGATAATTATTTCTTGAATGTTTCTTATCCTTACAAAAAGCTTATTATAATAATCACAAGAGTGCCTTTTATACAGCACTACTTTTTATATCAACGCATATACAAATTTTTAAAGAAAAATAACATAATACCTCGTATAGTTGAGAGTAATTCCACGAAATAGCTCCCTAAACGAACCATTCCGTTCGGTCCAAATAACTTGAAAAGTTGTCCAAGCTGATAAAAATGGGCTGTTTATAGTGCTCTGCATTCGTTGCTTAACTACATTTAACGGGAAAAAGAGTGATGATATAGAAGCACCAAGTATAGCACCCGATACAAAATCCCCAACAAATGTCATCAATTGTTCCGGTGTCCTGAAAAGAACCAATATTTTACTGCTAACTCCCCGACAAAGAGATTGAATAATTTCAATTCTTTAAACAAACTCACCTACCGTTGATGTAGCAAGGTATGTAGTGTTGATCACAATTAACCAAATCACGAAATGGTTTCCTTAACGTGAAAAAAACAACGTTACTTGATCCATTTCTCAACAATACAACTGTGAATCCACGGTACAATTCTTTTATTCCAATCTAAAATGAATAGTAACCATAATCCACACGTGTCAAGACCAAATGTACTGCTTACCTTATAATAAATTTCTTTCAGGGAATATAGATAAAATCCATTGAATATGAAGATAAATTAAAAATTAACAAATAAAAAAGATTCTATTGTGCGAAAAGAGTTTTTATATTTCTTCGCGATCAGACAAACAGTTGACAATGTCTGGTAACGCTTACTAATGAAAAAGTACTAATATACTAACCGTATGATAGCGTACTGAATGAAAATCAAAGCGATAAACACCATTTCTTTTAATCGGAATTTTATTAAAATGGCAGAAATACAAAATTACCTTAGCAAGTTCGTTGAAAGCATGAATTGTATTTTTATAGCGCTGATTGTACTTCGGTGATTGCAAAAGGACTTGCGTCCTCTCCAAAGGACATGAAATGGCTTCAACCGCACCTGCTAAATACTGCACTGTAGTAGAACACATTGCCATTAAACTGTACGTAATTAAGTAATGATGAATGCTAATTTCAACATCAATAAAAAATTCACAAAAAAAATATTAAATCAAGTCAAACAACTTAAAATTATTCTTGCGTGCAATCACAAATAATACAAGATCGTGAAGCTTACTAGTGACTAACCCATAAATGCAGCACACGCTAAACATGCAACATGAGTCGATGTTGTCTGACATTCTGTGCAACCAAAATAGCGATGAAATTTGTCAAACATCCCGAACATTACTGATCGTGTTGTTGTTCGCTGTATAAGAGGTGGAAGCATTCCTCTATACAACATCCAATAACCTTCATTTCTTAACTGAAAATGAACCATGCTTTAACTTCATTCCACAATTCACGTGTAACAAATACCAATTGTTTTGGCTAACACTGTTTTAGCTTATGCCGATTTAATTCTAAACTATTTCAGTAAAAATCGTCCTTGCGCTTAAGACACTTAAAAAAACTAATTCATAAGCTAATGTGATGAGAACAGATTTCTTGATTCCAATTCGCCGCGTTAGTCAATATCAATTAAGAATATAATAGCTTATCATAATTAATTTTGATATACTTATTTTTTTGAAATAAATAACAATAACAAAATCAAACCAATTCTTAAAAACTGAACTAACCTGCCTAAAAACTTCCTTTGCAGTAATACCTTGGAGCTGCTGACGAAATATCACTTTATTTTGAGGATATAACAGCAAAGTTTCAATAAAGCCCGCGCCCCATCCAGCGATGAAATTTTTGTAGTTTTCTTTTTGCATTTCATTGAAAAAATCTTTGTACCTTCTCAGTTACTATCGCTAGATACTGCCTGGAAATGAAACGAAAAGCATGACATACAGATGAGGGTAATCAATATTTTAGGAATAAACGCAAATATGTTCAATTCTTAATTTTCAATGAATAAATTGCCTGCAAATTTGTGGCGTCAAGAGAACACTTATAACAAACGTGAAAAAAAAAAACACAAATTATTTTGAAATAACATGGAATATACAGCTGTAAATACAATCAGTTAATGATAACATTAGTCAGTCAAGATTAATCAGATAATTAATTAGTCAATTTTCAGATCGTTTGATAATTAATCAATCAAAATTCAGATCATTCGATTAAAAAGAAGCACTGATTTAATTTTTTTTAAAGGCTCATGCCATATATAAGCCACAGCTGTTAATTAACAAAGGAATATGATCATCACAACCCCCAACTCTGCACAGATTCACTCCGATAATTCGTGCTTATTGTTCACTATTTGGAAGAGGAAAGCTTCTGAATTCTGCGAGCAACAACCATTATTACTTCGCCGCTTCGTGGCTTCGGGAATAAACCAAACAGACAAAGTGAATAAAGATGTTAACGAGTTGGATGATGTCCATCACGTCCATGTCAGTAGCCCATTGGATCAGCAATTTCCCTTTCCACAGCTGATCCAGTTCCCTCATGATTGTATTTTTGCAATGGTGAACGATGAGATAGAAATCTTGGATGCCATTTTTAAAAAGCATTGGATGGAAGAACATGAACACCTGTATTTGCGAATCGATGCTTTTAAATGGAAAGAACACCAATAAGGATGATTGAATTGGAAAAATTACAATTTTAAATGGAAACAAAACATAAAAACGATGAATATTCGCGAAAACATTACGCATTATCATTGTAATACTTCCTGAAGCCACAGCACAATAATTATGAGTGGTCCAATTTCACAAGCTTGGAAGATATCTAAGATTGAGTCGATCAGAGAACAAAGATATAAAAAATAATGCACTGTCGAGAACTCCAAAATGATGTAAATTTGAGAACGCTATTTTGTGAAAAGAGAACTAAAACTTTATCGGTCAACTTTATGCAAGTTCATTAGTGCTTGCTAAGTGAAGTCGATATGTGAGTGTATGCAGCATCAGCCCATTTGCTTATAAGGCAAATTAATCTCTCATGGAAGGAGGGGATATTTACCTAACATTAACTTCTAACATAATGCAACGCGCCTTCCAGGAAGTAACCATTGATCTATGAATACATGCACTGAAAGATTGACCGGATGGTGTTTCAGGTGATGTGGTATTTCCGACGACCTATAGTTAGGTGATGATCACGATCCAACCCACGTTATGTAGAAATGCTGCTATACTGCGACAATGTCCTTCAACCGAACGATTCCACCCGTCTTTTGTTCTTTTTGATCTGGTGACTGGCAAGATACAGCAGCTCTCTGTTTACTTCGTTCTCGTAGTAATCAATTATGCCAATCTATCTGACACTATAACAGTCTGTCCATGTACATTTCTCTTTCTCCAGAATCAACTCCGGTATCACGTTATGCGTTACTTCCATTCCATCTTTCACAAGACAATGCAACTGAAGACGGTGTTAAATTGCCTAACTCTACTTCCCATTTTATATCTTCAAATTATACAACCACATAATGAATTCATTCATGCTTCTAACTTTCGCCTTCCTTAATATACTAGAAAACGTCATAAAAAAGAAAATTTGCCGGTTCAGTTCATATATTTGCAAGCCATAAGATTGATGTCCGTGCCAACCACCAAATCCAAATGGTAATGGAACATTTATATTTAATTATTTATTGCTTCACTACTGGAGAATGGTATAAACACGAATACAATTTAAATAGCATCCAAAAATTGAGATCGACATAAAAAATACATCTCTTTCCTGTTTCAAAAGTCTTGAAGAACAAAGATTTACAACAATATTCTAAGCAGTTACATATAACAAGTATGAAAACAAGTATGAAAATCTATAGAGTTTTTCATGATTGTTAGAAACTTGAATCACCCATGTAATACAATAAAGCATGTTGAAACAAATTTACTTTACGAAATCAAAATGTCGCTTTGACTAAGCATTATTTGGCCATCAAGAAACGCGCCGTAAATGCTATATAAAGCCTCTAATTAGATATGTCCAAACAATAGTGCAGAAGCGAGACAGCATGATTAAAGATACATTAATCTTTAAGACAGTCGTAAAACTTCGAAAATGCTACCATATCAGATATTATAAGAGGCTTTTTATTTGGACATCCCGAAACGGGACACTGACATATCTGACGTCGTTTCTTGCATTCGCGAATATTAGCTAGCACCGATTCTCGGTCATAAACATGCTTGCAAATCTGAAATGAATCGAAGAGCTGAAATTAGTACTATAAAGTATGTTGCCAGCTTACACGCAATATGTAACAACTCTGAAATTCTGGAGCTGACTGTGCAGATAAACGCTGATAGCATCAATTGGCGAGAAATCAGGGATGTTGCATGCGATGAAAATGGCAATAATTATATTATTATATGGCATAGGTCACGGATTAACAAACATACTTTATTCTGCACTGGATCTTTGATATCCTGCTTAGTGTAAGGATCTTTTTTCGAGTAGTAAATTCTCTCTACCTCGACCGTGTTACTTAAGTCCGCCCTCTCAACTTTTCGTAACGCTTCTATCTTATCCGCTGCTTCGCCTTGTCTATTCGGCTCTTCCCAGCCAATTTCTTCAATTCTGAACAAATAAATGAAACCTTTAAAGTTGACTGTTTCGAATTCTTTTAAAGAGATTCCAGGATGTTAGGGAAGAATTTTTTTGTACCCTTCAAGAAGAAACTCGAAAATAACCGTTTCCTGAAGCGATCTCGCGATGTGTCTACATCCGCACCGCTTCCTTGACTTTGTATCTCCTTTAATACTTCAGTTTCGATAGTTGCTTCTCGATCCAATTGCTCAATGTAATCCAACAGAGTATTCATCCGTTCATCCCAATCAGTGTTTTCAGTATTCCGTTTGATTGATTCTACCATAGTCAACATCTCATCCAGGCTTTCTCGCCATCGTCCCATCTCCGCCAAAGCTCCCTTACAATCCATCTCTCACCTTCAACAGAACAGCCATTAGCCCTTTCCACCACATCTCAAAGACCTCCCTCGAATCACTGCTCCACCACTTCCATCGCCTTAGTGCATCCCATCTATTTGAAAGGCCGTATTAAAAGCGTGTATGATAAGTGAAAGATATGCAATGGATCGTGGGGAGAAAGGAGAGAGGGAAAGGTCAAGGGTCAGTTCGGGTATGATTGACCATTGGTAGTACCGTCGTTAAATGTTTTTATTTCGTCGTGAAAGACTTTGGATTCTTCTCTGTCCTTTTATAAGCATCGAATTTTATGTGTTCCACAGACGTTTGAGTGAACGTCAGATAATTTTTTGAAGTCTGAATTTGTTTTAAATAAAAAAGTCATTCGGTCATATAAACGACTAAATGACATCGAATAGCGTTGGATTATTGAAATGATTTGGAGAATGCAGACTAAAAGCACATCTTCTCTATTCTTATCACCTCCATAATCTATGTCAATTTTAATTTTTAAGATTTTTTGTCATATTTTATATGGTGCGATGTGATGATAGAAATGCTTCCATATATTTCTCTGCTAGGATATGACTCATTTGATTAATTTCAGAATTTCTCATCGGTTTTGAATTGCTCCTAAAAATCCTTCACTGCGGCTCAGTCAGTGAAGTTGCCAAACTCAGCCATTTTGCCATGAACAAATTGAAAACTGTTCAACGAGACAAGGTTGGTTATTTGAAAAAAACAAAATAAGTGAATCTGGTCTCATTCACTTTACACTTAACATTGATCGTTAATTTAAAAAATTTGATGAACGAATTTTCAGATTTTGTGGTTTTACATGTATTTACACGAAATTTACTCAAAGGACTGTTTTTTTTTCATGATATAAATCCTCGTAGTCAATATGAATTTCGTATCTTATGATCGAAAACGACTCAGAATTTACGGTTTATCATTGAATAAATTTGAATAACCAGTTATGGATGATGGTATTAATTCAAATATCCGAGTGTCAGAGATAGTATCTATTTATTGCAAATATAAGACGGCAGTAATTGTCGGCTGAAGTTCTAAACGTATTTTTAAGATAAAGTGATTGATTGTGAATTCCCACTGGACATTGTAAGAATGGACAACGGCTGGATAAGTTCCAAACAAGCGGAGAAGACAGTGTCGCTTACTTTTGGCTAGTTAAGGCAAGACATTTCAGAGGTCAATGTACAGCCTTGCCTAACATGCATTAACATCACTCCAAGTGATGTATTATATTGAGTGATCACTTTCGCCTGCTGGAAATTTTGTACGAAAACAACTGTTTCGTACAAAGCGTTGATTTGGTTTGGGAGGTAATTAGGAGTTCAATAGTGTGTTCATCAATTTCCTAAAAATAGGATAGATCAAAGGCGAATTTGTTTGTAAGACTCGCATTTGCTGTGTTTGGTTTTGAACCATAACTGTGGAGGAACTATTTCTCAGCTTTGGCTCAGAGAACTGATTAGAAGAGTCGTTTCTCAGCTTTGGTTCTGAGGATCATTAGATTGATATCAACAAAAACGGGTAATATGGTGACAATAAAAGCATAGAATCTTCATGTTTCAGGTGCGAAATTTTATGCAGTGGACACAAAGTAATGAAAAAACGGCTATTCATTGTCTAAGTAGTCAGAATTGGAATCTGGAATTGGCCTGCGATGCTTATTACCAGAATCCACAATTGTATATGTGTATGGCAGATGTGGTTGATCAAAGAAGTCTTCATGCTTTTTTTCTCAAATATGCAAATAGTACAGTTTTTTCGATTCATTTCCGCTTCTAAAATTGCAGATGTTTTGGGTATAATTGGTCTTTGAAATCCCTTCTTAAATTTAGGAGTTTTAAATCATGTCAGCGTCTTTCATACCAGCATATTATTTAATTTATTTTCAATAATTGAGGCTTTAAAGATTGTGACTTCGTAGCGGAAGCGTTTCGAAAATTCTTTTATTCCTATTTATTAAATATTTGCTCAATTTGCAGATAGACAAGACAATGATCCATCATGTATCGGGCCTCATGGAATGTTACACTTCCTGACAGACCTTGGTTTAAATCCAGCTGATCGGAATGTATTGATATTAGCCTGGAAACTCAAAGCAAAGACGCAGTGCGAGTTTACTTGGGAGGAATTCAGTACCGGTCTGAATGAGATGAAGTATTTTCATTAATCGTAATATCTGAACTTTCTTGGAAAAACTTTTTTGAGTTCTGCAAAGCGATTTCAATAATTTTGCTTCTTCAGATTATGTCTTTTAGAGTAGATTCTTTGGAAAAATTGAAAACAAAAATACCAACGCTAGGCGAGGAACTCAGGAATCCAATCAGTTTCCGAGATTTCTATCAATTTACTTTCAGCTATGCCCGCGCATCACCGCAGAGGACGTTGGGTAAGCTTTATCAAATGTTTATCGATTAATCTTACTTAATTTCTATAACTTTTTTATTAGTGATGTACTTTATGTAAGACTAAGGTGTTAAACTTAATCTTAAAGTCAGGTTTCTCAATTCATCTTTACGATCAGTTTCTGCTAATCAGTCTCGCTAGTCATGATTGGTTAAATTGTCATTTTTTCGACTTAAGGCTTAAAATTTTTTTGAAAAAATGATATTCTAGAAGTGGAAACAGCAATAGCTTATTGGGAAATCGTGTTCGATGGCAATTTCGTTTATCTTCCTTTATGGACTAGCTTCCTTCGGGAAAAGGTTTGTTTCTTAATCTGACACCAGTTTGAAATTTTTATGTAAGAACGAGTTAAAATTAATTTAGTCTACTGATAATAGGTCTTCAAATGAACCGCTAAAGAGAAACTGATGCCGGTCATCGGCTGAACATGAAGTTGTGACGAAATAGGTTTCTCTTTCTGTATTTTCTTTGGAAAACAGTTTTCCTTTTATTCTTCGAATGATGAAATATGCCAATCACTAGATTTACTTTTCTGTACAGGAAGTGAAGGGTATACCACGTGATACGTGGAACTTACTACTGGATTTTTCTTTGACGATTGCACCAGATTTCAACAATTACGATGCAGAAGGAGCATGGCCTGTTTTGATTGATGAATTTGTAGAATATGCAAGAAGTAAAATACAGTCATAGAAAGTTCCGTCTGTGTTAGCATTTATTCTTTAATTCTTTCCTTATGACTTATTGAATTAAGTCGTTTGAAACTAAGTTGTGGAGGAATGTCCAGAAATCTGATTCCTTGCATCACAGAAGTTCATATAAGTTCAGTAATCTCAGCAGTTGTTGTTTTGTTAATTGCTGTACATATTTTGAAGATTTGGGAGTGATAGTGTTCTTTTGCGTGTTTTGTTCACATAATTTTTTTCTTTTTTGAGGTATTATTTTTGAATCATCGTTTTTCTTTTAAATGGCAAATTTTGATTATTTAAGTTTTGTATCTCAAAATTAGTTGCAGAATTACTACGAGTTTCTGTGAAAGTAGTGAAGCTTTGTGATGGAAATGGACTTTCAGTGAAGGCAATCCTCAAACACTTCATTTATTTTATATTATAGTTTGTTCCCTTGCACCTGTATTGGTTCAGTGCTTTATAATTGTTGTGCTTCATAGCAACTTTTTCAATAAGTTTTGGTGACTCAGTATCATGGAGCTAGTATTTGAACCGTTGTGATCGAAGATCGCAAGACGTGATGATTAAGTGAATGATGATTGTGATACTTAGTATTCATTTTTACCAGTGAATGGTACATTTAAAGGACATATTGATTAGGTTCAGTACAAAATTAATTAAAAGCTGCCAAAAAAATCTGAACTTTCAGAAGCCTGCCTTAATTGTGTACATTTTATCCAGTACTGGTACCACGTATTTTTACATATGAGTTGAATTGATTTCAGTGTTGTGGTTACGTTATCAAAGTGAAAAAATTTTTGGAATTTAAACTTCTGCTAATGAAAGAAAGGAAGTTACTTATTAGATCGGTAATTGACTAACCAGGCACTGAATTCCTAGCAGTAGCATCAGTGAGTGGGCAGTCAGGATAAACTTAGATTAACATTTAGACTTTTGTGAAAATTTTGTTTTCGAATACGATATTAATGTTGTCAATGTTGGGTATAACTAGACTAAAATTCTCACTTTTTTATCTCATTTCTTAATGTTTAGCGATTGGTAAACCCAAATATGTACTGCTGTGATGATTTATGACGTAAGCCATTGAGCTTATATACCCCGACATCAGTTATCGCCGATGATAAGATTATAGAGTTATTTCGAAATCGAGCAAAAAATTTAAAAAACAAAAGTTTGTGAAAGTGTAGGGATTTGAAAAACATATTTCTCGTTTTTGAGAAGAGGAGTTTCATTTTTTTAAGACAATGCTAAGCAAAAAGTAAAAAAATATGCGGCTAACAAGCAAGACTTGTTGGAATGGTGTATTTGGTCAGGCAGGCGTGAAATTTTTGAATTCTGAAAATTTTCAGAACTGGAACGGAGTTTCATTGATATAAAACATTTCCTATTCGGTGCAAAGACAGAAAAACTTATTGTTCTATCTTTATTTATTGAACTCGATGGCCTGATTGTTACGTGCAGCTCTTGTCTGCCCTTAGAAAAGTTGAAAGTTCCTTTGAAGTTCTATTGTGAAGAAAACCGAAGATCACTTCGCTTTTTCTACGTCATGAATTTCATAGATTTGCATTTACCATTCAGAAAAATTCGGAGGTTGTTACATGGGTCTTCTAGTTTGTCTTAGAGTTTTGTTGAAGTTGCGGAAATTTTCTGAACAAAGCCTTTAAAATCTTTTTTCGTAAAGTTACTGCTTATTCTTGCAGCTCTTATTGAAGTCTTACTGCTGAAGAAATCTTAATTTCCTGTTAACAAAAGCTTAGAGCTTTTAAATTTCAGACTTTTGAAATTGTAATGGTTGTCGTTACTATAGCCATTTTTAGCAGATGGTAGTTCTATTAGAAAAATTGTAAACGAGGGAGCGATTATTAACAAGGATTAACAAGATTTAGAACAGGAAGAGCTAAATATTTCAACAAGTCGGAAGTCCACTACCAGTTGTGGAAGGTTGCTTTGCTCTGATAAACTACATATACCTTCACCTTTTTCATCGATTTAAAGTTTTTTTGAGTGGCTAACCTTCTCCAAATTTAACAAGCTCATCAAACAACATTTTGCTGCGTTGATTTACGTAAGTAGCGGATCGACATAATGAATATCGAAAAAAATAATTGTTATGATTCGTTGATAGTTGGAAGTCTGATTGCAAAGTTTACATATATTTTTTTTTAGATGCATGCAAGAATTGAAACTTATAAATAACCAATTTTGTATTATTATTGTTAAATATGTTATTAAGGACGTTACGGACGTTTTGGGGACAAGAAGGTTATCAAATTTTAATATATCAGTTTTTCTCTCCAACTTAGATTGGGAAGACTCTAAAAAATTCGTTACTTCCAGTTCAAAAAATCATTTTTATTACTTCCAAGAGTAATGAATGAGAAAATGGAGAATTGAGGTGATAGAAGAAAGCTAGTGGAACAACATTTTACAAATGGCGAATTCTCTCTTAAGTACATTTCTATATTTTTTCCTCTTTTATATAGAATTTCAATTTTAATATATTGTTAATTATTTATTATTTAGTGACTTGGATTGTTAGCATTTATGTAAAATAATTTGATTTTCAAATAAGAAATTCATACATGGTGGCTTTTTTTGGCTTTTGAGACGCTTAGCTAATGAAAGAATTTTCTGGATTTTCCCTCATTTGATGAATTCTGTTATCTTCAGATGTTCTATTAGTAGTGAGATATGTCTTGATTATGGATAAAAGTTTACAGCAGACTAATGTTTATTTTCAATTTTGAACAATTCTAAAAACACATAACTTCCTGAAGCGTTTCAGGCGTATTGATTTTGAAGATTACAAAAGAGAAGGATCGAAGCTTTTAAACAAAACCAAACTAAGCTGAGCTGAATTTCAGGTTCTTGTGAATGGACCACTGCTGGAAGAAATACCATCACAAATAAAATAATTCATCACTCTAATGGTGACTCTTAATTGCAGTAGTATTTTCAGAATTCAGTGTCTAAATGGCACCTTCTAAATTTCTGAAACGTCGATTTAAAGCTTTGCTTAATTTTTGCATTATCTTTTCAAACAGTTTCTTTTTATGCTGTCTTGTGATAGATTTAAAAGTTCAGCTCTTTCAAAACTTGGAATATATTTCGGACAACAGGATGATATTTTAGGCTTCCTGAATTTTCAAATTATGTTATTTTTAAGAGGATGAAAAAAAGTATATTCAAGGGCATAAAATTTTTAATAATTTTTGGTTATTTCATGTCATTAAAGAAAATCTGGACATTGCTGAAGCTGTTAAGAGTGATAGATGGTGCTGTGAACGAACTTTCCCCATAGGCATCAATTGCAGCAGATATGGGTTAGTTTTAAAATTTTGTACGAATTCATGTACCTCTAATCTTTTTAAACCTAACAACTTTTCTTTTTTTGCTTATGCACCATGTTTTAATTTTATCAATTAGTTTCATTTTGCATAGTTATAATTTTATTATATTATGAACATGGTATTATGGACTGACTTGATATAAATCCAAAACACAATTTGAGATTCGTATTACATATAAGATGATCTCAATATTTCCGTTCCGACATGGATAATATAAAATTGATTCTATTCTGAGAGCTTGTCAGTGGGATTTTCGTTTACTGGAAGCTGGCGATATAGCACAACAGTATTTACTCTCAAAAAGAAGTCAACAATTGTAGCAAAAGAAAATTCACCAAATTCAGCAATTATTTGTGTAAAAATGTGTTCCAAAGATGAGATTGCTTCAATGAGGATCCATTAATGAGGATCCCTGTATTTTGAATTAGAGATTTTTTGACTTGATTGCTAGATCCAAAATGCCTAATTAACCTTGAGAGCTAAAATTAGTTCCTCAGTTCAAAATATTTTTTCCTCCTCTCCACTTTATGAAAAAACGTTCTTCCATAAATGTAATCGAATTTGATTATAGGAAAGCACTATTGTTGACAATTTGTTGATACATCATTTTAATGGAATACCCAATTGTTTGATGATATCCCTTCACTGAAATTAAAAAAAAAACCTGAAGTGAAATTTTTGGAAAAAATAGCATAGTTAATAAAAATATTTTCTATAATCTGTTGCGAACAGTCTACTGCTGGCTGTACAGAAAACTGCTTACAACTTACGAGCTATTTTCATGGGACAAATTGGTGAATCCAACAACGGAAGTACCATGCCAGCGGCCTCTTTGTTTTGCGAAACAGAATAACCGTTTGTAATAAATTAAACCAAATACAGTGCCAGTAATAAGAGACAGCAGGATGCAGAAAATAATGCCCAGATGCTTCGAGCTTCCCAGCTTATCAGCAACGTTACTTTTGTCATCTACTGGTGCGTCTTCTGTAAAGTTGCACCTCGAAGTAGAGATTAATTGAGCCAGAAATGATTATGATGAAATAATGTTTGTGACTTCAACGCAATACTCCTGATATTGTTACCTCGAGGCATAGGTATGTCTTGAAAAATACAAAAAAAGAATCTAATACGTAAGCAAAAAGAATCTAAGCATATCCGAATCTGATCTGATTTGTAATTTCTTAGTTAATTCCTTTTTTATTCGCATTAAGATGTTTTTCCGAAGGATTTGTAAAAAACTTTTTGCACGCTCTATTTGAAAACAAAAAGAAATAATTTATGGAAGTTTGGAAGTTCTTTTGTCACTTCTTTCATTTTCTACTTATAAGTGAAAACAATATAAGAAAAAGAACCAGCAGTGTAATATAGGACGAATCCTTTATTGGTGATACTGATATCAGTTTCGAAATAAACTGTCATCGTTTCACTAGTACTTCGTAATGAAACTGTGGAAATTTCAAATCCACTAATACTGCAAAATTAATTTTTCATGCATATGTGATTCGATATTATGGCCGTTCCGGGGTATACACCTTCATTCAATTCATTAAAGAATTATGATAAAGTTGAGTATTCCTTAAAGAATTGCGATATAAACAATCTTTTCTTATAAACAGCATGTTAAATTTACAACTATTTTTTGCATTAACTTAAAACAGAATTAAAAAAGAATTGGTATTGGAACCAACGTTCTAATTCGCTGATCGGTTACATTGGCACCATCAAAAATAGCCAGGACATCTTCGTTGGGTTCCAGAGCCAATTCTGTGATATTTGCAACAACAATACATCCTTGTGGTGCACTTAACAGATATTGGCATTTCATTGAATTACAGTAATGATTAGGATAATCTGGTGATGTGAGCTGCTTCCACAAATCTTTCTCTACTTCCAATTCCAAACGGCCACATTCACATACTGAATTGTATTCAGAAGAAATTTAATTCTTAAATTTGAATCTGGAGCACATAAAATTACAACCTAATTGCGCGTCTTTAACTATTAATTAGTCAGCTGCCTTTTGCGTTAGTTTCAACGCAAACTAACAATCTTTATTGTTGAGCTAAAATTGAGATCGATAATCTTAGGCTTTCAGACAGAAAACAAATTTTTTCCTGTAAACAATGAAGAACATATTACATCTATTGTAAGCAACAATGTTTGCGAATTTTTCGAAATGATGTGAGAAATTGAGAAAACTTACATAAAAGATTAGAGGCTTCAAATTATTAGACTTTCACTTAATAATAAAAGACGAAAAAATTAACTTGATTTCCATTTGTAATCAAAATCAAACTGAGCAGCGTATCTGTTAACATCTGACGCCAAGTGATACCAAATCATTATTGGCGTATCGTTTGTTATCTCTTCTGTTCCACTTTGAGCTAGCGTTGGTTCGAAACTACGCATATATTATTAGCGAATTATTGTAATTTTCAATTTTAAAAATTTTAAGGCTCATATTACATTTCAGAATTTAACAATCAATAAGTTATTTTAAAACATTTGAGCAGTTTCTAATGAAATTATTTATTAAGTTAATGTATTATTTCCATATAAATTCAAATCATTTTCAAATTTTCTAATTTTTTTGATATAATACCAAGTACTCTCCCTATACCACAACAACTGTCAACATCTACTTTTTTTTCTAACCCTGAATTTCGAACTCCAAATTCTAATATTCCGTCAATCGCTATCTTTCGATATTTCACACTTATTCTACGTAATGCAATATGATTGATTTTGCAATATCGATCAGTTAATCTAATCATTTACAGTGATATTTGATGCTCTGCTAAATACATATTTTAGTAAACAAAATCAATCAAATTCCATATGCAACATTCCGATATGAGTACTATATTAGTGTCAGCAAAAAGTACTCGTTCGTAACATATATGCATTATCAGCGAATTCCGAGAATAGGTGATATGAAAGATTTTATAAGCAGCTAACAGTTGCTAATATCGTTTTTGCTTTACGCATCAGTTTTTAACGTGACTGATAGAAGCAGTGTGGAAGAACATTGGGTAAGGGAAACTATCACATTAAATATTTTGAGAGTTAAAGATATGAGAGAACTTACGAATTGAGCAAATAAAAATTTAAGCTTAAAATTGTACTCATACTTCAAAATGTATTTTGCAAAATTTCTATATAGCTTACATAGTAATGTCTCGTTCATTGAGATGTGAAGGAATGATATTGTAATTATTGATGTTTGTCAATATCTCAAGAAATTCCTCCTCTCCATTTTTGAAAGTATAAGTTATATTTATAACCAGTCGTATGCGATCTGTATCCAAAGCCTTCAATAAGTGTGAAAATTATATCAGCTATTACAACACAGTTTTTGTTATTAAAAATATTTCGAACATCTTCAAACTATCATTAGATATTTAGCTCAAATCGTTTATCTCATTATTGAAACATTTTTATTTGCATTACATTTTTCAAGCATTTTTCGGCAGCGTTTATCTGTCTACAGCGATAGATTGGAACTTACAGTAACAGGACGATTAAATTGAAAGAAACAATCTAGAAAGCCACAATCTGCCGGTGAATTAAATGAAAACGTTCCTCTTGATGATGAAAATTCCAGTGGTTGCGCTTTACCTTTACATCGACAATCTTAAATTTTAAACTATTTTAATCATTTTTTTTCCACCGCCTAAAATATCTCTTTCAACGAACTATTTTAATGTAACCTAACTTCATGCATTTATTTGTAATTTTCTTTGTAAATTGTTGATGGAACTAAAATTGAATAATTTATCAGAAGATGTAATTACCGTCTTTTTTTTGCATTGCGCTAATAGTCATATTAAAGCCAGCATTTGTAACTGTCGAATCAGTAATCATTCGTAACATGGCACTTTCACCGCAGAATGTAAAAAATCTATTCCTACTTATTGATAATTCACCGGTGCGGCTGCAAAACTTATACAAATTTTAGTTTACTTATTATATCTACTATATTCTTCTATTAGTAATTAGTAACTATTTTCTTCTATCAGTAACGTATTGATTGATTTATCAAAAATTTATCAAATAATGACTTATCAAAAAGAGTCTTTCCATTAATATAAATGCTTTATCACCAAATTTGATCATCACTTCTTAATGGATCAATTTTGCACTGTACCTTATCAAATGTCTGGATGAATGCTTCGATCTATCCAAGAAGTGCACAAAATCAGAACCATATTCCAGGTTAAATACGTGAATTTCGACGATTATGGCATTATGATGTGTAGAATCGATAGCATATTTGTCAAGTTGAAGTTCTGTTTCGCAGTCCAATTTATCACAATATTCAAGAGGAAATCCAGGAGAGGACAGAATTGTCGGACGATCAATTCGAATTGTGTGACTTCGCGGGAAACATTTACATGCTAAAGTAATAAGCAATTTTTGCTTTCTTAATTATAAAGTGAGAATTTCTAAAATTTTATAGTGTATGAATGCAAATAGAGAAAGGAATAAATTGTCGAGAGAAAATCAAGCTAATTAAGCTAATTTTGAAAACTTCATTTAGAGTTATTTTTTTGATACAACAAAACTTACGACTGTCGGCGCGACTGAATTGAGCTTCAAATATGAATTTGTCGTGTGCTTTAGCCGGAAACAAATCTCGTTGCACTACTGTTATCTGTACCAATATGGAATTTGTCCGCGATATTATTTCTTTCGGAGTTTTCGAATCCATAAATCCAATATTCCTGTTGGAAAATCAAGAAGCTCTCTGGATCGATGGGCAATAATAATGCAAAAATTTTGCTAACATTCAGATCACTTCCTACAGTGATCAAAAACACAATAGATTTTTATATATTCAAAAATATTCTGAAATTAATCATACTCGAATAGTGGAGAAATAGCATGATCTGCTGGAACTTGATTATTTTCTGTTTCATAAACGGTAAATTTGGCATTGGAAGCGAGCGATTTGAGATTCAATTTTATACCATAACCTTCACTAGCATTCAGCATATATGCACAACCGGTAAAGTATGAGAAATTAGTTGGTGGACTAGGTAATGTTTTATCTTCGCCTGTTGCCTCGTAGAAGAATGTGGGACAGGAATTGGCTGCAATATTTTTCGAATATTAAAGTCAAAAATAATTATATTAATAAAAGGGGAAAGCAAGTTATTTGAATTTAAATTTAAAGATTTATTGAAATTATTGGCGAGAAATAAGATGAAATGTACCAAAACATATATATCTAATTGCTCAAATTATAAATAACAATCATAGCTAAGCGATTTTGTCGCATGTATGTCATGTGATTAAGTTGCAATAATATAAATGAAACAGATCGACAGTCTTTTAGCTAAAGCGAAAGCTTGATTTAAGATAATAAAAGGCAGTAGTGACTATTTTAAATTTCAGTTGGTCAGTTCATGCAGGTAGTGGTGAAATATTATTCTTTTTCAAAAGAAAAAAGAAAAACAAAAATTTATGAACACAGCGTACTTGATGAAGTAGTATTGATTCTGTTAAAGCGAGCATGAAATCCAGCAAATGTTTCCGTACTGTCAGTAACAAATTTCAGGGTGAATCCACTGCTTACAGAAGACGCAAATGAAAGCCAGCCGATATCTTTTCCGGATAGCCTTGAATTAGTAAAAGAGTGAAAAATTAACCTTTCATCTTCAAAACCTATCTCATAATTTAATATATGCTGCTCATTGATTATCCATAATAATCTTCAGGTAAATATGCAAAAATGTTTTAGCAGTTTGCTTGAAATTTTTGAGATATATTTTCTTTAGCTTCATTCATGCTATCTACTAAGTTTACAGGGATATCGGAGAATTTTAAGGAAAGTACGAGTGTTGTAAAAAAGAATATGCAATTCTATCTTTTAAAAGTTGAAAAAAAAAGAATAGCAGTATGAAGTTTTGGTAGGTTACACACGTAGCAATACGGGCAGAGTATTGAGTGTTCGAAAAGATGAACGTTTGATAAATTTCAAGGAAATCATGTCGTGGTTCAGTTTCAAGAGAAACAATTGATAAGTGAATTGTTTGATCCGGGATAGCGTCTATCTGAAACTGATCTAATGAAGAAATATTCGAAGAATTTCAATAAAAAATCTAGAAAGGAAACGAAGAAAAAATAGCTTATGTTTTTAGGAACACTTACTTTTCTTTCATATTATTTTCTTTTTTGTATTTCAGTAAATTTTCAAATTTCAAATTAAAAAAAATAAATAAACCTCATATTTGCAGTTTAGATTATTACAGTAATTGGTAGGATAACCAGGACTTTTTAGTTCACCAGCTGCAACATCAATGCCAAAATTCGCAGATTGACATTTACATGCATCCAGACGATTCATTCCCGTACCTATGGTAAGATGTTTTGACTTAAAACTACGACAGTTTGAACTTGTTTTAGAAGAAAATCCTTCAAACCTTCAGGTAGCACTTTTAGAGAATCCTTCTTACTACTCTAAGAATCTTTCGAGAATCCTGCCTTTTTATCTGGCTTAAATATGGTGAAATATTATAAGTGACCTTACCGATATAGTAAGCATTAGTGATAAAAGTGAAGTAAGTGATGAAATAAATGAGTAGCGGAGAGAAGCTCATGTGTGAACCTTCCATTACTCTATCACTGCGATTAAAGCGTTGATGAAATGTTTTGCAATTCGCTGATAGTTAGCATTGGATGAGGTAGTTGCTCTTTTGGGTTTATAAGCATTGTTTGGTATGAAGTGATGTGATTGGGAGACTCCGATCGAATTACATGCAATAATAAACAATGCTTGTATGTTAAAGCGCGACGATACCAAAAAAAACGTCACCGATCTTTCAAAAAAATTCAAAAATTTTAGTCTTGTTTGGAATTCAGAAAATTTAAGTGTGCTGATATTTCCTACACCTTCTCCTATGAAATGCATATCAGCTATACATATCTGTCGATTACTTCATCCCAAGCACTACACTGCTGACCCTTTGAAAGAACTTAGCCTGGTGAATGTTATCCATTGAAAAACAAATTTAGCTAAAAAATATTTGATGTAAAAATTATGTTCTGCCCTCAAGTCTTTAAATTGTCATCTAGGAAGACGGCAGCTTTTGCTCAGAGTGACTTACCAAGCTTTGAATGCGTGGAAGAAGTTTCTGATTAAACTTATTGACGAAGCAGCCTGAAACTCCCCATCCTTGCAATTTGTGAAACGTAGACCATCGAATTTCAGGTTTAGATGCTTTTCAAATTTATTTGATAAACTTATCTCAGGTAAAAGCTGAGCAATCTTATTTCCTTGTAGTGATACACCAAAAGCTGTAATTTTAATTCACTGCTTATTTTTCAAAATATACACTGCTAGATAAAAGAGAGACATAACTGAAGATGTTCATGAAAATGAAAGATGATAGTAACAAGGCACTTGAAGGTAAGAAAAGTGAGGCGAAAAAAGATGAAAAACTGTATAACAACGTTTAGGTAGCAACCCGCAGTATTAAAACAAACACAAAACTAGCAAATCATTTCGCCGGCAAATGATCCAGAATCTCAACAATCCAGAGTTCTGCTTCAAAGACAAAATCATTTATTATTGGGACAAAAAATTGTTTCCACGGACAAAATTTCAAATCTAAATCTCCAAAGTTGAATTCAACTACCTGCAAAACTTTTCCTTCAACATTCGTTTCCCGAGAAATTTGATTACATAAGCACAAAATTTATCAAAATTAGTGCTGCGCTCGTAAAAATTATGTTTTTTAGCAAACTGAGAGAAAAACGAAAAGAATGAGCTCAACAAAGGTAAGAAATTTTCTTCAACGAATCCGCACCGGAAAATATTTTTATCTTTTTTTCTTAATCTATTTGTTTAAACGTGAAACACATATGAATCCCTGCATTAGTGTATGCTTTCTAAAGTATAAATTTTATAAATTAGCCTATTATTTAACACTATTAAGAGCAAGACACAGTGTAGAAAAGAAGTAGTAATAATGATGACTTTGAAAAATGTTTGGGGAAAATATCATCATGGCTTTTCCTTTCAAAGGCAAATAGTACGAAAGATAAATAAAGCAAACATATGAGCGATTTACACCGGAAAAGAAAAAGCACACATGGAATACTTCATAATACGCATGGATTAAGAAATTAACAAATTATCGATATGCTGTAATTAATAATTCAAGTGCAATGAGATTTCATCTCGTAAAATAATTTATGGGTCCAGCTGATCTTACGGAAGAACTAATAATTTCCTAACTAAACCGATCTTTTCTAACTACCTTACACATTCGAAGCACTAAAATATTTCGAATGGCCGCTACATCTGTTCTAAATCGTTTGAATCCATACCATCAAAGTCAACAGAACTATAAGCCTACTTTTTTGACACTTAAAGTAACTTTTATTGATTCATGATTAATCTAGAAACATTCGCTGATACGGTAAAAACATTCTCTTAACCAGTCCGAGCTTTTTGTTCACTACACAATAAAATCTTAAACCTTTTATCAATTACAGCATTAAAGGTAACCAACTATAAGACGAATTTTTATATAACTTTCTCCAAGCACTTTATCTAGCAAAAGAAAGTTATGTTATGAAACCACTTACCTTAACTGACTTACTAAAATATTATCTAAAGAAAAGTTTTACTTTTCATACAAAAGTATTTCAAGAATTTAAACATCCCAAATTTCTTCGGCTGAAATCTGTTTTCCACACAGTTCTTCATTAGCGATGGAAGCAGAATCATTTGATTTTGCAGCTGATCGATTCGAAATTCTAGAATATATACTTTCACTATCAGAAAATGCTAAATCATAATGCGGCGGTATTGAAATTGGTCGCGTATAGCCATTAAGATTTTTGCTGTATATTCCCTTCATATCAGTAGAAGCAGCATTTTGATCTGCGAAAATCTCCTCCTGACATGACGAGGAATGCGGGAACGTTAAAGCTTTGCTGTTTGAACGAGTAGCAGTGATGACAGCAGAAGCAGCAGAAGTAGCACTATTATCATTTGACAGATCCAATGGCATATCGGGTGATGTTGGAAGTGCATCTGGTGACGAAAGATGCAAGTCAGTAGGTAGAAGTGCTGTTGCTGAATTTGCTCTGAAGTGAATATGAACAAATCCAGCGCGTGTTCCGGATGATGTTCGCCCGTGATGTACGCATCTGAAATTATAACCGATAATCAGGATTGTGACCTAAACTTAACACAATGTCTGAAACTGATTAAAATTAACTTTGGGTGCATTAAACTGCTCGGCCATTATCCATTCATATAAGTGGAAGAGTAAAGTGCCATAAGATCTCAAGCTTTGAACTTGAATCAGAACATAAATGACTATGTATTAAAATTATTATGATATAAGTATCACAAAATAATAAAGCACTATTTACGATATTAATTGTAACCGATATTAACAATATTGTTCGCGCGAGTTCTCGAATTCAAATATAAGCTTTTACTGTCTAAAGTTAATTAATTATTTTCACGTCAAATGTACTAATTTAACGCTCAAAACTATTTTGATCTAGCATTTTAAAAAACTATCATTTAAATCAATTTCGTCTTTTATCTAAAGTTATACAATTTATAAACAAATACCGGTTACGGGAACGCTCTGTTGTAAAACAGCGTCTATCAGCAATCTTCAAACGCATTTGCTCCATACGCGCCATATCTTCGCGAAACCTAAATATAACTTTAAAAACAAAATTCGAGAAACTTTAGCATGCCATTTTATGAGCTAATAAATGGAGAAGTTAAAGAGTATAACAAAAGTTCCACACTTTTGGAACTAGTGTTAATAAATATAAAATAATAACATACCTGCGATCATCGCTATTCCTAATGCGATCAATTTCTCTTTCCAACAAACTTGTTCTGCTTTCTGAACTTTTGCGCTCGTCTTCTAGTTTTTCGGACAGTCTTTCCTTCTCTTCCGTTAATTCTGCTATCTTCCGATCTTTCTCACTCTTTTCTTCTTCCATTTTTTTCAATTTGCCAGAACTTGAAAAGTTTTGGTGAAATCAATAAGTATAATAAGCTCTGGGTTAAAATGGAGAAAGACTCAACAAAAATAGATAAGTCTTTCGATATGCCACGTAACTAAACATTTCAGAACATGAACTAACAGTGTATCCGACTGTGTAGCTATCGCCATTTTATTTCGCTGCATTTCCTCGTGAAATTTGGCTTCTAGTTCAATAACATTTTTTTCCAACTGCGTAATAACATCCTCTAAATGGAAAAAATTTTTAAAGAACAGACGACACAAGTATACCGTACGAAAAAATCTCCATTTATTTGTAATAAGAAATTTAGTAAGTTTGGTGCTTAATGCACAAAAAAGAACCTTTCGCATGAAGAGTTTTTTTGAGCTTTGTTAGCTCATCACTTTCTGGATTTCTAGCACTCGAACCCTTTTTCACTCCAACCGAAACGCTTTCTTTAGCCAGCTGCATTTTCAGTTGAGCATTTTCCATCTCAAGTTGCGCCCTTTCACGGTTCCATTCATCTTCTCGAGATCGTTTATCGAACATTGATTTCTGAAAACAATTGCAAAATCCTGAGCCATGTGCATAGAGAAGGATTTTTTTTGAGAAGTAGGAATAATAAGAAAATAACAAACTTCAACAGCTTTCTGCAACGATTCGGCCCTTTCTACTCTTTCTGTAAGCTCCTCTACTTCTTTTTCTTTCCTCCATGCTTTTTCTTGTGCATTTCCTAAAGCCTTCTCCAAAATCTAAAAGAAAAATGTTCTATTAAACACGAAAAATAGTGACCCGTTAACAAAACCAAGTGAAAAGCAAACCTGAATGTGATTCCTCTGATCCTTCAAGGTGACTTCCAACGCTTCAATATCCATTTTCTGGCGCTCTTTGCATGCCATCAATTCTTTATCTGAAAATAAATACTTTAAGAAATCAGAGATTCCACTCATTACAAAGGAAAATGGTGAATTATTATCACCATCTTCTTCCCACCGATACTGACATCAGGTACATGAGAAATGAACAAACTTTGAGGAATGATTTCATTGAGCAACAAATTAAGCTTATTAATTTGCTCTGACTGATCTTCTGCCTGTATCCTTCGTATTAATTCAGCAATTTTCGTTCGCAACATTTCGTTCTCGGAAGCATACCTATAGTTATTTTTGTATAAAATGATAAAGCAACCTAGCACTATTACAGAAAAGGAAGTATAATATTGTAAGCCAAAAACAAAATATATAAAACAAGACATATAAAAATAAGAGCTTCAGAATGCAGCCACTGTAAGATACCTCCCATAATTACATAAGAAGTTCATTGTTTCATCAAATCTGAACACACCTTGCGATCTGTTGCTCCATTTTCATACGTGCCGCTTTCTCAAGATTGTCTTGCCTCTCCTTCTGTGCCGTTAAATTTTCGTACTCCTTTTCGATAGTTTCATAGGCTTTTTCTAACTTAAGAATTTTTATGGTATTTAAACGTGGAAAAATGAATGCTAAAACTAGCGAACTAATGATTTACCAGTAAAAAATGCTTGTATCGTAAGTGATAAGCGATAGAAACGAAAGAAGGAGTAAAATCTTAAAACATATAAAAAATTAAATAGAGAGAAAAGCACCTGCTGCAAACGGCTTGCTTTAACAGTTAAGAAATCGCACTGCTGCTTCAAGGCAGAATTTTCGTCTTGCAATGCTCGAACTAAATTTTGATTAGCAATTAGTTGTGTCTTCAAATTTGCATGTTCGTTCCCATCAAATGGAGGACTGGGATGATAAACTGGTGAAACAGATTCTGTGACTCTGAAATTTCAATTTTGTTTATACCTTTAGGGATAACAAGGAATTAACAAATGAATTAACAAATGCATGTAAATAATTCCTCAATTATAAACGTCCAAGTGTTAGGCAATTTTGTTTGCTGTGAACTCGTCTTGCTGACAACTGAGATAACAGCAAAACGACAATGAATTGCAAAATAGTAACTGCTGCTAATTAAATAGCAATTATTATCAATATAATGTAGCAAACAGACAATTCGTTTTTCTGGTCGTTGACAGTTATGAGACATGGCTGTGAATGACTCATCGGTGGTATTTGGGGTTGAGTAGACGAAGTTGCAAAACTTCTGAAAAAAAAGAACGCTAATTTTAAAGAAAAACAAAAGAGAGTGTTGTATCTTCTATTAAATTGAAAGAAATTCCTGCTAAAAAGCAGAAAAATAAAGTACAAAAATTGTTATATCCTATTCCGATGAAATTCAAAATTATCAAGCGCTCAGAAAGAATAAATGATCAATTTTTGCATTTTCATTCCCTGGAAGAATCGAAATAACTGAAACTAAGCATAAGAATTTTTTCTCGAGAGACAACAATTTTCATGGAAGGAGACACTGAACACAGGCATAAAAGATAAAGACATAAAACATAGTTACTTGATGAGTTCATGACTGGTTCGATTTGACAACTGTTGCTGCTGCTGAATTACTTGTGACTGATATTTGCTAATCATCTGTTTTAATTTGGTATCTTCCACTCCATCAATTTCAGTGCCATCCACTACAAATAATTATAATCCATAAAGCAACATATGACTAAAAATTTCTCGCAACACTGAAAGGAATTGATCTCACCCAATCCAATTAATTCCATCTGAACCTTCAAAAAAAATGTAGTTGAATGCAAGGAACCCAAAAAAGCAAAGCCCAACTATTTCGATTTTCTTTCATTATAAGAACCAATAAGAATTTATTTTCATCCAAACTACTACCACTTTCGAATACATCAAGAGAAGCTAGAGTAAGTTAACAAGCATTACTACTCGAAGTATAATATGTCTCACTAGCTAATGCAGATTAACAGTTGGAGACAATAACGCTACCCATAACAGCAGATTTAAATTTAAGATGGAGAGAATGACAGACCTTGCTGAGCATTTATTTTATTGCTTGAAGTGGAAATATTATGAGCCTCATGCAGTAATGAGTTGAGGATTCGACCTTCCTGCAAATGCATGGGACTTACTGCATGTACACGTCGATCGCGTGGTTCTATTGACCAACTTCGCAGTTCGCGTCGTTCTCCATCCATGACTTTCACACTCGTAGCGTTACCCTAATTAACCAGTAAAAACTATAATCCTTTAGTAACAGATAGTTACGCTATTTCCACTTCGCTATAAAGGAAGTTCTTTAAAGATAGCTAAAGGAAATTTACCCATGATCAATACAACATTAAACCACAATATTCTCATCACATCCTGATAATGAACTGACCTTTGTCCGTTGAAAGCGATTCCCTCCTCACACACCAAATTTCCACCGACGACACAAAACGGATATTGTATACGTTTTCTACGTCGATGTGCCAGTATGCGGTTAGATTTAACGCGGTTCTCAGAACTCAATCTCGGTGAGGGGCGCCGTTTTTTCTAACAGAGTATTTAGCTGGTAGGTTGATCGGTTTTTACTTGCGTTATCATCTGTCCTTCACCATTATCTTTGATTCCATGATATGCGCACCTCTTCCGCACCCACATGCAAGTGCAGCTATGTCTTTGGGAGTTTTTTCTTGTCTTCACTCTAACTTTTGATAACTTCATAAAAAATTTCGCGTGCTTATATTCGTTTGTATTCAATTAATTCTTATATGTGAATTAAAATATTAGCTGAGTTTCTGGAGAGCAGAAATGGAATTTCAGATTTTGTTAGATGATTACGAACCAAATTGGTACGGTTATCTTAGGCATAGCTTTGCTTTTATCTTTACGAGATATTTATGGGCATTCCAAAGACGAATACGACGATGATGAAGTGTTTAAAAAGGAATTCGATGATGAAGTAGGTTCCTTTACAATATTATGGAAGAATAACAGCGTTGGTAAATCACTGTATAATCTACGAGATCAATGTTCAGACTGTTTTCCTCTTTGTATTATAAGTTGGATCTACCATATTTTTTGAATATTATCAAAAGAACTTTCTGTTCCAGAAAACTGGCGAAAATTTGGAAGATGCAGACCACATTCGAGTTAGGGAAGGATCAATTCACTTCACTGCACCTCCACATACTACTAAGAAACTTCCTAGCATGAAGTTTTTATTTTGGTTAGACTTACATTTATAATTTAGGAAGATATTACAAAAGATAATCTTTGCCATACTTCCATTTTAACTTTAGCACAGCTTGCCTTAAACTTATTTTGAACTTAGTAAAATTGCGTTCATGCGAGTTCATGCATGGAAAAGAGTCACATCTGCATGAAAAACACTTTCAGCGTTTCTTGCGGTTATCGACAAGCATTTGATGAATTCTCCCGTTACATTCACGAAAAATATCCTTCAATGAGAATCGATGGTGCCAATCACTCACCTAAGGCATGGAAAAATGTTTTGGCGCAGGTTGAGGATCCTTGTTCCTTTACTTCAATAGCTTAGAACTTATTATCATTTAAAATATAATTCAAAGAACTTAGATTGAACTTTATCATATTCCATTGTCTCTCTTAAATAGCAAAAGTCCAATCCAAACGGCTATTAGCCAATTTTGCCGATCAAATGCTTGGTCTACAAGATTAGGTAATCATTGATTAGTTATAAATAGGCTTTTAATGTTTAAACTTTGGCAGAATGTTCTATAAGTTAACTTTTTGATATCATGTTTGTCAAGTGGAATTTGGGATCATGTAGGACTATATGAATTAACTAATTGAACTGCACAATCATAGTAGAATGAAACACGATCATAATAGAATTGAACTAGGCAATAATAATAAGTCTTTTATTTATTGTATTTCTACAAAAATTTCCGGCAAAAATTAGGAAATGTGTTTCAGATTATTGGATTGGGAAAGATTGTGCTCATTGTGTTGATCGTAATGGGACAAGATCCGTTCGCATCGATTGGACAGCCAACACCGCGCATTTTTTCATGGGCCCTAAGCAATAAAGTTTCATCGTGCATGATGTTGTTTCTTCTTTCTAACACTATTGAAAGTTAGTTGTTTATTTTTTGACCACTACGATATTCGAGAGATTGGAACATTATACTTACTATTTCATATGTCGGTCCCAGTGTCCCGTCAGAATGCCAATCAGAATGTTACACGCATTTCGAATTATTTTAAAATGATTCGAAAGTAATACTGATTTCCACAACTGCGAATTGGTTTTTCCGAAAATGAAATAATAGGGACCTTTGTGTTTTGAAGTGACTTTGAAAGTGACGTATAGAAAACTCATTTATTTAATTCAAAATTAAATATGAAATAAACTTTTCATTTCAGGCTCTCTTATGTCGACAGGAGCGTTTGAAATTTATTTGGGTGATGAACAGATATGGTCGAAGCTTGAAAGTGGACGAGTGCCATCACCATCAGAGCTAGTTCAAATTGTCGACCAACAAATGGAACTGCAAGGTGTAAAAGTAGGTCTTTTATTAATTTTTTTCGGTTTCGTTTGGTGATCTCACAGTTCTTATTTCAGGTTTCTGATACATTTGCATTTGATTCGTCTTTATGAGCCATCAAAATGATTACCCGATAAACGTATATAGTTTGGTCTTGAGTTGCTGAATTTGTTGTCGCTTAAGACGCCAGCTTCGAAATTTTAATGTACATTATATCTCGACCCTACTGGGAATATTTTATTTTCATTAATGAGTCGAGGTTTTTTGAATCACTGTATTTGTAGGTGTTTCGCTGCTTATTTTTGCACGTTTATTTGTTTAGTCCCAGGTGTTTCTAGTTCAGAAGACAACTTCTGATCTTTGGCTATAATTGTTGCTATCATCGTGTCTTATGTTAGCGTTCATTATCAACGTCATTTCATTATTAATGCTATTTCGAAAAAACTAAATCGTGTTCTAATCTTATTTTTCAATCCTGTTAATTACGAAAATCTTTGAGCGAAGAGCCAACATGATTTTGCCAGAATTTAAGAGTTATTCCTATCCTATTAATTACAAAAATTTTTAAATGAAAAATTTGACGGTCATTTTTACGCCGAATCAGTTTCGTAATGCAGTTTTTATTCACCTATCGCAGTGTTATTATCGTTGACATCGTGTTGCTATGCCAAACATTTTAATGTTCAAAAATATTTCACTTAAGGTACCATTGTTGGTTAAAATTAGCCGATTTTAGAATCGGTCATGTCCTTAACCTTGCGAGCTTGTTACTGCATCTCCTCTACACACTTATCGCTGACAAAAGAGATATTCTAGATAACTTCTTCACTCTATCCCGAGAACTGAACTCTATAAATTGATGAGGTCAAGAAAGATAATCTCCGAGAATTTCGTACTATTAAGCTTTAAGTCAAAAGGCCTGTGCTGTTCGTATTTATAGATCCTCTTGTTTTTTACTATTCATTTTTCTGATTCTGATCCAATACCATGATGAATACCAGGCAAGTTTATTTCAATGTCCGGAAAATTTTATCCATGAAATCAAATACTACAAAAACAAATGCGTGGTAGTTATAAATTATAACGAATGAGCGAAAATTTTCGAGACGAAATCCATGCATTTTTATCTGTGCTTAACAAAAAAAATTCCTGCGCGTAATGATATATAACATAATATGTAGCATACCATATTCATTACCACTAGTTCATTGATGACAACATTTTATCCATCGCTGATGAAACAGATACTTCTATCAAAATCTGATTTTTCGCAAAATGAAAAAATTGAGAGACTGCGAAACAAAGAATGAGGGACCACTACATGACGTTGAATCTAAATCGAAGAAGTCTTTGAACATAGTTAATTACGTACCAACGCTTTTGTAGATTTGGTTTTCATAAAAAGAATCAAAACACTCACTTTTGATTAGATTTGATTCGCAGAACACACACAGAACACGACTCTAAATTCAAAGGGATACCTAAAAGAATCATTATTCACTTAGAAAAGGATCCAGACTTCATAATTGACAATTAGAAGTCAGGAAAAGTTTAAAAAAAAGTCGATTGATTTAATCAAAGATCTGAGGTAATATGTGAAACAAGTATTTCTATCAAAAAAACGGTCGGCCTGATTTTGCAACAAAATGAAAAAATTGACAGATTGAGAAACAATGAATGGAGAAAGTTCATTGAAAATGAGAACACACTGACAAGCATAGTTTAACATAGAAAATAAACTTATTTTCAGAAAGACTGCGTATGTTTGAAGGGTTTTATTCTACAAATTAGAAGGAATGGAACTTGGACAGGGAAAATACTAAAAAAGTACTTTGTCTAATTATTTCAAATATAGCACAATATGAGCAGAATTGAGGCAAAATATAGAAACTGCACAGGCTCTCGGACCACATCCAAAAAAAAAGATTTGCAGGCGCCACATTGATGTTCTCTCTGCAGTAAGGCAGACTTTATGCAGAAATACCATTGTTCTGCAACCTTGCTCTTTTTTCAACTTATTTCAAAGATGGAATGAATCAACAATCATATTGTTAACCATTATTATACAGCACCAATTTTTCAATAGCCTGCACGTTTTTCGAAAATTCTGATATCTCACTACAGATTTAATCGATAGGGAAGAAATGGAAAAATAAACGGAGTGGTATCTGATAAGATCAGTAAAAAAAGCATTTCATTCGGCTAAGTCAAAATGAAAAATTCTTTTACACACATGTGAAAAAAAGAAGCTCATGCCTTCATGTCCTGTATTTGTTTGATGAGATAAGCCTTCTCATCATTGAACTGCTCGTCTTCTGTACGGTCAGTGTGGAAATTATTAAGGAACTCGACCAGTTTCTCCTTATTCCTCAATAAAATATCGGCAACAGCCTTCGATTTGTTCGGATTTGCCACAAAAACCTAGAAAATTGAAAAAGATCCAATCTATTCGTGATAATGAAAATAATTCATTCGTTTAAATAAATTTTTACTTATCATGAAGTATGTAGCGAGGTTATAGACAACTAAGGTATTTCAATTTTTTAATTTTTGCATCCAAATAATCCTAAAGAACGTTTTGAGTTCGTTTTGAGTTCTATATATAAAACTATAAGTTCATTTATAAGCACTTTTAAGGTGTCAACACAAATGGCTTGCTTATTGAAGAATTATTTAAAATTTTAAAACCATATCCATAGGGAGACGAAAGACTTTTTGCATTCCACTTCTTGTGGAAACAATTTAAAAATACGGAGAATAAAGGATCAACCTTAAAAACATGAAATGCTTCAAATTGTATGCTGCGACTTTTCTCCTTGAGCATATTCATCATGAGCTTGAGATTGTCAGCATTATTGATATATCTCGTCATTATATTAAAATTGTGACGATCCAATAATAACTCGCCCAATAACTAAAAGAGATAAAAATCATCATCTTCCGCAAATTAAAGTTTTTCTTCGCTTCATAACGACAATCATGCTAATAACTGATTAATTCCACAACAAGCACACAAACCTTTAAAGATTGTCTTCTTGTAACATAATTTTCTGAATTCAGCAAATTTTGATAAGCTTGGAAAAATTCGTCGTATTTGCTATCCAGAAATTCAGCACAAACTGCCTTGTGTCTTGTTACTAATTCTTTAAATGTCGAAAATGCGTCTGATGCAATATCAAAGGTAGACACCTGAAACAAAAAGACGCATGGTGAATCTATAGTATGTCCTAATTCAAAAGTTCAGCCAACAAATAATTCTTCGTTTCATTACCATTTCATTTCATTCATTTCATTACTGTTCCTACCTAAAAATTCCAAACAGCCAACGGTCGAGGTAAGGCGCCCTACAGCAGGTGGCTAAGCAGCATGCTCAGCAGGCTGGTTAATAGCATCTATAAATTATTTCATTTTTTATATCAATTAGTTCCAACATCAATAAATCGAGTATTTTTCAAATAAAATACGTTGCTGTGCTCCCAAATCATCACTGTCAATGTTGAAATAAAATGATAAAGTGAAATTTCATTAAAGTCTGCAACCCATTCGTTTAAAAGAAATAATTTATATGCACACGGCAGTTTATGCCGATTATTGATCGGTTACTAGCTGACAGTTTGAATATCAGAAGTTATCAACAGCAATAAAGATAATCTCGTAAAAGCAGAAAACTTACTTCAACATAGCTGAAGAATTTGTAAAAATCTTTGCTATAAAGAACCAATTTTGCAAGATTTTCATGCCGGACACATTCTCTTAACATACTGCCACAAGTGACAGCTATCTCAGGAGTTTCATATCTGAAGAAGGACACCTGTTGACTTCAAATTACACCAATTTTTGGAATTTATTGATCGAACAAACCACTAATAATAACACCACGATGCACTTCCGCACCGTTTCCTTATTGCTCATCCTACATGCTTTGCTGAACGAGAGCATTCTTTTTTTTGCCATTCTTCATGTAGGTTGTAATTCAGACAAAAATAACTTCATGCAATAGTTTTCAAAAAAATCCCATTTTCGTTTTGAAGTTTTTAGTGCTTCAGTAACCTCGTGTTGCATAACAAAAACATTCTATCTTCTTGTATCTAGTTGAAGCAAGCATTCGCTACATCAAAAAAAATTGCCATTTATAAAAAAAAGCCCTTTTTACTTTTTTCAAAAAATTGTTTACTTCCGTATCAATCCGTTCCTATCTTCTCTGTAACAAATGTAGCAATTTATCTGTATTCTCATATGACTGCAACGATTTCTAGACTCATAGACTACGCTTGATGGATTTTGATAGAACTATTTGAAGTGATAACACAGGCTAACCCTTTGACCAATGTCTCAAGAATCTGTGGTCGGGTATGCACATATTCCACCGTTGGTGAACGTGTTCCAATCTGTCGTCGCAGAAGATTGTTGAAAATTTGTGCAACATCCTTTTTTGCTTCGAAATCAAGCTTTGTCAAGTTTTGGATAAGCATCGGAAGAATGGACGAGTTGTACGATTCTTGAGCCAGTTGCGCTACCTGTAAAAACCATTACTTTTTGAGTTTGAGAATACCATCAGCACTGCTCTGGTTTCGATTATCCCTCTTTAACTTGGGCCTCCTACCATCATTATGACACAAATATATGGATCCCGATAACTTTAACCAAGAAATCGCATTCGCTTGGGATGCAAATGAAATTTTTTAATATAGACATTACAATCTTGAGTACTTATTTTGGATTTATAAAAAAGAAAAAAGCAAAAAAGAATAAAACAAGATTTCCCGATAGACGATTTATAGAAATTTGAGCCAAACCCTGGATGAAATCCAAAACAATTACACAAGAAATTAACCTGTTCCATATGTGGCTCCTGACTCTCTTGTCCATAAATGATACCTTTAATTGCCTGCAATGACTTGCTTACTTCTTCTGCAACTTTTTCATTTTTTTTATCCCCTCGTTCTAATTTTTCCAGTTGTGTCAGTGAGTCCTTCAAATTTTTAACGATATCCGGTGGTGATTTATGTGATTTGCCGAACAGCGGTAAAGGCATTGTAAAGTAATAAAAGCTGAAAATTAAAAATCTCTTCAAAATTCAAGCTTCAAAAATAATAATAGTAAACCAACAGACGTATCAATAAGAAACATTACACGGCGCTGGTTAAAAATTAAATACAATTACTGAAGTCATATCTGGTAATATGAATTGGGGACTTTCGTTTTTGCTGAACCAAATATGAAAACATATCACTAGTACCCAAATTTAAACTAAAAATTAACCGAGGCCGAAATAAAATATATGATGAGAATAAAATATCCGAAGAATATGAAATCAGTAATATGGAATTTAGATCAGCCATATAAACTCATACATATATTTACGAAGGACTAAGTCAGTTATAATCATCGTTCTCGTAAGTAAGGGATTACGCTACTCCTCTGCTTCAATCCCGAATACATTCAAAATGCCGAAAAAATCAACAACAAAATTTTGGTCGCTTAGCTTTATGTTAATGATCGCATTCAAGAGGAAGGTATTTTGTAATCGGTTAATTTTTTCAATATGAAACACATTCAAACAATCAAATCACGGTAAAAATTGAACATATGAAGAATTCGAGAAATGAACCGAACAAAAAAGAAAGAACAGCAAGAATCAAAGTATAACTGTAAAGTAGTATGAAGGACTATGATTATCAAATATGAAAAGTGCATTATAGTATTTTACCTAATATTATGGAAACGAAATATATGGATCAGTGGAGAAATCGCATCGACCGAAAGATATCGATATGAAAGTGCATGAAAAATGAATAACAGTAACTAATATAAAGACCTGAAAGTCCAAAAAGAATGTTGGGATGGGATTTTTTGTTCACAGAATGTTGGGATGGGAATTTTTGTTTATAGAATGTTGGGATAGAATTTTTTGTTCACAAACAACATTAAAACAAGTAGAAAATAACTTTCCATAATTTTTTGATGAATCTTTCTCCAATATTTGGAAAATGAGGAAACATTGTGGTCTATTAAGTACATTAAAATACCAATTCCTCTCTCAAATATTTCTGATAAATATGGATAAAATTAGACCTAAGAGTACTATGGCCCTTCACACAATTTCCTTTTTCTGAAATATTATTAACTTTGTGAAGTTCGCGAAAATTGCACACTCTACCCAAGCATCAAAGCATCAAAATAATGTCTATAAGCGTATCGCGTCGCTGTTTTCACCTTTTCGCGTAAAACGATTAGCTTACTCATTCAGCTAAAATTTGCACTTACGTTTAACGCATAATAACCACTGAAAGGAAACGAATACTAAAAAAACAGAACCATTGTGTCTCGCTTTCTACAAATCGTGTGCAGCGCTCGTACATATAATGATTAAATTGGAATGATCAAAATAAAAAAAACTAAATCAATGATGTGACTCGAGATTTGAATAAATAAGAAATGAAATGAAAACAAGGGATGAAAATTTACGCAAGCGAGCAGATCCCCCAAAGCTAAGAAGGCTGCAGATATTACTCGAACCGAATTCAACAGTTTTGGCTCAGAGTCAAGAAGCGAGCGACAAGCTGAGAGGATAGAACACACGACGAAATCAACTGTGCATGACATTTGCCATCAAACTTCCTTCTGCAAACGAAATTATTCAAAATGACCGCTTTATCGGTTGATTCGTGCAATATTATTAAAGACTACATATTAAATCGAACAAAATGAACCGACCGCAGAAAGGTGCTCACAAGAGCATTCTCCCCACTCCATAATAACTCCTGGTTTGATCTAACCGCGACTGAACATTTGAAACTGTGCCACTCAGCAACAGTTCAAAATTTGTTCATTAAATAATAAGATATGTAACGAGAAACCATCAGACGACAACAACAATCACATCCCTTCCTGAATTGTCCTTGACCCTCCATTGGCGTCCTTGATCGTACCCTCAACCTGCTCTACAATATAATATTGATTAAAGTCATAATGTATTTGATCATGCTGTTTGAACATTTGAATTTGATTGTAAAATGTAGTACAAAAAGCGGATGATATGAAGTGAAATCCTATGAATGAAGGCCCTTATATTACTATATCTATACTAATACAGTTCTCAATATAATGCTATTACATACAAATATATAAATGTATACAAACTGTTTCAATGAAGAAATGTTCAATTCATGGGAGAGAAAGTTCCTAAAACTAGCACAGAATAATTTGGAAAAGAACAATCGCATCATACCGGGTCACATCGCATCGCATTGATCGTATCGCAATCGATTGTATCTTATCCGATCTAATCGCACCGGATATGACGCCCGTGCGCAACGCCACTACAACCCAAATTGAATGAACATTGTAACACAACACGCCCATGCGACACAATATTCGCCTGCCGCCGTTTAATCCGCCCCCTCATAGAACCCGGCCATCAAAGTTTCTATTCATGTCATTATGAAACTTTAATCATCTCTCATCCTTAACCTGCAATTTTATACTTGTTGCGTTTGACGCAGTGCGTGAGAGTGAGTATAGGTTATATTTGCACAATAGTTTAAGAGTGTTCTTGCAGTTGGGATCGGTCGCGGGATTCGTGATTTCTGAGGTTTTCCGTTAGCATTACACTCAAAAAGATGCCACCAGAAGTCCTGTGCCGATGAAAGTATCGCGAGTATCACATATTGCGAGTATCGCACAGATGGAGTGCTCGATTGCCGTAGCGACGGCTGACGATAGAGATGAAAGTAGCGGAACCGATTGTAGTGGAACCAAAACATTGCTTATGACAAATGATCAAACATTCTACAAATATCGAAGACATAACAACAACAACAACAATAATAACAACAGTATCTGTGACATATCCTATTTCATTATCTCTTTACTGTGGTTTAGAAGAGTTTTGAAATTATCATATAGAATTACATTTCAATAAACTTTCATATTTACTGTTCATTTCATACCTTTTCCTTGCATTCTGATACGGAACAATTATTTCCTCCGCTGCAGTTTCGATAATCTATGACCAGATAGTTTGACTTATCGGAAATTAAATGAAACAGATCAGTTTAATAGTTGATAAAATTAAGAAGCTTTATGACGTTATTATGTGGTAAAATTTGTCCGCACAATAATCAACAAAGTGCACATCAAGGAAATCCAATTCGAGGGAAGCATAAAAATTCCACTGATTTGAAAGTTATAAACGATCTTGCCGTTGACTTAATGGATACTTAGCTGATAGGATCCATTCAATTGTTACTAAGAGTTATTAGCCATGTAACTTCACAGGAAGGACGTTATTTGTTATTATCCGACGCTAAATTAATTCTATCAGTATGTCATAAACTGAGCAACTATCAAACGGATAAGTTGAGTTCAAGTAAAAAAGGGAGGTTGCGGATCGTCTATTGATTTTTACCAAGTTCCAAAGTACATGAAAAAGTTCAAAGCATAGAAAGCATTCCTTTCTTTCGTATGTGTTTCGTTAATTTAAACAAAAAAGGCGCTTCGGAAGCACTTAGGTAAATGTTATATTTTACCCTCTTTTAGCAGAAGAATTTAATAATTCTTGCATTGAAGTTCAAACTTGCAGTCAAATGAAGAGTTACCTTCATCGTGAAATGCTATTGGAGATCGTGATATAGTTAAGTTTTCAGGCATTATCGCTATCGTAATGGAAGCACATCGAATTTCGAATTGTGCTAAATCAATGAAATGTACGATGTTAATTATGGACAGTTCCTAATTATGAAGAAAGCAGAGTTATTTTTGGCATAGCAGATTCCTAGAAATTACAAGAGGAAGTATTGCGCGCAAAACCAAATTGCTTGTTTTCCAGAAACCCAAAAATTTTATACATCAATATCCAGGCGTTACCGATTGACTAATCTTCAAGAAGGCGTAGTATGAATATGATGATGGATCGAATGAAGAAGACAGATAATTCAGAGCAGACCAATCTCAATCACACGAAACTTTATTCTGAAAATCCTGCGATACATTTTGATATATTATCTCTGTGGTACATTATCTCTGTGATACATCATCTCTGTGATAATGATCTCTGTGATACATTATCCCTCCAAAGAGTATGCACCACATGTAGTATTCCCATCCTCATTATCTCTCAAAATCTTAGCAATATCATTTTGTGTAATGATAACATCTTCAGATTTTTACAATTCATTGATGAGTAGTATTCGAAAGAATATTTTATAACATACTGCATGAATTACATCTTTAATTTTACAGGATATTAAAGAAAATGTGTTTTGATAATGGATTTGATCGATGAAAACATTCAAGCGAAAAATAAATGTTAATTCGAGTTTTAGCCAAAATTCAAGGTTTATAGCAAACACCGTTTTGAAGAATTTTTCATATTTTATTTTCTATAAATTGAAAAATGAGTAGTCCTTTGATTTATTTGATCTTTTGAATAAGATTTTACTGATTTAGAATTTTTCCTTTGAAACTGTTTACTTTATTTAAAAAATTGTTTTTATTATTTTCAATACTTCAAATGTGCAATGTTGTGAACAATAAAGAAGTGGTAGTAAGAAGTTTGCCAGCATTTTTCTACTTACTTTTTTTCTTTTGATTTCTATGATGAAAAAGATATGGTATCAGTAGCATGCAAATTATTTGTCTTAGTGAATTTTTTTAATGAATTCATTCATTATTTCTGCATGTAATTCGAAATAACAAAGCAACGATATGTAACATTCAAAAGGGAATTATTTATTGAAGATATTTGATTGATTATGATTAAGAAATTTCAGGTCTTATGATTTTTAATTTTTACAATGCACTCCAATAATGTGACACATTAATTTAGAATATGATGACATGCGTTGCGCTTTATATAAATAAATGAACACAAAGAATTCTATTAAATGAATCTTAATTGATGCTATGATGGTATATGAATAAACTGGTAATAGTGCAAACAAACTGATAATTGAGGATAAAAGCTTATAACATGGAAATGCTAAAAGCTTTACTGTCCATAGGAAATGCAACCTTCGGTAATGAAATTATCATTGAGTTTACCAATAGAAAAGGAAGGATACGCAATTAATTACGAAAACTTTTCCACCTTTATATCAATATCTTATTGATATGTGCTTTTCATTCAAACTGCTTCGATACATTTTGAAAATTGCATTAAGATGTATAATTTGATAAGGCTATCTCAATTTTAACAAAGAGCTTTCACAAATCCATTCGTTGATTCTAAAATCAGATACTTCACATTTTTCCATACTTTTATCGAAAATTTTCAAGATTAAGAAATTCTTAATGCATCGTGCTATTTAATTATTCAATAAATTAATAGGAAATCATTTTCTCAGATTTTCTTTCGTTAGAGTTGGTGATTGAGTTTTTTGATAACGGTTATGATTGAAGATAGATGCTGTTCCAGTGAATTTTGATTCGATAGGTGATCTAGAGCGTCCATCAAAAATTAATGTTGTTTTGAATAGATACCACGCGAGTACCATTGAGAGCAAAATTATACAAATAACGACGAATATTGTTAATGTAATGATACAGTATCGCACAGTTATGAATAGTTCACTAGCTTTCTTTAAAAAAAGGTTAAAAAATTATTGGAAACAAACATTTAATTGGAAACGATCATATCATTTGAAACTTTCAAGAAACGCTCTAAAATTATTTTCATTCTTTAATTGATATAATTCACTTAAATGTTTCCAAATTGAAAAACAGAATATTCCATCTTTTAAAGCTCTATAAAATCTATCCTTTTTTTTTTATACTTTATATTTAACAATTCTTGAATAATCTTTTCGATCTTATCTTTCATTTAGACAATTTGGAATTTATAAATAACAAACCTGAGCAGCTAATTGAATATCTTCCATACCACATGCTTTGAAACATACATTTCCCGAGAAAATATCAGTAACAGTATCGGATAAAGAAGGAACATCGTAATGTGCTGCTACTTCTGCGCCAGAAGTTCTTGTAGATGGAATGAACAGATTCATAAATCCATTTAAAGTACGCGATACATCAGAAAATAGCTGTGATACATTGATTTCACTCGGTATATCTCCACCACTCGACATTTTTCCAAAAAATATAAAAATTTGCTACTCAAATTGCTAAATTTCCATACTTTAAATAGTTCAGCAAAGAGTTACATGAAAAAAAATGGCAAAAAATTTAAGATTTATAAATCAAAAAGTTACTCGCCTCAACCTAAGCTCCTTAAATTGCCATTGGTAGAACGACGCTTCATTACTTAATTTATAAATGAGAAAATGCCCAAAAGAAGAAACCGTCAAAATTAGAATGAGAACGAGATCGAAGTGAATTTTCGTGGCGAAACAATCCCATACATTATGGAATATATGGAACAATGATGGAAATTGTGGAAGTTTTCGATTTTGAAACGAAATTGCAGAAATTCAATTTTTCCACTTATTTTACAAAAGATTAAATTATATTTATGAAATATATTTGAATGAGAGAACTGTCTTGTTGCATATGTGTAAAAATTTATGAAATTTTTTCGTTGTTTATTTTAGATAACGATCGAACAATTATTATCACCGAATTTTATCAGATCAGTGGAAAGGGAGAATTTCAATTATTTCAAGAAAATTATAAATATTAAAATCTAAAATTGGAAATAATCAAAATGATATGGCAATAATAAGAAACGGTATTTCAACCTCTTTTGAAAACAAATATTGTATCAAAGTGAATCACTTCTAGACCAGTTTTCTGTCATGATAATAGATAATAAGCAACAAAAATTTAATTTACTAGGAAAAATTGTGAAAATTTTCGATTTTAAAAAGAAATTGCAAAAATTGAAATTTTCTACTCATTTTACGAAAGATTAAGTTTTATTTATGAAATATATTTGAATGAGAGGACTATTTTGCTGCATATATGTAAAAGTTTATGAAGTATATGAAATTTAAAAAATGGATAAACTGCAACGATTGTATGAATAAACTGCGAATACAGAAATCAAGCAGGTAAATAATTAATTAATACATGTATATATATACATATATTAAATTAATTATTGTATTTAATTAATTGTATATATATATATATATAATTGTAGTGCTACAAATACTTTCATGAATGATTTAATGCTTAGATGAATGAAGTAATGAAGCATTTGTCGATGATATTATAAGCGTAGAAGTGTAGAACTTATCCTAATAGTTGTCAATTTTGAAATAATTATTTATTTTTTAAAAAAATACAATGATGAGATAAACAAACAAATATCTATCTCATATATATGTAATGAGAAGAAAGAAAATCGATGAAATTTTTGCAAAATTATTTTAGTTTTATTTGCAATAGCATTTTTTTGTCTTTTGAAAGTTTTATATTAGAAATAATTATTGCAATTCGAAATGAATTCACAAAGTATTATATCTTTAAAAATATATTTTAATGTTTGAGATTATTTTCATACATTTATTTTAATGGTAATTAACCCATAGAAATGAAATGAAATATATCTATTGTTTTCTTCATATTTTACAGCAAATTGAATTATAGAAATTTCAAAAATTTTAGAAATACATTAATAGTTTGGAATAAAACAAAATTTTTTGCAATTTGAATATCACACATATTTTTAAAACATATAAACCAAATTAGCACTTAATTAGACTGTCTAAAAAGTAACAAAACAAATTTGTTTATTTGTTGACTTTTCATGCTGAATGATAGAGTAATATGTGTTTTATAAGTCAATTAAGCAAATAGAATAATTTGAAGATAAATAGATATGCAGTTATCATAGCAGTTTTAACAATGATTATTTTTTAACAGTAATGTAAAGAATTAGAAAATAATAAAGCTTTTAGCACTTCGTTCTCTGCCAGCTAAAACTAAACTTCAACAATTCGGTTTTTAAATTAATACAAATATTTGGTAAAGCAATAGAAAAACTTTGCTTTTGTATGAAGAAAGAGAGAAAGAAGAGAGAGAGAGAAAGAGAGGGTAAAAGAAGAAAATGAGGTTAAATGATTTCATCGATATGGCCTATAAAAGATATGACCTAAATTTATTAATACTGAAGCTGTTGCTACTACTACTACTACTAGTAACTGCTACAAACTGCTACTGACTGCTACAAACTATTACAAACTGCTATTAACTGCAACTAATTGCTGCTAATTGCTACAAACTGTTATTATCTATTGCTAACTATTACACACTGCTACTAATTGCTACAAACTGCTTCCATTGCCACTATTGCTACTACTGCTATTATTGTATTACTACTGTTACTGCTACTGTTTCTGTTTCTGTTTCTCTTTCTGTTTCTGTTTCTGTTTCTGTTTCTGTTTCTGTTTCTGCTTCTGCTTCTGCTTCTGCTATTGCTTTCGCCCACCTGCCCATTGTTTGAAAAGGACCAGTGCTTTCCTTCTCTCAAACTTCAAATGATTATAGGCTATTTTTATTTGCTGCGTCCTATCTGATCAAGGTGAATTACTCCACTATAATATTTCAGATGATATCCTCTTCAGGTTACATGTAGCTATTATTTTGTAACTAATTTCAAATCTTTAATGCTGTCACCTGCTAATTTCACGCTACCTTTCATGTCTTTCAAAGAAAAGAAGAATTATAGGTGCATGAAAACAAACAAAAATCAAAACTATTGTCTAACTTAGTTTATAAACTCCTTCGTCATCTCTTTGAGTTCCTCCGTCAATGAATTGCAAATTGCAAAATATTTTGAAATTAATGAAGAACGAAGGCAAATGGTACCTTCGTCTTTCTTTAAAAAAAGATTATCAAATTAATGTCCCTAATTGTCCGAAAACTCGAAAACTTTCCAGCATAATAGTGACCCGAAGAAAAATTATCACTGATCTCACCGTTTTATTACTGATTGCTTGATTACCTAAGCAAAACCTCCTGTTTCACTGACAAAAGAACAATGGACTCCGACAAAGTTATATTAAATCTTTTTAATATCAAAACTTCAATTAAAACAATAGTCATCTGGCAAAAAAAAGTAGGCACTATCAGAATGCACGTCATGTAAACACTCTCCAACATCTTACTGCACTTTATTCATTTTGCTCCCTACCTAAACCACCAATGATAACATTCTTGACTTTTCCGATAGCCATATAGGAACAGTTTCAGTCAATTAAATTTACATGTTTGGGAAATATATTCCAAAACCTGTGCTGCAAATGCGAGGAGCATCTAAGATAATGTTCGATCTTTATTTCAATAAGTCATTTTAACTTATCTTCATAAAAGTCATCATCAAAAGAACAACGCAGCAATTCGAACCGGAAATTAACGTTCTAACAATATAATTGGAAATAAAAAAACTTCACCACTGCAAAGAAACACATAAGCAAAATAAACTGATTTAAGCTACTAACAACAGTAACAGAAGTAGCAAGTATGAGAGATACAAATAATCACAGGATAGTAAAAGTACAGCTTTATGTGTGAATAAAATAATTTTTCTTGAGGTTATTATGGAAATAATAAAATCCATTAGAAGCGTGTCGCTTGATACATTTATTCCTCTTCTCAAAACGGGAGACCATTGAACTCCTCTTTACATCTTTGTTGAAAGATACATGGATATCAATATTATTCTTAACTTATTCAGAAACAAAAAAAAACCGTAAAATAATTACAACTTTTTTCTACACTCACTTGCAAGGCTGTTTTCTCCTTTTTGTTAGTATGGTAAGTGGAAAGATAAAATAAAAGAACTCAGTTAAAATGCAAAGAAATAAGAGGAGATATACAAATATAAAAATAAATACTAACAATTAACGCTTCCTTCTGTCTGGACTGCGTTCTCTTCTTAACATTCGTCTTTCTCTGCAATACGATAATAATCAAAACATATACACTGCTAAGTTACAGTAATATATAAGTTACAGTATAGGAATCAATCGTGGTCTTATATTGATGTCATGGTTACAAATACTCCTCCAAAACCCATTCCTGACGTCTCATCTTCCTGTTCCTAATATAACTTCAGATGCGGCTCTTGTCGTTGGTTCACTATTTCATGGAAAATAAAATAAAGTAAATCCTTCTTAGCTATGCAAAATTTAATTTTGCCCTATTAATTTCAACTTACTTTGACCGTGATCTTGATCTGTCGCGCTCACGCCCCCTCTCACGACCTCTTTCCTAAAAAAAACAGATCTGTATCACACATGCAATCAATATTCTTTTGCAACTCTCTCTATCTCTACAAAATAAATTAAAAACTCATTCAAATCATTCCAGATTACCTATATATTTATATAGCAAAAATGTAACAATAATCTCGCAAGAGACCTGATTTTTTTAGCAGTAATTAAGCAGAGTGTTAGTAAAAACCATACAAAAAAGTCTCTCAAGCTTGCTAAAGAAAAATCTTTAGTTTTGAAAGATGAAAAAAATGAAAATCTCAGAAATAAGTACCCGATCTCTGTCTCGTGTTCGTTCATTTCTTTCGATCTCACCTTTACTTCGTTCACGTTCTCTTTCTCGGATACTTTTGTCATCTTTTTTGTCTTCTCGTTTTCTACTTCTGGATCTCAAATTAAATTCATCTTTTTTCCACAAAAGTTAGTTCGAAATAAAAGAGGGATCCACTCTGAATAGCATAGCATGCTTTCAGTGTAATAAACAGTGAATTTCACTATTTTACAAAGGCATATTTTTATATGGCATTGATTTACGTTTTTTGTTTAAATACATATACAGAAAATATCTACAGCAGAACCAGGCGATCAGATTGCACATAACCAACCGACCAAATTGTACATGTAAACCAAAAAAAGTTTCAAAATGATAAACTGTCATAAATGCGTGTTCAAAAAACGTGAGTCGAATCAATCAATCATTACCTTTTTGTTCCTTTTTTCTTCTTCTTGTCTTTTTGTTCGTTTAGCGCATCCAGCTTTTCTTCCATCTGTTTCAACAAAGAAGCACGATACTTTTCTACCTGGGCAGGAATATCTTCACATCTTTGAGATTCCAATTCATCCTGATACTTGACTACTTTCACCTGTAAAGGACACTTCGAATAAATTCAGTTAATTCCAGACAGCATAGACAAAAATGTAAATCGCTCTAAAAGAACTGCTGAAACTAATATGACAGTATATAACAGTATCCTTTTTATAAAACATACCTCAATTTCACGCAGAATCTTTCGCCTTTCCTCATCGAGGCGTGCAGCAGATGAATTCAAAGATTGTTGCAAACTTGAAGTTATTCTGAAGGTTAAAGAAAGATAACGTAATTCAATAAAACAAAACAAATCAATGAACCTCTTTTCGGAGAAATAAAATGTATTAAATTGGTTGTGCAGAGAACCCGACAAAAGGGAAAGATGATTTATTAAAGCAAAAGAATATAATGATAATCGGTTTGAAATAAGATCTTAAAAAAGAGAAAAAAACAAACTTGTCATCATCATCTTCATCTGGACATTCTCCATCTTCACTACCATTCTTATCATCGTCGATCGGAGCACCATCAATGTCGTCTTCCTGATCAATTTTGCCCACTGCCGACTCATCATCCTTACCGTTTTCCAATAGGTCCCATTTGCTAGTAGTTACAGCTTGACTTGCAACAATTGATGGATCTACCTAAAAAATCTCACCTTTAAAAAAAGGAAAAAAAAAAGCAAAACTTTCCAAAAAACTAGAGCGTTAAAAAAACTGATCCAAAACAATGAAACAATGATGTTAACTCACAATATCCCACTGACTCCGTTTAAATGTCGCTGCTTTCTTTGGTTGTGTTTCTAAGGTATCTTCTTCAATAGGTACGCCATCGATGTCTTCCTCTTCAAAAATTGATTCCTTCTTTGCAATCATTTCTTCTGGGCCTTCCTCGATCGGAGCACCATCGATATCATCCTCTGATACTTCGTCTTCTTTCTAAATGACATCAAATAAAACACTGAATCCACAGATCGAGAGGAAATGTTGAGAAAGAAATCAATTATCAAATTTAGTCAAATTGCAAGTGCAATGCGAAAGCATGTTTATGTTGTTATTTGAATTCTTAGTGGAAAGATATGAAACAACCGCAAGGCCCAAGAAGACATTCTGTAATTGGATAAGGAAATCAGTCGGATAAATTGAATTATCTTCCCAAGTACGAAAGCATAACATCACTCGTTGCTTGAATTGTTCGGCTTTTAAGCGCGCCGAAATTTTTTCATAAGTTTTATTGAGTTCCTAAAAAAAGTAATGGGATTATTATAAAAAAACTATCCGTCAAATCTAATATCAAAAAATCGCATTAAATCCATACGGGAATTTTTTCTCATTTTACGTATTGAAAATGTGATAGGATAAATACTCTGAAAATCTCGGGCATCAAGTTGCCAATATATTGCCTATAATAAAACACATCTCGAACTCGAGCAGCACAGTTTGCCAATATATCCGAAACTAAATACAATCTGGCGATCTGAAAAATGCGAAATTAACAAATATTAAATCAGTTTTCACTTCATCAGAAATAAAAAAGATCTCGAAGAATATTAAAAAATGTTAAAATACAGGATTTCCTAAAATATTCACCAAAAACAAAAAATTTTTCGTTCCCCAACACATCCAACACATTTAAAACATAATCATTGAAAACCTAAGCACTAACTTAAAATACTATTAAATTCAAGCAACACTGCACGAATCCGGAGAACGATAAGCGGATGAGCGATATATAGAATAGACTATCTGAGATTGAATTTTTTTTTGCAAACAATGAATGTATAAAAGGACACCTTTTTGTGAAGTGGTGTTTCATCAATAGTTAGTGATTCGTGCAAGCACTGAGAGATCTCTTTGGCGCATGTGGCATGTTCAACACACCAAACCATTGCATCTGCTACGGAAGATTTCTCAGGAAGAAGTCCACGAAGTATATCCTGAAACTCATAGATTCGATATATCTGAGAAATGAATGAAATTCAAGCTTCAACAAAAGATGAGCAGAACCAATAAAACCTCAAGTTCGTCTCGTTCAGCAGTGCTTAGGACTCCTCGCCATTTCGTTTTAATTTCTTTTCTATCTTCTTCTTCGTCCTCGCTGCTGCTGTATTTCCTTTTCCGTGATTTAACCTATAGAAAAGGATGATAGGCATGTAAAAGCAAAAAATCTCAGAGAGTATAAATTTTTGATTTCTGAATATTCAGAAAATTTTTTTTTAACTGCGTAGCAAATCATTCACCATTCCATTTGATTTCCATCAGTAAAAAAACACTACAAAGTTTGGAATGAGAAAACTACTTACTATAGGTTTTTCAGCCGGCAAACCACCATCAAAAGCAGTATGATATAGACATTCGGGCATTCCACCAGTTAGAATATTGTGAGGTGGTGGCTGCCACCAGCTGCCTTCATCGAACATTCGAAACTTCTGCAAGCGCCAAGTTTGTGGTGTTTCACCTTGTAGTATGGAATATAGTTTCCATCGATAATAAACGTGTGCTGGATGGTGATTATCGAAAAGAAACCTTGAAAGCCATGCAAATTATTTAAATTTTGAAAAACGTCTTCTCGAAAAAATAGAAACCACAAAATACTTCTTGCTGCTGTGGAAAACATACCGATATACAGGATTATGTCGTTCTCGACCCATTAACATAGCTTCGAATAGTGGTCCTTCACGTACCAAAAACTCTATGGTCCGATGGATTAACACCAACAAACTTCTGAAAACAAATAACAGCATTTTGAACAAAGTTGGAGGAATAAGTCATTAAGAAAATTTTCAGATGCCGTTGCATTTTGGCAACTCCATATTGAATTTTTATCAGCTGATCGCGCTATGTAATTGCTGAAAACGTGTGTAGCAAACGAGAATAAGGATATGTAGCCCTACTGAGTTACTGGGGAAAACAAGAGCGTTTCAAACAAAACTTTGTTCATTTTCCTTTCAAAAAACATTATAACAGTACTTAACGAATATTCTGCGCTCCCAAAAATATGTAAATATATTATTTGGTAAGTAATTTAAAAAGTCAACTGCATTACGAAATCATTAATTAAATTATCTACGAAAAATATCACTTCTTTCACGTACCATTACATCACAAAAATTTTTCGCATTAATAAAAACCAAGAATTATTTTATGAATTATTGTATTATACTCCCTACATATTTGTATCCAAACTCAATAATATTTCCTCCCCTTCTAATTGCGGTTATAGAAACCTCCCACATGCAAAAAAAGAAAAAGAAAAAAGCTGTTGCTTTAAAAAAATCTGCAAAAACTCGTTGGAGATGCTAAAAACAGCTCCAAGTATGAGTGATTCACTGCTTTCCCATGTGAAATCATATCGACAAAATGGACGAACCAAAGAGCTTGAATAGAAGAATGCAAGAACAATGATAATAGAATCAAGTAGTACCTTTCTGTAGGGACCACTACCCGCACGACGGCGTTCCTGAGCATCTACAGAACAGAAAATGTTTTAATGATTTGACGTCATTAGGTGCTTTCTACGTTTTACTAAGTATGGAATTTAGACTTCCTTAAATGTGTATCACTGACTGAAAATATTCAAACTATATTTTCAAATGTAAGACGACAGGAATTAAAAGATAGTTGATTATCGAAATTCAATTACAAAAGTGAAAGCCATCATACCTTTTGATATTCCTCAAAACCGTGGCCGGATTCCGGAAGCGAACTACCAAGACGCGGCAATGGACATTTCTTTAACAGTGCATCCAGATCACACTTCCGTGGTTTTGCATTAAACGGTAAACCAGTAGGCGGATCCGGCATGGCAAATTCCAACAAAGCAGGCGGCACATAAATCGGCTAAAGTTTGAACCAAGATAACCAATTTAAGAAAAAGGACATAGCAACTGCTAGATAAAGCATGATGCATGAACTTTCCAATATGGTTGGATCAAAGATGTATCAGTTACAGACCTGCGGTGGTATGCTGACTGGTTTAGCAAGAGACATGCGTACTTCAGATCCCCTGATATATTTACCCTGCATTCCTTGAATGGCGCGATCAGTATCCTTACGAATCATGAAAGCTATGAAACCGCACAAGTGCTCCCGTTTTCGATCTTCTTCACGGGGATATAAAATTTTTGCGGATGCTAGCGGTCCAAAAGTGCCGAAAGTATTATATAAATCCTCAATTTTTATCTGTAAAAAGTTAAACAATTGGATATTATCAGATCAGAATATCATAGCCTCAAAATTTATGTAAAATAAAAAAAAAAGGTTACTATCCTTCTTTGAGCAAAAAGAATGTATAGAAAAGTTTCCTACCTCAAGCGACAAATTAGAAAGATAAATATTAGTTGTATTCGGGTCATTATCATATTCCCCAGTTCCGTGCAAATATGGATTATCAATAAGTGGTGCAATACGATCTAGTGCTTCTTTTTCCATGCCCATCTGCTCCATTTGAGATCGTAAATGTCTTCGTTGCTCCCGCTCTTCTTGCATGCTGCAAAAGAAATTTGAGAAATTTCACAATCATTGACACAGGAAACATTTTTGGAAAATTCAAAATATTCCACCCAATATAGTCCTTAGTGAAAGCATACCAGTAACAGAGCCTTGTATTTTCAAAAACGAAAAAACAGTATATACCTTTTCAATTCCTCTTTGAAGGCTTCCAAATTACTTGTTCGGCTTTTCTGCTGTGCCTTTCCCGGTCGAGGCGGTCGAGTTGTTGTTAAATTAGCTTTTCGGGCTTCCTCCATCATACGTTTTGCTTTTTCTTCTGCGATCCTTTTTGCTTGTTCAAATGAATTCGGTGCAACCGAAGCTTTTTTCGCAAGTTCAATTTTTGGATTGTAGATAGAAGGTTTCGAACTTAGGTCTGTAAAGGTACAACTTAATCTATTCAATAGTTTCGAATGTTCTAGTTAAATCTACTAATTAATTTTTTTCCAATTCACGATGATTTACATCGGAACAAAAACATCAATCCCTTATTTACCTTCCATAACTTTATTTGCATTGACTACAGCAGCGCGTACAAACGATTTACTAGCGATCGATGTACCATCTTCGAATGCTTCACGAAATTGCTCGTAAGCTTTTGATAATTCCGCTTCTTCGTCTTCTTTCTAAAAATTAGACAAAATTTGGAACTTTGAGTAATGTCCGATCTTAATACTGACTTTCAATACTCAAACTAATGGTATAAATAAAAGCAATAATGTGCAAAACCATAAGCACTGATTAAGTGTTCCGTTAATTGTATTACTTAATGCTCCTACTTTGCAACAATCAATAAATTTACTCTTCTCCGTCGGTAACGATCCATTCCTGCAGTTCTGATAACTGAAACAGTATAACCGTTGATTGTCCTGTAATATGGTACCACCACAAGTATCACCACAAAAATCCTACAAGTAATGACGCCCTATGGGCAATAACCGTCGGAACACTAGTTTTAACGTTTTACCGCACAGCAGCGTAAAATATAGAATGCAAATTATACATCCTATGCTGCCGAGATTGTATAGCCAGGCAATCTATAGCAGCGTAATGCACTCCGGTAGCGAAAGTTAAAACATTGGAATGCCTCGCAAATAATTTTATTGAATGCGGAATGAACTAATGGTAAAATGTTTAAACTCCAATGAATATGTTATTAAAAGGCGCTCCCTTCTTTCCACGCATTCGGAAAATATAAAATAGCGCGGACTTGACATTCATCTACTTTATGGGAATTTTATTACCTGTTTATCAGTTACGAATCAAAGTGTAAACATTTCGAAAAATAAAATCATTGAACATGTAAGAAATTACGAAAATTTCAAACAAACAAGTGTTTTTTGCCTAATTACAGCTCGAAAATCCTCAGCATCCATCTGTTAATCAAAAATGATTTCTCGCACAAGAAATAATAGTCAAATAACATCTAGTTTTGCTCAAAAATCATTGTTACTGTTGTATAGCATGCAAAAACTACAGCTCAGGACTAATTTTGAATTTTCAGCTGACAAGCATTTGTAAGAAAACAAGTCGAAACAGATTCGTAAAATGAACGAAAAATTGAAATGCACCCTCTAGCAACACGCAAGAATAAATAACTTATACAAGTTACATTATTCATTATCTTTTAAGCACAATAAAGATCTGTGAAATTTCTCAAAGAAGTATAAAATCGTCGGAGTTCAAAAATTTTCATGTTATGATTCTCAGAACTGAACGGAAAATAACGCTTGATGTTATGCAAATGGAATGCACTAAATAACGATATATCTACTAGGAATGAATATTATAAATATTGATTCTTCCTCTGTGGAATATTAAAAAATGCTTGGATTCCTTCTGACTCTGTCTTTCATCCCGGAATTCTTCTCCACTTTCCTTTTTCCTTTCCCTTTTCCTTCTTACGAATAAAATATTAATTTTTTTTAACTTTTAACAATCAGAAGAAGATAACGCTGAACCAAGTCCAGTCCACTGATCTGGTGCAACCGGAAAGTATGTATCAATAGCATCGAAGAATCGCGTACAGTACATTTCTGGAGAAATGACAGTAGGCAAGTGTGCCCCAGGTATTGCCACAATTTTCACCCAACTTTCCAATTTTTTATCAAGCGTATAGGTACGCATATAATCCACAATACCAAGAATTAATTCGCTGTTCGTTTCATCTACGCCAACAAGCAAACTATAATCCATTACATGCTGAAACAAAGAACTTTAATGATCTACGTTGCGAAATTTTGAAACAAAATGCGTTGAAATCATTTTAGCCTCCATTGTTGGAATTAAATTTATTCAATTACACAGAATGGTAAATATGAGAATGATTTTCAAAATCATAATGGACTTGCTGCTCAGCAGTTTACTAATTAAGCTTAAAATACGAAAAATAACCTGGGCAGAAAGAAAATGGCTGTCATTGCTGATGGCCATACTTAATGCTGCCTTAGAATGAGGATGTACATAAAGTTGATTATTCCAAAGATCTTTTACTAAATTTTCATCCAATAACACCAGATCTGCCGTTCTTTTTCCTTCCGATGCCATCCTATAAAATTCATTGAATGTTCAATAAATTCGTTAATAAAATAAAGCATCAGATTTCTATCCTTTAGAATACGCAAACCTGTTTCTTTGTGAGCCTTTCAAATCCCATACTCGCTCCACATTTCGGCGATAAAATAGATATTCCATAACCAAAACATCAACTTTCAACTGATGACCAGTGCTTTTGTTTTTGTAACAAATCCTATATACACCATAAACCTAAAACTATTTCCAGGAAGTAAAGATTTAGGAGATCATTCAATTTTTTACAGTCCACTACAATTTACAACTATCCAATACTGAAGTATCTCCCAAGTGATACTAAATGTCAGTAACTAAACAACTCCCCACAAATTTCATGTTAATTAAGATAACACCGCTTCACAATATCTTTAAGTTCATTAAACATAACGCTCTGTTTCTATTTAAAATTGATTTCACATCTCCACTGTACTACACCGCTTGCTTGATTCTGTATGAACTATTTCATTAGTTACATAAGCATACCTTGCAAAGTGTTGTCAATTTATTATCAGTCATAGCGGTAGAAACATAGCTAAAATAATTAGGACCAAATTTCACAAATGATTGGATTTCGAACCGAGACATCTGCTTGAACACAAAGCGATCATCCTGTAAACAATGAACAGAAAAAGCCGACTTCACTTACTTTCATCTTTTTTTATAGCATAAACCATTCGCTGAAAACTGCAATCTATTTTTTTCCAACAAAAATTTCTTTAGCACAAAAGTTATTCGAATAACGATGAACCGACCTGTGTGCGATAAAATGAAGCTCCAGATTTGCCGCCCTGAGGACTCCAACTACGGGATGAGCTCAGCGACCTAATAAAGCAATCTTCACCTTCAACGAATAACAACTTCCGCAACATGTGGAATCTTTCAGCATAATAAATCTGGAATGAAAAGCTCTCTAATGAAAAGACATTAAATAATGGTTTATAAAACTTGATAAATTAAAATATCGCATAAAATTAGAAAGAATGACTCTTCCAATAAGCAAATCCAATATAATCATGCCTTAACGTAATATTGCGCCTTGTCATCAGCAAAATCAATTTTAATGTGTTCGTAATTCGCCACTGGATCTGATTCCACTCTAAAACTGATCTCTTAAACAAAATTCTTCTTTCACGATAACAAAACTTCGTTGACCGAGAATAATAAAATCCTTCTGACGTCATTTCTTCTAGTTTTTCATCATAAAACTTTTTCAAAATTAAAAATGCTTAAAAAATTTTTCAAATATATAGCTGTTGGAAGGACATTCGCTTGAACTAAACTTAAAAAACGTTTGAAAATGTCAAAAGTATTTCAAAAATTTAAAATAACCGCTCACTCAATAAAGGCATTATTAACAGTATCACGCTGTTTTCTTCGCTTTGTATTATATTCAACTGACGATAAAGCATAAGCTATGATGGAACCAATATCCGGATGTGTTGCACCCTTGCAATCGATCATATCGCGTACGACTATCGCCGCCAAACCGGCTATAAACAGTGCATAAAATAATATGCCATAAAGGGAATAGTGCTAAACCGCATCAAATTTCTTACAGTATATTAGAACTTCTAAATATTAAACAATATTCTTTTGGAAGTCATAAAAATTACGTAGGACTAGCGAGATACCCTTTATGGCATATTATTAATTTTTTTGTTATGGCATATTACTTAAAGTGGAATCAATTTTCAAAAGTGCAAAGAAACCTAATGGAAGAGGCAAACTGAAGTGACACTCGGCGGGGAATGGGCTCTCCAATGACGTAAGTTCAAAATCTAAGTTATTAGCCTGAGTTTGATTTGCTGTTTGTTCGTTATTTATTTTGTTTGCTTCCTGAAACAAAATAATGTCAGCTACGCAGGGAAAGATTAAGAATACTGAATAGTTACAACTTTTGCATAAATACATGTTACATGATATTCAGAGTACTGTTTTTCCTTTCAACAATTTATTTGCTTAATCTCTGGTATGGGAAGAACGATTAATTTCACTCAATTCATTAAATAATGTCAAACATTAAGTATCTAACCACATTTTCCTCTATAGTTGATGTAAATCCAAAATTTACTGCCAGAATAGCATTGCCATTACACTTTTTAATAGTTCGAATCTGTTGAGAAAGATACTGACGCTGTTCATTCCACAAATTTATTGCATGCTGTACAATGTATCGACAACGACAAATCATGTCAGTAGCCTATAATGAATGATCTGATTAATATGTAAAAGAGTTTGCATTTCATTACTGTGCTCCAATACACAAAATTCGGAAACTTCCCAATCTAATTGGTGTCTACAATTTTATTAGTGAACAAAAATAAATAACAAATAATTTTTAACAAAGACCTGAGTATAAACAGCATCGTTTGACCGAATGATTATTGGTTCGCTATCAAGCGCACCATTTGGATCAAAACACTTTATTGTAGAGCTAAAAAATTGCAAATATATGGAAGTATTTCAAGCTTACAAAAAATGACACCAAGAAATACTGAATACTTTCAAATAATTTCTTGAGGATTGACCTGAAGGCAGAGCGAGCGTCTCTTAAAATTTTTACTGCCTGTGCATGACATGTCGAATATATGCTGCTTTCACTATATTTTGACAGCTGTTCGATCTGTTCTAACATAATTTTGAAAATGACCGCTGCCGTTTCTTCTATTTCATTTTTCGATTTGGCGACAAATTTTCGAGTAAACATTACTGGTTCGACACCACAAACCAATGGACTGAAAGTCACATGGAATGGACGCACCTACAAGACGAATTCATTATATTTAATAATTATTCCTAATGAATGTCAGGAATTTCAGAAACGACAATTTTCCGTCCACCTTATTATTTCTGAAATTACCTCAACCTCAAGCAATAATTTTACTGATTATTTTAAAATATATTATTTCTTATACACAGCATAAAAGAGAAAGAAAATGGAACCATTAAGACTTTGAAAGTTGTGACCAAGTTGTTGAGAGCAACATTGCGTTCATGCTGATGAAAACAACAATGTTCACACTTCTAAAGAAGAAATAATTTCAGGAAAATGCAGTCATGAATTTATGGGAACTTCGTTAACGTGGTTTTTCCTATGCTTTCATTAAGACTGATTGATTCAAATAAGTCCTACTTTTCCCAAACTAGCGCTCTACTCATCACTATAGCTAAAACAAAACGTCAGAATGCACACTGCATCTGTGGAAGAACATTAGAAGCTACGGAATGCAACAATTCGAAATGTGAAATGAAATTTAAAAATATTTAAAAAATATCTCTCTTACCTGTAAAACTGAGTTAATTTTGCATGTTGCATAAGCGCCATTTGCTAAATAATTCAGATAACGAGCAAAACTCAACCGACATATACTTTCTGTCAGTGGTACTACTGAAGAGGATGATTTACACCTGAATAAAATAATGCACTAAAAAATGAATAAAAACAACAGTCAATATACCAGAATTTTATAAAAAAGAAAACGACAATTTTGAAATTTCAAAGTCAGTAAGAAATGAAAAAAAAATTAATTTTGAAATATAAATGAAGCTGAAATTTCACGACTAACTGATTTGAAAAAAACTCTCATTACAAAATTTATCCAAATTGTGAATGAAATCTTGAAATACTTTGGGCAATAATGCCAGGCAAGCAAAGTTTCATTTTGCTCATCCAATGTTACGCTGTTGGATTCACTACTTGAATGTACATAATTCCGTGTTGTTATTTCCACACATACATTCCTATGAACCAGTTTTCGAGAATGTTCCATCATCGGCAAATCACAATTTGTAGATGGACATTGATATGCCCTGTTGAAGCAATACCTAAAATGACCGTAAATCCGACATTAACCTAAAACAAAAACTATTCACTCCATTTTCTGGGAGCGATTTTCTGTTTTTAACAACATAAAATTGAATGAAAAGATGACAAATTTTAAGAGATTTAAATGGTAAGATGACAAACTTTCTCAAGAAATCACCCAAAGACATATCATTAACACCATAATACTCCATATTTACAACCCAAGGGCGAATGCAAAACAGTGGTGCATTCGACGATTTTGCACAGAATGATCCGAAAAGAACTGATATTTGTTGATGAGCAAACGGATCCAGCACATCTTCAACCTCTCTGCTAGGAATTGTTTCTTTTCTGTAATAAATACTATAATCAATATTTTAATGTATTGATTTTTGTGCTCCTAAGGATATCATCGCCTCTAGAAAGAGCAGATACGCCATACGATTAATCCATTATGAATGTTGAAATCTAACTAAAATTGATATGTGGCTTTAACATTTTTCGAAATTTAATGTTGGTGGGCATAAAGGTACTGGTTATGATATTAATCCTTAGAGTAACCAGTACCTAAGGATTAATATAGTTTCAGGTAAGTCAATCTGCCACTACGGTAGCATTATTTTAGAAAAACTTGTCCGAAAAAAAAATTTCTTCGATGACATATAAATCAACCGTAGACGAATCTGATTCTGTTTATTAATGCTGCACCGAAGCATACAACCCGAAAAAGCTCGAAAGGAAGCGATAGCATCTTCATCCACTTCCGTTAAGGTGATATTTTTCACAAAAGGATGACGAGGGCTTTTCAACGGATAATTTTCTTCTGCTTCACAGTCTGAGTATTTCCTAAAGACCATTCATTATGAGAATTTTTTCAAGATGCCCGAAAAAGAAACTTAAGAAATAAATATGACGCGGAATTAATAACTTTGTCAGCACGATAGAAGATAAATGCCTTTTTCATCATAATTTGGAAAGCAAAGACTTATTTAGATTAAAATATTTCACCTGGTGCTCTTACTTTCAGCTGATAAGCTGCTAATGAAGCGGTTGAAAAACTTTCTTAGCGAGCATTGTCGACCTTTTGATGTTTCTAGAAAGGGTATACCAAAGTCGACCAGTGGAGAAGGTGAAAGAGTGGACTTCCTTAAACGGTTACAGAAGCTGTCCTGGAAATTTCTAGATCGAACTATAAACAGTGGAAACCGAGAGCACTTAACACTTTATACATCCAAATGACTGAGGAAAAAGGTTTGAAAATGACCTTGTTTATATCCAGTTCAGCAGAATTAACGGAGCAAATATCACAGTCGGCAGATCGATTTGTCAGAGTTGTACCGCAGCTAGACAATAGTTTTACTTCAAGATGATTGGAATACAACATCAGAATTGCATAATGTAAAATCCGCTTAGCTGTCCTCAAATCTCTTTTTGAGTTACCTTGTAATAACACAGAGCAGCCCAATTCTGGTGGGCATTCCTCAAACATCTGAAAAAATAAGTCGCTATTCACTTTCGATATTATGGAATTTTTTGAATTTTCTTTTTTTTGAAATTTTATCTTTTTTTTGAAATTTTGTCTTCAAGTTATAGAAATTTTTTGAAATTTTTGTCCTTCAATTTAGAAACTTGGATAGCAAAAATCTCGAAGTACAATTCTCTAAACGAATTTTACTGCTTGTCTCTTTATCTTCCTTCTTTTCATAACTGATAAAAATTCATAAAATTACCTTCAAAAAGTATCTTCAAATTTAAACGACAATAATTCCGATTAAAAATTACTCTTACCAATAAACATTTGTATTTCCCGTTTGCCAATTGAATCTTCTCTTGCCGAAAAAATGGACAAAATCCAATTTTTTGGTTCAGAATTTGTGCATCAAGTGAAGGCATTACGTCGGCTCCAGTACTTCTTGCAATTCTTTGCAGAACACGTGATTTAATGTTGGAAACTAGTGTGATTCCAGCATGTAATAACATCTGTACAGCTAAGCCAGCTACATTACGCTCAACCAGTACTACTGATGGTCGATGCGAAAGCATTCTCTCTACCTGATTTCGTAAATATTCAGTCTCCTGCAACTAATTCCTTGTTGTGAAGAATAATGATAAAAACTTTTAAAAAGCATTTTAACTTATATCTAAAAGGAAAACATTCTGGAAAATAATATATCACAAGTATCTAGTAGCGGTGAAATTCAAAGTACATTTCTAGCAGCTTATGCATGTTTTAAATTTCCGAAAATCCTGAATTATTCGAAATTTCACTTGTGAAATTATTGGTTCAATTGATGAAAGCCTGTCGTTAACTCGTTCATATTCGATGCTCCCTTCCAAGATTAAAACTGATGCATTACGAATCTCGTCTGGCATCGATTCATGGCGAATACTTTTGCTACACACTGTCCCTTCTATTACCTGAAACAAATACAGACTGAGATGATGCTAGTAACGATTATCCACAGTTGTGATTACTAACTGTGAAAATGAAGTCAAAATTCCAATTCCACCACTTACACATACATATTTGCAACCAGCTATCTGTAATGAATAACTGCTTTTGCTGAGCAAAGTAGTATCTTTTAGTTACAAACAGCTGTTAGCTCTCTTATCCTCTCTTGGGTTATTTGTCTAAGCATAAATAAATGCATTAATATTATCAATCTCACACTACTCAGTAAAGTGATATCACAAACTAACCTTTGCAGAAGGTTTTTCAACTGCAACATGAAGACTTTTGATGTGAGTATGTTTCATAACATTAACATTTTTTCGTCCCTCCATATCAACTTTAACCATTGATGAGACAACATGACTGACGGACCATATGATCTCCCACCATCTAAATCTTTATTTTATAGAAATTTCTTTACTAAATGATATTTATGTCAAGCAAATGTCGGTGGGACAGGATATTTCGTCTCTAAAATATGCATGAACGAAATGCTCTCCATTTTCAAAGTACTTGCACTATCCCGTATTCTATAGACTCGAAAAATATCCCAATTGCTTTGCAAACATCTAAATAAATAATTCCCAGCGGAATAAATGTCACGGTAAAACAGAATTCGAATTAATAAGATTAAAAAATTCAAGCAAACTAACTCTTTCGGATCTAATCCCTCACGATTGAAAAGATGTAAAATAAGTTTTTCTGATTGAATTTCAAAACATCTTTCAATTGTTTCATTAAAACGATCTTCATTTTCTGCTTCTGATGGCGAAGGTTTTGGCACGGTTTGTGCATTATCCAGTTCGGTAGCATGAAAGTTCGACATATTCTGGATGTTCATGTCATCCCTTTGTGATGCTAAGTGTGCGTAATCCATAGGTTCAGAGTTCTGAAAAAAAAATCGTGCTAAGTTCAATTTTACTTAAACAGCGAGATTAAATTTCGCACTATTAAAAAAGGTTTTAAAAATCTCCATTTGAAAAAAAATAAAAGGAACATTCGCAATATTTAACAAACTAATTAAAATTAATCGCATAAAATCATTGCAACTCTAATAGTGATTGTTAGAATGCTTCTCAAACCAGAAAAGATATTAATTTTTGATTCTCATTTTTTAATTTGTTTTTAATTTTCCAAACAACAAACCAAGTTTGATGAATCCACTGGCTTCACATTATCAGTCATCTCAATATTTTTTACCCACTCGGGTTCATGATCATCACCAACATCTTGAATAGTCGAACACTGAACACTTGAGTTATACATAGCTAATTCCGTTACGGAAAGCAAAGTCGGGGGATGAAGTTTCATCGGAGATTTTTTTGGAACCACGCAGTGAAGTGATGTTCCATTCTCACTATTGTCATCCGCAGCAACAGATGAATTCAGTGACCAGGATACTGGTCCTACAAAGCGTAATGTGTGAATATTTATTTTGTCGTAAAGTAAAATGAATAAAGGCTTCATCATCAAAAAGGTCCGAATTATTAAGAAAGTTCTGTTATGATCTTAATGTTAACGATAGAATTTAACAAACCAATAGCATAAAAAGCTCTAAGGTTTCGCTTTATCAAACATTTTTCAAATTATAAATACCTCAACCTGCAAAAATTGTGGAGACCGAGACGTCTGTTTCATGCAGCAACTTTTGGTCACAAGCTGGAGAACTGGGTCTGTCCTCTAATTTTGATTCTGTTTGTGGCAAATTCGAAACTACAATTTGTGCACAGTAAGTACACAGCCTTAAATCGCCAGTATAACCTATAAAAATTAATTATGAGATTCATAATTTTTCTGAATTTTGTCTAATAATTTTATGAAACATTTATTCTGTCCCTCATGAAATCCAACCTGGGCCGACCATATATCTCCTTCAATGAACCCATGTTTGCCTTCATTACCAGAGTACAAACTAAGTGAAAGCTAAAATTTTTCAATTTTTTTCTGCGCAGATTTGTCCACAATATTTACTCAAATCGCTAGGAATAAAATTATTCGAACATAAGAAAAATAATTCAAGCAAACCTAATAATGATCCAGAGATCTGGACACTACAACATTTCGAACAAAATATTTGCCCACATAAACGACAGTGATGTCGTCTTCTGAAAGCAGTAAAACGCTCCTGGCATTCGTAACATTCTCGTCCACTTGAATCTGGCATCCAGTAACGCCGAAAATCACTCCTACAAATGAATTTATGAGTACCGCAGTAGAAACTTAACAACTATAAAATGTTATTTCCGAAAATCGTTGCTAAATGATATTCAAGAGACTTAACCTTTCATAATCCAGGAGATCAGGATTTTGCCCTTTGAAGACGGAAGCGAAACGGACATATGATTTTTTTCTCTCTCCTGTAGTATCATTATCATTTTCATTGTTTTCCTTTGAATTTATGCCAGTCGTTCCAATTTCATTTTCTAAACATTCTTAAATATGACAAATAGCTATAATACCAATTATTGATATCGCAATTTTAATATGTCCGAATTACCACAATTTAAATGTGTGCAGCAAAAGTGAAACAGCAAACAAATTGCTGCTTTTACTGATGGAAGAAAGAAGTCAATCAAATAAATCATTCAAGAATTCGTCCATTACCAGTCAAACAAACGAATACAAATGTGATTCCCTTATATATCGTGTCAGAATGAAAGTACAGGAGAGACATAAAGTTTATAACATGAAACTGTTGATAAAATAAGTAAAAGGAATCTAAATTCCTTTTTTAGATTCTGGCAAATATGCATCAAAATAAAAGTTTCACCCGCAGAAAACGCCTCTCCTACTCCTTCATGTTTCGATTGATCGAAATTATTGCAGTTTTCAGACGCTGATATTGATATAGGGATTGCATGTACGGCATTCTCTGCTATGCTGATGTCTTTGGATGACTTGAAAATTCGATTCATAAAGTTGCTGAAAATACCGGATGAAGTGGATGCCGTGGCTTTTACCGCCTCGTCAGCCATTTCTTCAGGATGAGGTGCGAAATAAGTGATGCATGTAGTATCATCAACTGCTTTATCCATACCTTGAAACTATTGTTGCATTAAAGTTACCTTAACATCGTGATAAATGGGAAAAAAAATAGATCGTTTCATGATTTTTAATGAAGTTCGATGGCATGATGAAAATAAGACAAGCTATCTAATAATAGAGTCGGTGAGCTCCAGCGTTACTGTTTAGAATGAGAGCACATATGTGGAAATATAAATGAACAGTTTTAAAAAACAGTAAGGGTTCGAATCAATCTAAATCCAAGTTCTGACTTGTCCAACCATAAACCGATCCCAATTTTATAAAAAGAATCGTTAATTATCAGGTTTGAATTTAACGGACTTCGTTGAGATACCGCATCAAAAGGAGTCTCGATGAGTTCATACTATTTTAGTCTTCGTTGTCAGTTCGGTGCGTTTATAGTTTCTAATTTGGCTAATGGGGCATTTTTTAAAGCTTTCGAAACTTCTTTATTGTTGCATATTCACTTTAGTCTGCTTTGTTGTTGTATATTCATTTTTGGTGAGCCATATTTCTGTGAAGAATAATGACATGAAGCGAATTCCCTATCACAACAATGAAACCATCAGTGTTAAAACATTTAAACATTAAATCGTTCATTGCTTGCTTATTTGCTCAGATTTATCATAATAACGCAGAAAAATCAACGGATATAGCTTGAAATATACATGACCGGAGTAACGCAAAAGAAAAGTTGCTCTCCGGTTTCGGAAATTCGTGCTAAACTTACTTGAGGATTTGAGCTTTTATGCGAGAAGAAAGAAACATGGGCACACCTTACAAATAAAAAATAATAAGATTGAGATCCTGCCACGTTTTCTTAAAATCTATCGACCTGAAATATATGATTTTTGAATATTTTCTCGGATGCAACACTTGAGATTCTAGATTATTGGGAAAGGAAGGAATGACCAAATATAGTAGACACAGATAAACGTATACATTTCGATGAAGAGGCGAGGAAAAAACGAAAATTAATATTGCTTTCTCCAAAAGTCACAAGTTGATTGTTTGAAATTTACTGGTTCGTTCGAGACAACTTGGTTGCGCTCGAGACAACTTTTCATAAGTTCGAAATTTAATTTTAGTTCCTTTGTTGGATAAGATTGTTGTGAATGTTAGAATTAAGAGTGACTACTTTAGAATTAGAGCTCATGAAAAATCTGGAATGTGATCGGATGATTTTAGTTCCGGGGATATTGGAGAGTTCCGAAATTCTGAATCCTAAAACTCCAACTTTTCTAGATGGCGTTAAGAAATGGGGAGAGGAGAGATTTATTCATTGTTCGATAACTTTACATTTTAAATGAGTAATTCAAAAACGGTATGTGATCAGTATTATCATTCGGAAGAGTGAAAAAAGCGATGGATTAAATAATTGATGTCGGAGTGAATCAAATTCATGTGGGACTTTGAAGGTATTGCTTTTTATTCCTATAACTATTATCGCTCACTTCGGAATACTGAAAAGTTAATGATTAATGCATAGACGATGTGTGGTGTTCAAATGGAACAAAATGGCCACAGATCTGGAATGGCTTCTTCGAATTCTTATTTTTTAGTCCTTTTCGCTAAATACCTTCGTTTTTATTTATTTCATAGGAATTTGTTGGATCAATCTCACTTGGCTTAGTGGGGAGACATTGTAGTCCATGAAAATAAATTCTGTTAATAGCTGTAGTTGCCTACTGTTTTCAATTCCTAAATTGTGAACTTGAGATCATTTAATTTCATGTTAACATTCTATTATATTAATTGTAATTAGAATAAATTTTTTGTTAATAGTATATTTTTGAACGAAGTAATGAGAAGTTGATCTGATCTGATTATTTGAATCAAACTTTGGGTTGCATGAAATTCTGTTTATGAACATTTGTTTGTGCTTCAAAGTTTATTCGTTAATTGTTTTTTTGTTTCAAATTTTATATTTTACCCATCAATGTTGATCTGATGTAATAATTTCTTTAGATGTTTATGTTTTTATTGGTAAATCTGCTGTCTCTCTTATATTCATAAATCAGTTTTGCCGAACTACTTTTACCTGTTAATTCTTTTTTCATTTTCATGCAACTTGCTGTTATGTTCTAAAATATCTACAAGTTTTTAGAATTCAAAGTATAATAAGCATCTATCGAAATAAAACTCTTATGAAATTATTTTAAAAAATCGTATTGAACATTAACTTCGGAAGCAGAATTTTAGAATTTAATTTTTTCCGCGCTTCAGATGCTACCAAGCTGTAATATTTATAGAATTTTAGGTTGAAAATACACTGAGTAGACGTCTGAACATCGAATTTGAGACCAGGATTTGATTTTTTGTCAATTCAATTAATGATTTCACAGCATTATCTGCTCCTTATGTTTAATAAGAATAAATTATTCCCTATTTTATTTGTCAACCTTATTAATTGGTATTTGTTCGTTTTTACCACAAACGCGTTAATTAAATTTATGTTCATAGAAGTTTCACATTTCTCGTGATCTCTGAATATACACTAAATTCAATGACAGTCTTTTTATAATACTTTTCTAATTCGGTGGATCCGATTCCGTCGATCTATTATACTTACAATGTTACCACGTATCAAGTTGCAGCAATAATTGCTCTCGATTTCGCCGTTGGTCATGTAATTTGTATTATTCTGCTTTTACTTTTGCAATTGGTGACCAGTTGCTGATAGCTTATTGATTATTTTGCTGATTTATCTGACTAAATCTATTTCATTGTGTTGAAGATCTACTCTACTGCTCTGCTACTTTTAATTAGATAAGCGTGCCCTCAAAGTTTACATCTGTTAGTGGCGAAAGCGTTTGCCTTTGCTCCTCCTCTTTTTTCTGGAAATAGCATTCAGATTTTAGTGAGTGAAGAAATTTGTGAATCTTTAACTTTGATATTCTTCCTTGCTTGCCTAATTTTATTTGGTCTAAATTTTGTTGTGTCACGAAATCTAGAAATAATTTTTGTCCAATATCTATTAATGAAGCAGTTCCATAATAATCTGTTATTAGTCGGTAATATGAGTTCACTGAGCCGATAATATTAATTAATGTGCTGCAGTTTTGTATTTATTAGAAGTTGAAAGTATTTTCCGGAACTTGAATCCTAAAAAATGAGATGGAAAGAAAGGCGTAAAATTGTTTTTAAAAAAGTCCCTTAAATACCCTTTTCTTTAGTTTTTAGTGTAATGGTCGATCAGCATAGTAAGTGATTTTAATTTATATTTAAAAGCCGTTGCAGATAATTGATGAATTTATAATATATTTCCTGGGGCATTGATTTTTCAGCACTTCCAATTCTCTCTTCAATTTCTTTTCATACTAGTTAAATATTGCAGTATCCACGTCGGAATGGAACATTATCAATAGAATGTCCTCTTCGCACTGGTCATTCTAAAATTTTCCCGTTACTTCATCGCAAAACCATGGTAACATATAAGAAGTTCTTCACGGAAATATAATTCATTTTCCTCTTTCATAAAAATACGTCATGTACCAAAGTGTGCTTTTTGTTCATTCTAAAAGCCATTCATTCTCTATAAAATCGGAAAATTAAAAAAAATTTCAAAAATTGAAATCAATAACTGACATTCAAAATGAACCGCGAAATCATAATTGTGTGTGTGTGTGTGTGTGTGTGTATGCATGACCAACTTAAAAATTGCATCGTGTAATAGTAGCTGTATTGTATCGATCTTCAGTTATGATGATTCATTGTCGTGGAGTTGCTTTCGGTTAAAAATATTTATGAAAAGTACGGATATTTCATTTCAATCCGCTTCTTGTCTCACCGATGAGCTGTTGTAAAGTTTTTGTTATTCATTAGAAACAGGACTCATTTGATTTTTTTTTCTTTTCATAAATTTTCATATTTGATAGTTTATACTTTCCCTTCCCTGCCATTATTCTACGATTCACAACCATGTTGTCATCTATATAGTTTGACTGTATACTAACGTCCCTGTCTTGTTTGTTTCATCCTTTAATTTGAAAGAGAAAATTCGGTATTCAACGTTCTGTGCATTTAATCAATAAAACAAGAGGATGAACGAGCAAAAAAATGAAACCCCCATCTTTGTAAATTATGACATATTTATCAGTATCTCACATTTATAAGAACAATTATAATTGGAACTTTACCGCAACCTCGAGAAGTCTACAAAATTTATTCGCAAATACGTCCACCAACCAGTGCAATTTCAAAGCCCTATCATGATGTCATTTTTATTACATTCATCATTTCATTCATTTCCGTCATCCTTTCTTTTGCGTGCTATTATCTTATCCAATTTGAGAAGACACAAGTGTTGATTCAAGATAGTAATTATGTAAAACAATGTCTTCATTGTCAAGTGAAAGTAGTTTTTTAATTTAATTATTCGGGATAAAAGATAAAAGTAATGAGAGTTCTGACAAATTCCTTTTGCAGCTGAAGAGTTCTGTTGGTTTGGAACACAGAACGCTTCTCTTGTCAATTTGTATAATAATCAGAAAATATAATGCCGAAAAGAAATCAGGAAATATAACGCCAAAATGTTATCGACTGGCTGGGTAGCAATTGGTGATGAATATTTTTTTTAGCGAACGACAATTATTGTTGTAAATCTGTTAATAAAACTATGGTACAACCGTTCGTTTCCTATTCATTGATAGCTGAGAAACACTGAGAAAAAGCATTTTTATTTTCCCTCTGAAGTCGAGCCTGCTAAGTGGCCGATTTTCGCTGTTCAACTTTTTTTTCGCAGTCAAACTTTGTGAAACAGACTAGACCTTTTTGTTTATTTCCTTTTCTTTATGCCATTTATTTTACTATTCCTATTATTACTAGCAGTCATTCCGTCCTCTCGAAATTCACCACACAATGTGGCAAATCTCTGATGAGGTACTAGCCAATGCGGAATCGAAACATAATCTATGCACCAAATCACTGTTACACAATTTAATAAAATCGCCTCGTATTGGAAGTGCAAGCTCAAGCTCCTTGGATCAGCAAAGCAATAGTTCAAGCTTAGAATCCATTGAATCATTTGCTTTGGATTGTAACCAAGCTTTATCTACGTCATGTTCTGAAGACTCTTTTGAAATGTCCAGTACAACTGCGAAACCAACTGTTGAAGATCCTTCACAACTATCGCTTCAGGGTTTGAACTTGACATCCAGTTTTCTGGGTGCAGAAAATTCAGTACAGCTATCGAATATATCTTCCAGTTATCAAAAGCGTAAATCTTCTGAATGTAATAACTCAGACCAAATGTCGAGGGATAGTTTAGAACCATGTAGCTCGCGGGAGAAATCCAATTCACTGAAAAATATGGATTTTTCGACAATAAAGAGCCCACTGATCTTAGGTTCGGATGAATTAAATGATATCCGAGAGATTTCTCGGGATGAGGCAACTGTAAATGATATTGAGAATCGGGATGGAGTGAGAACTGAATCATGGTCTACGCAGCACGGTATCCCAGGTACATCCAAAAATTCCACTCCAAGGGATAAAGCTTCTTTACGGGAATACATCGATAAGGAGTTGGACAATTTAGATACATGTTTACCACAGCTTGATTTTAACAAACTGGAAGAAAAACTCAATTGCGCAGCAAAGGAACGAATAGTAACGGAAAGGAAATTACTTGGTGAACAGGTTAATTTTAGTTTCCTGTTTTGAATTCATTTTTTCCTCAATTACTTTTAATATCGTATGTCCCTAGTTATTGGCATATTCCTCATGATAAAAGATGCATGATGAAACAAATACCGCAACAAACTATATATAAATATATAGTTATTGGAAATATTTGAATTTTATTTTTTAATGCATTTTCAAGAAGGCTGGCCATTGATATCTTTCTCTACGCTTTGATTGTTGATCTATACAATTTTGCATTGAAAGAATTCTTTTCGGGATCAGTTTTAGATTCATTAATGATTAAGTTGAAAAGATTTAAATAGAATTGGCAAGTAATGCTGAAAAAGCTTCTGTCAAATAATACAATTTTTGCCAACTACATAATTTTTTGCCTTTTCTCACTGTATTTCAACATTTTTATGGTAAATGTGATGCACTATTACAGGTGCGTCGCCGTTTAGCACTTCAAGTGGATCAGTATACAGCGGGACCAGTTCCACGAGTTTACACGAAGCCATCGAAGTCAAATCTCGGATTTCGCTTGCAGACAGCCATGAATTTGCAGGTAATTTTTACAATTTAAGCAGAAACGTTTGCTTTTGTGTAAATATCTAAAAAGATGTTTATTCTTCCCGGATTTTTTTGCAAAAATGCGCTCTAGATGATTTTGCGTATTCTTCTAATAATTTATTCCGCGGTAGCAATTTTTTTTTTAATCCTTTATTATTGATTATCAATGAAAATCTACTTCATTGTATCTTTGTACTTATTTCATTTTATTTTTGTGCATTCATTAGGTCTGCTATATTAATGATCTGAAAGATGAGGACGACGACGAGGAGGAAAGTTCGGATGATGATTTTTCCGTACCGAAATCGAAGTCCGCACCGAATCTACGAAGTTCTTTGATCGATGGCTCCAATTTGAATGCTTCTCAGTTACATCAGGCTGTGTCAGCTATACGTAAGCGCATATGTGTTGTTTCAAATTATGAAGTAAATTTTCGTCCTATTCGAGAAACTTTATTTTCCGGATATCCTGAAATTTCATGTAGTCAATTGTCCTTTGCTCCCTGATATATGGAAGTTATTTATGTTTAAAACCCCACATGAATTAACGTCAAAAATGCCTCATTTTGAATTTCATCTATCTTCTGTCAATAACCCTGATGTTATTTTTTGATATCTTTGATAAAAATTAGTTATTTTTGCGATCATGTTCACTTTTTGTCATAAAAGAGCTCTTCGTATCGGTTTATCAATGACATCATACATTTTAGTTCATTCATTATACTTCCTGTCAACCTTGATTTGTCTTTTCTGAAGTACTTTGTCAATGTTTCAAGTTTTCCATTGATCCTTTACTGCACTTCAAATTTAAGGCAATAGGACATTAGCGTCTAATTAAAATGACTTGTAGCCGGATGGATTGGTAAAGATGATTAGAGTAGTAGGTTGGGTTCGAATCTAGCATGCCGATTATGCATTAGAGTTAATTCCAAGAAGTCAAATTCCTGTGAGTTACGCATAAATACAGCTTACAGGGCTAAATTCTTGGTAAACAATCGCTGTCTTCGTCGATCTTTCGGTGCCTGTGACATTAGGTACCGAAAATTTGCTACAGAGATACAAGGCTGAGTAAATCCTTTACAAAGCCATCATAATTCATTATTTGTTGACACAAGAAAACTAAGTAAACAGTGAGTTCTTCAGTCTCGTAACTCCTCACTGGTTTTTGTTGAAGAACATTATTTTAGATATTAGATAGAAGTAAGAGGTGTATGGAGTGAGGTTTAACAATTCATATATTCTTCATCATGTATATTGCTATGAGGCGATCTTTTTAAGTACAATTGCACTTATTTTTTTGTTGATTATGCAGAAGAAAAACGGCAAATTTTGGAGAAAGAGACGAAAATGATGCTTGCGAAAGCAAAACAAGCTGCAAGAATGCAAATGGAAATTGAAAAGCTTAACACAAATCGATTTACCACAGCTATTCCTCCGAAAGCTTCCAGGTTTTCATATAAATTGGCTCTTAGAAATAAAATTTTAATTTTCTTTGGATTACATTATTTATATGAGGATCCCTTGTTTTTGAAAACGCTTACAATTTTGCAGATTCTGCTTGAAAGCGCATAAATTCAGCTTTCAGATTGCAATTGTCAAAAATGACACGTCAGCAGCTCATCGAAATAAGTGAAAAAATTAGCAAGCGTATTAGTGGTATCTTTTTTTTTAAATTTGTTATCATAAAAAGAGCACAGTTGTAGTGGTAGTAGCAATAGAAATTCTTTGGATATCTATGAGAAAGAATGGCTATCATTTTTTTCGCTAAGGAAAGAAATAGGTCATGAAAAACTCCTTAAAGGGAGTACTTAACGAACTAATCTTTGAACATCATTTGCGGCGATGAAACCCCCGACTTCAGCAATTAACTCAAATGTACTTGTTTTATAATTTCAGTTAAATTGCATTAGTAATTTGTTCAAAGTGATTATTCATTGTTTTGTATGTTTGTAGAAGAAAATGCGGAATTAATGAGGCTGCTAGTTGAAAAAGATTCGCTGTATATGCAACAGGATTCGATGCTTGTCGATATCGAAGATATGATACAGTAAGTTTCCAAGTGATTCAGCGAGATGCCCTTCGTAGTACTTGGTACTTTAATATATTAAAGTGTTTCTTTTTGGTGGTGTTACAAGTTATGTTTTAAATGTGAAAAAGAAGTTGTTCTTCAATAACGATACAACCAGGAACGTAACATCATTTAGATATAATTGTGATCTTTCTTCCCAGTAGTTGATTGTAAATTATCTTCCAATTAATGTGGATCATTATACTATCAATTTCTGCATTAATCTTTTTTGGAAATAAATACTCTTTCATTCTGCAGAAATTATACGAAATGAATCCCCCTACATCAAAAATTCTACATGTAAAGTTCGTGAAAGTTTATTCCTTTCACGACTTCAATTGAAAGGAATCAAATGAGAAAGATTAATTGTTTCTGCTCATCACAATTTCATTACGTTTTGGCAGTATTAACGCTGTTTAGCACTCTTGTGACTTAATATTTCTAAATCATAAACATTCATTGGAAGCACTAATGCTTAATCTCGTTTGGCTTGGAGCTACACAAAGATGGCGTTAGATATGTTCTTAATTGAGCATACGTGATGTATTTGAGGGGCACTCTTGCTTTAACGTTTTGTTAATTTTTTTCGCTTTCTAATTCTGTTCAAATTTGTCATATTACTTCGATCTCCTTTTGCCATTTCATCAGTTCTGGAAGACCTACGTTTCAGGCATGAGAGCAATTCGGAATCGCTGAATTTGCCCGATTTTTTGAAGGTACAAGCAATCCCACTATAACCATATCTAAATTTCGCATTTTTCAATGGCTGATTTTTTTGTTCTGTCTCTTCACTTATCATGGACTGTGGTGGTGATCTTCTCAGGAGTCCATATTCATAAGGCAGTAAGGATTATGTAATCTTATTAACAGCTAAAATCTACATAGATATTGAGACAGCAGATCAAATGAAGAAAATTGCTCCTGATCGTCCAACGCATTGTAACTTTGTTGTTAACCCTATTGTCAATTGACTCCTTAATGTGCAAATCAATGATAGACAGTCAGTTCTCGCTTTTCTTTATAGTTTTTTTCTTTTACTTCCTATTTGCATTATTATGTATAATTGAAATATTATTGTTCCCTTTCATTTAAGTAAAAAACGTAGGAAGAACTAAAATGCTAGAAGAATAAATTGGCTAGTATTGGCAAGTTAAATTTGACAGTGAGGTCATTTTGTATGTAACTTTCACGCCATTAAAATTTCTGATTCCAGAGTGCTTGAGGAAAAATCTTTATTTCCGTTTTATTACATTAACAAAAATTAATCCTGTTGCTTTCAGAACATATGATCAAAAGAAATTAAATTTGGTTGCTGATAACCAAAAAGTTTTTATGGTCCAACGAACTTTCCTTGCATTATTTTCTTCAATTAAATCTGGGAAATGAGGCTACAAAATTGATTGCAACTTGAAGAACATTATTTTGATTAACACCCTCGGTGTTAGTTAATTTCTTTATTGAATTAATCTTGAATCATTAACCTGCAGTAATGGAATTTAATTGGAATTTATTGTGAAACTTGAATGTTTTAATAACCGATAATTTCTGTTGATGTTGTATTGTTTCATATGATCAAAAAAATAGAATGTATATTCCCTTAGGAATATACCGTTTCTTTTGGTTACAGATGTTGCATGTTTTTTCATTTCCGATCAATAAGACAATTTTGACATCCCATACCTATACCACTAACTTTCCGTTTATGGATATCTCAAGATATTGCTGCATTTAACAACTTCCAAAATCTTTATTAAATGATGTGGCCGACCTCCCTACTAATAGTCGAACTATCAAATATTTTAAAACATTTTTTTTTGCTATGGAACATAGTTGGATTTCAAGTTTTTCATTTATAGCAATAAACTTATAGCAATAATTTTTCAATACTGATGCTGTGGAGTAATTTAACGAATAAAACTTATTGATCACAATCTGATCATTGTCTCATTTATTTCTATCATTTCTCTTTATACCAAAATATATTAGCTCAAATAGTTTGAAAGGTCTGAAAAATTTTCCAATACTAAACTGATCTGAACTAGATTATCGGTCGGCGGTTGAATTCCCAGTGCCGGTAGGATCGCCAAGATTTGGATACACTTGTGGACAATTACCGCATATTCGAAGAATCCGAGTTTCGCCGTTGCAAGTAAATGAACAACTGGATGGAGTCTGTAAACAGTGTTTTCATAATTTTATGGTCTTTATGCAACTATGTAATTAAATTTTTTTAAGCTACTGATTTGAAAATATCTGACTCGACAGTTTAAATATGAATAAAACAGTTCGATGTTATGTTATTCATTCATAATAAATATTTTTGACTTCATAATAAATATTTTTTGAAAAATATTTAAGCTATGGAAATGATGCACTTTGCAGTGTCATCAATTCCAGAACTTTATCGGGGTTGCATTGTATCATACTTTGCGTTTTGATCTACCACTTCCTAATTGAAGATCATCGAGACAATCGTAACTCTTTTCTGAATGCAAAATATAGAAACACTATGCATCTTACTATTAATAGTTTGGTAAGCCTCACCTCACAGGTAGTGACGTTACTCTTAAACGGAACATTGCATTGCCATGGTTGAAAATCATGAATATGTAATAAACGTGTTGGTCGTCTAATCCACTTCAGTGCTTGCGTGGCTGTTACAAAATATACATCGGAGTTCTTTAATATCTGGAAAAAATATTTGAAAACTAATAAAATTTATAATGAAACTAATGATTAGTGAGTATAGTTGAGAAATGTTAAAAGGAAACGTTTGTTGTTTATTATTGGTTTATTATTATTATTGTTTATGGACAATACATTGAAAATGTGTTAATAAGCAATTCAATTGAACAAAGGAATTGAAGTGCAATTAAAACCATTTGAAATATTTGGGAGAGTTAAAGTATGCTATATATCTACATGGCTCTATCTTCTTATATTTTTCCATTTGGAATAACATTTTGCCATCTTATCAAGAGCATTTCTAAACTTTTTTTTAACACATTCACTAATTTAGCGATACAAAATATGAAAATATGTTTTCATGGAATTTCACCGTCTCTAACGAAATAATGAGATTGAATAACATTTTGATTTAAATTTCAAGTTGAAATAGTAAAAACAACAAAGCATTTGCAATTACTTTTTCGATAAAAAGTTTAAATGCAATGATCGCGCCTTCATTTGGTAACGCATTGAGGAAATCATTATCAGCAGTTAATAAATATGGAGCTCTATTGTAGTTGTATGAACGATTGAAATTCATTTCCAATATTTGCGCAACATCCAAAGGAGAATCATCATGCTAGAAAACACAAAAACTTTGATATTTAGTCATATTAGGGGTATACATATATTTTTAATACTTATACTACTTAAATTACTTTTTCTTTTGCTTCAGCTATCTGAAAGATTTGATTAATAAGAAATATTAGGAAAAATATCTGTTATTTTTTCAAATCTAACAATTTGGCTCCCCTCAATACCCATCCAAACAATTTAATTTTCTCCAAAAATATCATCTATGATTTCATTTCATTTTAGTTTTGCAAATAAATCGACGATGCATTTAATCACAGAAAATTTCAATTAAAGGTATCTGTCAAAGAAAATTTAAACTAAATAAGTTCAAATTATAATTTTACTATACTATACTCTATTTATATATTTCAATTGAATAAATTTGTGTATTATCATCACTTTACATATTATTGAAAAAATGACTAAATGAGAAACATACGCGGATAGCTTCTTTTAGCATGGTGAATTCTTTTTGTGAACCCGGTACAATGAAACGGTTTATTGGTATTTCCCAAATATTTGGATGCGTACTCTTAGGACAATAAATTGATGAACATTTCCAGGCCGTCTTATATGCTAGTGTTTGTGGCCAATATGGTCCACCACTTGCACTCATTGTATTATCATAAATGAAACCAAACTTTTCCATCATGTCAAATTGATTATCTCCTGAAAATTTCTATTGCATATATTTTTGTGATTATTACTCAAAAAACGATTAATTCTATTGTATTTTGAAAGTTAACGAACGAAAGCTTTTAATATATTCATCAGAATGGTAGTGTAATTTATACATAATTATAATTGACTTCTGACTTTTGCAGCATTAATTCCAGGCTTCCATTACTTACCTCCTAATTCGAGTTGTGGAGCTCGTACACCAATAATGTCTGCTGCGTTTGCATGACTAAAATGTAGTAGTGCATCACGCATGCCTACCATTTCTTTCTTCCAACGTTCCGCTGTTTCATCGCCCAAATTTCGATGTCTAAATAAAAACATAAATATTTTATAATATACATAATATATATTTTATACTTTTTTCAAAATTTCAAAGAATTAAAAAAACAAAATGTATGTACCATTTGTCCGACTTACAATAAAATAGAAAATAAAAAAATTGAAAGTACCTGAAAAAGTGACCCTATTGACCTTTTACTATTCACGAGCGTCAAAAATCTTTGATTATTAACTTTTTTGCAACTAGTTAGCTAATCAATATTCATATTCGCCAGATTAATGCCGTCTACTTTTTTTTGTTTTCATAATATCTACTATATACTTGCTATTTCAAATTTCAAATTATTGATTGATCAAAGCTTACGTAATTGAATTCACAGCGATTTCATGACCATTACTTATTAACCATTGGGTTTGATCATAATTATTCCATTCATTGGACACAAAAAATGTACCTTTTATAGGACAGCCATTCGGATTCCTGAATAGTGATCTCCTAATAAATATCAAATTAAATTCATCGAACAATATTCATGTAAAAAAAAGATGAAACAAAAACCAAAGTTACAGATCAAAATTGTACATTCACTTAAGAAATTATCAATAACAATTTGAATACCGATAGTTCCCATTGAACAATGATTTATATATGGCGAATGTTTGATCAGTTACTGGACCATCGAATGTTAAGAGAATTATTTGTGGTACATCTCTTGCCAATAATTCACCCGGAATCTCCAATCCGGATCTTAAAACGGAATAATGCATTATGAATTCAGATTACATTCCCTTTAAACACTTATTTTTTGTGTCACCAAGACTTTCGCACTTAGTTCTTTGTTCTCTATCTTCTTTTTTCCTTCTCTTTCGTTTTCATAATTTGTTTCCTGCTGATCAGAAATCATTTTCTCGCAGGATTCTGCATCAGATTCTGCTCATGTTAATACTCATATTTTCTGTATCCTTTATTGGTAGCTCTCGCTGTACTATCATCATGAAAAATATTAGATTACAGTTTTGTGATCAATTACTTCTTGACAAAACAATGTAAGTGAATATATATATATATATATATATATATATATGTTACATGATTTACCTTGAACAAAAGCAGTTAGGTAGAAGACATGAAGCAGTTACTGGACAATTCTTTAGTGGTTGCCAATTGGAAATGAACTTCGGAGAAGTGACCATCGTTTTTTGTAAATATCCTGGCTGACCTGTTAATAAAGGCATCGATTGCAAATTTTACATTTATTACTGATATTATACTCATAGGATATGTACATTTCCCTACCACAGAATATGTCGATTAGACAACACTGTAATACATATGATAACAGATGCTACTATTCAATGGGTAAGTGAAAAGGTTGGAGAATGGACGACACAAAGTGAAAGTTTACTTTAAGAAGAAAAAAAGATTGAACTGAAATTGATAAAGTTTTTAGATAATGCATACGATACGTTGCAGAAATTTCAATACGCTGCGGCAGTTTCATTCCATCAAATTGAGTGAATTAAAAAGAATGAGTTACGTGCTATTTTGATTTATGAGTAAATTGAAAAATAATAAGTTAATCATGCAAATCATGCAAAAAGTACTGACATGCATTTTAGTGCACTGATTAAATAATCATAGAGAATATATATGTATACTTTTAAGGTACCGAGAACTACCGTTGCAAATTATTCCAGAATCAACATCACACCAGAAAATACTGAAAATTAGGTATGACTGTTCTGGGTTGCGTACATAAATATATGACATGAAAGCAGACTTAAGCACTACTGTAATCTGGTACAAATTTCACACTCATATTTAATATAATTAATCGATTCTAAAAGCAAAAAATGTAGATGATATTTTTGGTGAAAATTAAATTATTTGAATGGGTATTGTGGGAAGTCGAAATTTCACAGCTTCCAAATATTCTAATCTATCGTTTGCTTAATTAGTGCATTCATTATAAATACCTGCTTGGATATTAAATATCAATTTTAGACAGAAGTTAATAACAAGAAAATTTGCTTAAATGTTAAGCAAAATTGTTAAAATTTTGTTTAAATGTTTTTGAATTGTTCAAATTGAATTTACATCTTCGTTGTAATTTTAAATCAGCTGAAGATGTCTTCGGCAGCTTTGGAAATTCAACATTTAATAAAATTCTTTAAACCTTGTGAACTTGATATGTTAATAATTTTTACAAACTACGTAAATGTTTGTAAAGTGAAAATTGGAAGCTTTTGAAGACTTATATTAAGACATATACATCAATAACATTGCCTATGTAACGAATAGGACACATGCAATATCCCAATAAATTATATTTTAGTTAAATGATGCAAATTTACTTCTAAATTATGACGAAATTTTGCCAAGCCTGAAACTTTCAAAACAGCAAACATTGAAATTGATTTAAAATGTTGAAAATTTTTAAAATTATTATAAATTTTGCACATACTTAATTACAATAATTTTCTTATAATCGAAATGATCGTTTTGAAAAGTTCTTGGAAATGGCTACAGTACTTTTCTACTTCCCTAGCAATTACTAGCTTTAATGCTATTGATGATAATAGTATCATTCCTCTTTATGCTTCTATTGTAGATTACCGCCTTAAATATTGAATGACATAAATTTTTATGATAATTTTAAAAGGGAACATACCACTAAGTTTGAACATGAATTGCATTTGAACTTGTTATCCATTTTGGCCGAGTTCATCTTTACGACAAATTGAACCACCTGTATATTGCGTACGTATTGAACATAAGGGAATAACAGACTTTGAATCTGGCTCCACAGAAAAGAGTACATTTGATTGTAGTTATGGATTGCTCTATTAATTGAAATAAATTAATATCATAAGAGAAAAATGTAAAATGAATAGATGAGAATGTGGAAGAGTTGGTGCAAAAGAAAGAAAATATATTTGCTTTTTTACGGAATTGTTTTTGCTAAAAAATTTGATCAACTTTTGCTATATTTTAGTCCAAATAAAAAAATTTGGGCATAATATAGGAAATCATTTTATTTTTTAGAAAATTTGACAAACAGAAAACTTATCAGGATGTATATGAGACTGAGTAAGCGGTATATTGACCATTAATTAGCACACTATTTGCACCACAATGGCAAATACTCTGAATAGATACAAAACCATTGTCAAATATCACATGTTGAATCTAACACCAGAACAAGAGTTAATCAAAAATGAATATTGGATAACTTAAACATAGACAGCAATTAATACATTTCTAAATATCCTTGTTTATATATTCGGAGAAATTGAATAATGAATATTTTACAATAAGTGAAAAGTAATAGATATAAGAAATCTCCACAATTGTAAGTAATAGTAAACATTGAAATACAATACGATATTATGATGAAAATTGGATGGGCTAAGTTAATAAGTCTCACATTGATATTTATATTATATTAAAGCTGTAAAAACATTTGTATTATATATTTACTGCCAAAACGATGAAGAGAAATAAGAAGAAAAATATTGGAAGATTAAAATTTAAACTAATGACATAATGTTACAATTATTATAAAAACATTTCTTTGACACAATAATTAATATAAAATAAAAACAACACAAATTAAAACAATTATTTAGGTTATTTAAATAACTTTCGTTTAAATTAAGTGGTTCAAAATACTTTAAAAGTATTATCATTCTGAAACAGAAATCGATTTAGAATTTTAGGCTTGTTATAATAAAGATCAAATTCTTTACTTAGTCAGTATAATTTACAAGTAATGGACTGCAATTAGCTAAAGCATTCATCAATATTGTTATTCGTATGTTTTAGTTCAATTTCAGTGTTACATTCTTGCATACAATTTTCAAATGATTTGGAATAATTATCAAAAATTTAGAAAGCTAATTTTTGACGAGTGCATCAGAATGAATAGGATTAAATAGATTTGGATAGACAAATTGGAACACCAAATTCTCCATAGAGTCAATTTAGATATCTGCAAGCTCCGCGAAAACAAACAAAGCCACCAGTGCATAACATATTCCCGAAACATGAATGATTTGGGAACACCAGATAATACACCGTACATTGACCATTTATTGCTACTTAAAGATTATCGCTATCCAAAGATAATCTACAAGCAAAATATTTTTTCATTTTAAAATGCGTGATATGAATTATAATAATGAAGATAGATATGTTCAAATTATGAGAATGATGCTTATTTAAAAGATGCAATAAAAATATAATTCATAAAAACGGAACTTAATGTTGTTGATCTATTTTCATTGTTTGTCGTTGAAAGAACAATTGCGCTGCATTTAGGATATTTTCTAATAAAAATGGATAACAATATCTAATAAAAAAAGTATTTTAAAAAAGAAATTAAAAAAATTGAGTAGATGTCAGTAAGTGATGCAGAAATCTTTAGGGATTAGACTCACAAAAATTACCTTTTAAGGGAAATTTATTGAACGAACCTGATCTGAAATACACTTGCAGTAATTATCAATACATACTGAATTACCCGTACATTTCGTATAACTCATTTTGCAAACTTTTCCTGGCGCTCCTAAAATTTAATTAGAAGGTAATTTTTAGATTTGGTATATTGAGACGCTGTGAGCCTATTTACACCATAACTCAGCCATATCCAATGTCATCAGTTACGCCAATGGAGTGCATTGTAGCTTAGGCATTAATATTCCGAAATTAAGATTTCCAATTCCAGTATTTATTTTACTGTACAATAAAAAGTGCTCTCTTCTTTAGGATGAAAACTTCATGCACCGAAAATATCTTTTCTACAGAGGAATATTTAGAGGTAATTCGCCATAAAAAATTAGCATTTTTTTTTTGTTAGATTGAAATGATCCAATTGAGACTATCTAGCACTTTCTTCACTTTGATTAACTTTGCAAATGCAACATCTTAAATTTCTTATTACCAATTTTTATTTATTTGTTACCAGTCTTTTCAAAAGCAAAAATATATTGCTTTTAATTTTAGTCAAATTTTTTGAAAACTTTTGACTTTTTTAAAAAAAGTAATTGAAATACTAACGTTGTGAGTTTATGGGAGTACAGATACCATTGATTATTCTTTCTCCGCTTGGACAAGTGCAGAAACCATCAGTACATATTGAATTACCAGCACATTGCATTCTTATGTTATTTTCATCGCAAGGTTCACCAGTATTCACTAAAGCTTGTTAAATGGATCTATTAAAAATTTTCATCAATGAAATAGTCCAGTAAAAAGGAATAATCGATAATACTTGTGAATACTGTCATTAAAACACATTTTCCTATCTGTATATATTTAAAAGGAACATAATCATCATATTTTAGCTTCTGTTGCTGACCAATTATTTCATTTGGCGTACAAATGTGACCAGTGGGACATACACAAGAACCTTTCAAGCAATATGTACCATCACGACATATCGTCGGATCAGTTGTGCAATCATTGTTTTCTCCTAAAAAATCATGTGAAATGTTAAATCATGGTAATCTTATAGAACCATCCTGCAAAACCATTAAACGAGAAAAAGCTCACCAATAGCAAAATTGAAAGTCTTGAAAACTCGTAATTATCTTTACATGACGTGATCAGATGACCTTATATCATATATATTCATCACTTTGATTAACTATTTAGACAATTGAAACTTCAACTGACTGGCAGTAAAAAAAATAATTCAATTTCTCACTTACACAATACTTACCTGTAATAGCATTACAAAAAAGACAGGAGAAAGTCAGAAGTTTAAAACTTTTCAGATTATATCAAATGAATATATTTGATAATATGAATAGACAGTGAAGATAGTATATATTTAACTATTCTTTAAATGACTGATTTTTTTTTTGCTTTATTAAATGTTAAAACATAAGAGAAGATAGCATTAAAATAATATATTTAGTTAAATGAAATAAATTCATTTGTAATTAACGGAGAAGTTGTCAAGAAGAAATGAAAGCAATCAATTAATTCATCGTTTATATTATATGTGCTACGTTTGTTGTTTATTTTGTTTTCAAATCTTTGGAAAATTTTCTTTTTTAAATATTAGTAAGATAAAATTTGTCGTTGTTGTCATAGTCATATGCTTCCATTGTAGGAAGTTGCACTAATCGTTGAAAACGCTCAACTTTATTATTTTACAAACTGATCATGCAATTATATTAATAAAAAATTTTTATTAACTAATCTTCGAAAAAAATTTCTTGTTTTGTACATCTTTCTCATTTAAGATACAGTCTTCTAACTGTGACACAAATATTTAACAATGAAATTATTCCGGAACAGGAATATGATATAAGGGAAGAATAACCCTACAGGAACCATTCTTTTAGCTCCATTAAATTTGAAGAATAGAAAAGAAACTTGACAAAATTTTTCTTTTTGTAAGATAAGACTGAATGAGGGAATACATTCATTTGTTTCAAAAATACCAATAAAAGTTTGCGAAAACTATATTTAGAATTATTTACTACATATTGAATTTTATCATACATCCTTCTACATAGAAAGTAATAATGTTTTCGTATTTACGATGGAGTGACAAATATTTATGCAAAGAGCCACTATACAAACCCTGATCAACCTCAGTGCGCTGCATTCCACGATATGAAAATACCAAAGATACGCCAGCACTTTCTCGAATACAAATACCGCTGTCAAGAAAATGATTATATTATTATGCAATACAATATTTACGAAATGTAATTTTCTCTAATGCTATTTTGATGATAAGATTACTTGGCTTGTCGCATTTCTGCGAGCAAACTAAGAACTCGACCAAACATACAGCGTTAATTAAAATGTAAGAATTAATTTAGATTATTATATTTCATCCAACTTCTGAAGGCTTCGGCAGAATTCTCCGAATAGCTTGAAGACATTCACGCGAAAGGTAAGATGATCTTCCCATTTATTTTATCAATGATGAATTTCAAAAAATAAAAATTACGGATAATTATTGAAAAACTATGTTATATGAAAACAGAGATACAAGCAGAGTTGGTGCATATCTGGATATCAAAAAGTCACAATCACGCACAGCACAGCACACCATGCAATGCAATAATGTTGCAAAATTGATGCTATCCGGAAGGTACATTGCTTTGTGAACATGAAAAATGTCCAACTTTTAATTTTCTAAATCTTTCAAGCAAAATTGATTTTCAAATGAACTTAGAAGTAAATTTTAGACATGCTTTTATCAAATCACTTTGTAGACTATGCTATTTTCCTCATCAAAGAAAACGGCATAATCTGGAAGTATTTTGATAAAAGCCATAAAATTCAAAACTGATCCCTAAATTGAACAATTTCGAAATTTCAGGAAGCCATTACTGCCTAGTGACACAAAAACAAATTATTCTCACCACGAAAAGTTTTAGCACATTCATTACCAACGATATTATTTTGTTCAGGTGGACAGGTACACATTCCACGGATACACTTCGAAAATCCAGTGCACTTTTCTCCATTTATACATGGCATTCCTGGACCTGATTCTTAAAAAATTGTAAAGTACAAGAAATCAAAATTTAAAATTCACTGTTTTCATTTTCTTCATCCTCTGGATTTAATATGTCTGCCTTTGATATGAACAAATAAGCATTTGACATGTTTAAAATTTAAAATATTTTTGATAAATTTTACTACTCCACTTGTTGCATAAAAAATTTTAACTGTGCGAACCAAAATGGAAAGTATTGAAAAATGGACTTAGAAAATAATAAAATTAGTATTAATAAAAAAGAAAACAAACCAGTATTGATTGGTATGCAGAAACCTGATCGAGACATAGTAGTACCTAGGATACAAGAGCAGAAACCATTGATACAATGAGATCGAGGAGGGCATTGCTGGGTTGTTTTACATCGACCTGTAAGAATAGACATTTTCTTTATGATTTGAATATTGCGATTAACATCAAAGTAATTTCAATTTAAGCTAAGTGTTCTCAAAAGAAAAGTTAAAGCAAAAAAAAACAATTCGGAAGCAATGAAATCGAATGTTTTAATGTTTTCGTATTTCATTTGTTGCTTGTATGTTTAGGATGATTTTTTATTACATCTTCTATCCTTTAACTAAAATCAAAAATACAGCGAATGCGTGGAACAAATGCGCCATCAATCATTACATTACATCATTAGACAATGAATATTGAACCATTTTCCATCATCACAAAAAACGCCTGGGAATTATATGTTATAAATTAATGTTTATATAAAATAATGTTTAATTTAAAACGAAGCAAGAAGTAAAAATTAATTAGTATATTTCTTCTCTTCTAAGTGTACACCAAGGCTTTAACTTATAACTGAATTAATTCATTTAATTCGTCATCATTGTAATTGAAAGAGAAATAAAAACAGAAACGAACTGCTTATCGATGTTAGAAGTTCAGGCTTTATTCGTGGATGTATCGTTGGCCATACTTCCTCCGTACTCCAAATTCGATTTACTGGCGTTGTCATAACTTTTACAGATGAGATAGGACGAAATGTTGTTACAGGTAACAAATTGGTTGTTCGCGATTTGATCGGTAGTGTTGAACGTGTTGCATACGCTAATATCGAATAACCACCACGCAGTAATTTTTCGAATTGTCGCAGACGAGTTACTTAAATTGTTAGAATGGCAAGGAAGCAAATGAAAATCAGCAAATAAAGGCAGAAATATTTATCATGATAAGAAAGATAATTCATTCTGTAACACAATGAAACAGTATCTTACAAAAATCCGGCATTTGATCTTGCAATATCCTATGACATATTTCATTTGCAGAATTTTGCGCTTTAATCTTTTGTCAAAAAAATTTGAATTTCAATAATAACTGAATAGAGCATTAGATAACATTATGTTACATTATTAGACATTAAAAATATTTGTCATTTAGCAGGTAACATTTGGTCTACATTTAATTCGCAGATTCATTGAAATAAAAGGAAAATAATTTCTTTCCTTTCCCTCTCATAAATTCATAACCATTAAATAATTAAATAATTATTGCAATATGCAACTTACCATCGACTATAAATTTGCATTCAGTATCGGATATGCGAGTGCCCAGAGGACATTTGCAAATACCACTACGACAAACGGAAAAAAATAGACAGAGTGTTGTTTCGTTGCATACGCCACCCGATATGTTTACGATCATTTCAGTTTGACGACTTGATGGGATACGTTCAATGCCAGCATCAATTAATGGTAAAGGTGTAAATATTGCGGAATTAAGACTTGTCTCATCTGATTTAACTTCTAGGCTTGAATCTATCATTTCATTTGTTGTTGTTTTGGTGATACTATTGCTCATGTCAATAACTTCTGTCGGTATTATTGCTTGCAGATGATTGTTGGAAAATGTTGTTGCTGTCGGGATACATCCGGTATCTCCAGATATACGATGTCCAGGAAGACAAATGCATATTCCCTTATGGCACTCGCTGTTACGTATTGTACAGTCGTGATTTCCCGTACATTGTTTATCAATACGATTCACTAAGAAAATCGGTTATTAAAAAAATTAAGGACACTTTTCTCTTTCTGTTTTATTTGAAAAAAAAATGATAAAAAAGCAAGCAGCCAAATCATCCAATATATAATGATTGTAGGAAAAAATAGAATGCTGAAGTTCCCTTTGCAATGTTTTAAATTTAGAATTAAAAAAATTTGACAGGCACTTACTTTTACAACTATGTTTCGTATCTTCTTTAAAATGCTAGAAATTACTACATAAAGAAACCTCTTTTACGTGAAATCGGAAACATTCTCTGACATATGCCACCTTTCATAATCATATTAAATGGACAAATGCAACGATGGTTGAAACAATAAGCACCACCCGTGCAATCATCGTTACTTTCGCAACGATTCATGCGAAGTGTTACTCGATTTATATTAATTATAGAATGATTCGATGGTTTCCTCATTATATCCTTATTTCGATTAAAAATTTGCTGCGACGGAAGCGTAAAAGTCGATTGCACTAAATTTAGACAAACTGAACAAGTAAAATAAATTATCGCATGCAAATATTTCCATACTTTTTTATGTTTAATTCTAATTGCAAAAACCATAATAATAATTTACCATTAGTTAATTCACATCTTCCATTTTGGAAGATAGTATCCGCAGGACATCGACACATTCCATCCATGACATTGCAGAATGATCCACCGACACAAAATTCACCCTTGCTACAGGGAGAATTAGGCTTAGCTAAAAAACAAAAACGCATTAAATTTCAAATAAAATTTCGTGATGCTTAATTCTAAAAGTAACACAATATCTACTTAAAATCGATTGTGGAAAGACCACGAAATAATACTGATAGAACAGTGAGGCTTAGATGAAGAGCTGTTGAAAACTAATGAAAATTCACCTTCATAGGTGATATATTTCTTGATTTTAATATCCTCTTTAACACAATTACCATCCCAAGATACTTCATCATCAGGACATAAACATGAACCATTAATGCAAACATAATTTGATATACAGGTTTCACCACTAAGGCATGATTCTCCAGGTTCGGCAAATATCATTTGACATCTGCCATCCATGAAAATCTCACCTGCTGGGCAATGACATCTATAAATTTGTTAAATTTACGTAACATTTTGTCACAACCAAACAATCTCAGGATGTATTCGTGTTTTTATGACTAACATAGACACCTTTTTTAGCTCACACAGCTTACTTATCTGTCAGCTTTCCTTATTCTCTTCTTTCACTCCGAAATGTAAACTATATAAAGTGAATTGGAAAAATAAATTATCTGAATATTTAACAGCAAATTTTTGAAAAATTTGATAGAGGCTACTCTCGAAATTTCGTTTCTTTTTAATTTTCTCAAAATTAAAGAAAGCGAAAATTTTTCCTGCTTGCAATACATTTTGCACCAGCTGTACAATCGGCATTAGTGATGCATATTTTGATTGGTGATATTAGTGTACGAGTAAACATTGGTATACAGGATTGGTCATGATACTGATATCCATCTTAAATGTAGCCATTTTTAGAAACGATTAATTAAATCATCAGGTGTGGAAGTAGGTGAAATTTTGGAGTAAGATACTGCAAGATATGAGCATGAATAAACAAATTACTGCAAAAAACTTTGATTAGCCGATATTTTAAAATCCTACAAATCTTACAAACCTTTACAAATGCAAAGACCGTTTTGATGATTACAATATGAGTTTTTAGCACACTGAGAAGAATTCGAGCATTTACCAAGTGAATCTGCAACAAAATTTACTATCCAAAAAGCATATAGAAATTTTTTGTATATTCCACTGAGATACTAACTGATTAAAAAAACATGACCTTCTAGTGAATTGAAAGAACAAATAGACATTACTAAAATTTGAATATAGGCTGTAAAGTTTTAAGCCAACGTGTATCTATTGTTGATATGCATTGTCCACTACTCGTAAATATTCCTTGCGGACATTGACAAATTCCATCAATACAAAGTAAATCATCAGAGCATGTTTCTCCATTTATGCATGTCCCTTCGTAGCTTACTGAAAAGGAAAAGTTTTAAACAATAAATTCGATCATATCTTCTAGTATTGTTTTGTATTTTTAGCTTTTTCCACTTGAACTTCTAATTTTTAAATTTCTTTCGTAAAGAAGTTTTAAAATATTAAATTCATAAAAGATTATTTTATTAAGAAAATATAATTTCTCATGATTGAATGAAGTCAATTGTTTATGGCATATTTCTTGACCATTGAAAACTAGAAAAACTTATTAAAATAACGAACTTTTTTCTTTAGCTACGCATATACCATTTTGGTTTGTTGTACCAATTGGACACAAACATATCTACAAATAAAAGTTATTTATTACTTCGAGAATCGATCATTCATTACTTACATTCCTTCTTAGAATGTAAAAGAGTAATAGATAGTGAAAAATATTTTAACATCAAACCGATTTATTACATATCGATCCGCCACCGCAAAATTCTCCATTAACACAACCATCTCCTGCACCAATCAATGTAAAATCATGACATTTCCCATCCTATTAAAATTTTCTTTTTAAATTATAACATTAAGTATTCAAGAATTAAAAAGTGAGAATAAGCAAAAGAATAAGCAAGAATAAAACATCAATATTTAACCTGTAAAACCATGCCAATTGGACATTGACAAATGCCATCAATGCAATTTGCCATTCCGAGACAAATTTGAGTAGAATTACATGGAGAACCAATGGGTACTTTTTGCTTCAATATACATTTACTAGATTTTCGTACTGTTCCAAGTGGACATTCGCATTTGCCGAAAAGACAATTTGAATCGCCCAAACATCGTTCATTCCCAGTTGGGCAATCATTTCCCATTGACACTTCAATTGAAATTTTATAAATTTAGCTTTAAAAGTGCATTGCAGGCAGAATTAGCTAACAGATATTTTCCACTCACTTCCACATTCCTCCATAATTTCACATCTTTCATCCTCTTTAAATGATTTTTATTCATTTGAACCCTCTGATATTCAATTAATTGGAATTGAAGTCTTAATAAAGCGTCTATTCATTTATTTCATATAATAAACATCAATACCTGCAGGAAGCAATTCACAAATCCCATTTACAGATTGCTGAAAATTGGGACACTGACAAATATTTGCAGTGCAAGTTGATCCACCGCTACACTGTGCGGTTGAGTTACACAATGAATTTGGTGGTACAGTTGCGCTCGGAACACATTCCTCATTTAAATTGATATTTCCTGCTGGACATACACAAATACCATCGAGACAGAATGATCCACCCAAGCAAATTTCACCATTTGCGCATGATTCCATTGCTCTAGCTTCTTCTGCAAAATCCTTTACTTCTTCCGCTCATTGATTTTTTGATGAAAACAAAATTAATGAATCAATCATTATTTTATTTATTCTATTCCTCATTTCTAAATTTTAGAATTTATTTCATGAAATGCCATTTTCAAACTATCATTATCTATTTGACTTATTTCATTCTATTCTCTTAACTTGGAATTAAATATTAATTTTAGTACCAACAAAAATTCAACTAACAGATTAATCATTCTTTCACCCTCTCATGTGCAAGAAATTATATGCTTAATAAGACTGTTTCTTTATTATTATTTATCACTTAATCAAATTAACATTAAAATGTCCCCTTCAGTTTTATATCTCTCTCACACTCTCTTCCTCTTTGTCAATTAATGAATAGTTAGATCTGCATTTAAAAATACTTACTTTGACGGCATAAACCTTCCTTAATCATCATTGATGATGGACAAACACAAATATTGTTGACACATCTGAATTCTCCCATACAATCCAAATTTACAAGACATCTTTGTCCAATTGGCATTCGATCATAACATTCATCATTGTGCTCTATTTGTTTTGAATTACATCCTAAAATTAATTGCTCAATCCATTTTCTAAACTTTTATCAATCTAATTACTTGTCAATTTATTAAACATTTTCTTATGCTTTCACATCATATTTTAGAGTGTTAAAAAATTCTCAAATACATCTAACTTCTTCAAATAACCTTGTCTGCATATCCCATTTTTACCGAGAACATAGCCTGAAGGACATCTTTCATCGCACATATCACCTGTGAATACTTTACCCAAGGAGCAACGACAAAAGCCTCGAACACAAATCATTTCAGTGTCATTCATTTGACACTGTGATGAGTATTGACATTTCCCTCCTGGTTTAATAGCTGGAAAAGAAAGTTGAAGTTAGCTACTGATAATTCCAACAGATTAATTATGTTGATTTAATTTAAAGAGATATATGAACTCATATAAAATCTTAGCATCACAAACAGTATGCCACAATTTACACTGGACGAACGGATTATCAAAGAAGTGAAGCTATACCTGGTATACATTTTCCGACTATTGCAGAAAAGATCATGTTTGCTCGACATTGCTCTCCGCATGTTCCATCAATTGGTACTTGTTTTTCAGGACAAGTACACTTATGCCGAGAACAATATGCGCCATCACTTGCTGTTGAGCATTGTATTGAATGACTGCAACCATTTGCGCCCGGTGGTAGTACTAAAAATTGATAGATTTGCAAGACAGAATAGCTTTTTTTTCTCTCAAAATATTTGTAAAAGATAATGGACCCAAAAAGTACTGCTTGAAAATAATTGCTCTGGAAACAAGCTAACTTAGATAATTGTTTTCTATCAATTAAATGTTCTTTTCATCAAATCATAAAACTAGAAATGTTGGGAAAATTTTCTCTAGGCTTTTTCCAATTTGTCTGTTATTAATGAATTCCTCGATAAGAGATCACACCTTGCATGCATTGGGTCATTTCAGACACCCAAACATAGCCAAGTAAAGCACATTTTGGTTCCATAAAAGCACATGAATTTCCATTAAGCTTCATTCCTGGAGCGCATTCACATTTTAATTTTTGACAAAATGCTGCTGAGTCAGTTGCTGCACATTGTTCAGAGTATTGGCAAGATTCGCCTGGTAGCCGTACTGAAAAATTAGTCAAATAATGGAAAGATTTAGATTGGAAAGTTCTGAGAGGTGCAAATACTTACTTGTCATACAGGTGCCAATCTCTTTGATGAATACATGTTGTAAAGGACATAACGATAAGAGGGATATTTTGTGCACTGAAATGATCGAAATTTTATAAAATTTATAGTTCTTACAAACTTGACTGCGAATAATCAAAAAGGTTCTTAGATATAATTGATATATACTGATATGAATTTATATGAAATGTAATTCTCGAATATATTTCAGTATTTACGACATTAAGTAAATATGTATAGTTTCTATCCTTTCTCATAATAAGTTAATAAGAACCGGTTTGCAGTATATACTTAATTTATGCATGGTTGCAACAATTCAATATTTAATTAGCAATTATAGAAACAGAAATGTTGATAATTTATCACTAAATTATCTTTAAATAACTTCATTTATTAAATTACCATTAAATCACTTTTAGTGTACATTTATTTATCAGTTCACTACTCTTAAAAGAACGTTTTACTAACGATTCTCATTTATGAATTATCAGCTGATTGATTGAATCTGATTGATTTAACAAAATATTGAGAAGAAAAAGTTAGATAGAGAAGAAGAAATGATTCCGAAATGATATTTGATAATACTAATTTATTCTTATTAAATTCAAAAATTATTTCGCAGAAATTTAAATCCAATATAATAATTTCAAAAAAAAGTACATTACAAATTTCTTTTAACAAAATGATTGTGTTGACATTCTAATATTAGCTTTAATCAATTATTAACTTATTGGAATGCCGAAAGGATTATATTTTGCTTCTTCGATAAAATTACTTTGGTCATAAGTGTTCAAAGAAGGCAGTTGTGATCGTTTTTGTTGTGGTGCGTATCGTTTACCTGAAGAATTATTATTCTATTATGCAATTTGAAGGATAAAATGTATTTTAAAGCAACGATAGACAAAAATCACATATGCCATCAATGCCATCACAAAATCAAACAATAAATTGCAATTTTAAATTTTATAAAATTATAGTTGCAAGAATATATCGTTTTAATTTTACTTATTGTGGACTCTTCAAAGAATTTAAATGAAAATTTTTAGTTTTGAGAGAAATTAGTGAAAAGTTCGAAATTGATTTTTTTGAATCGAAAAAGGAAAAGCGATATGATAGAACTAACTTTTGAAACAACTGAATGCTTTAGCTTTAAAACCTTTTGGACATTGGCATTTATTTTGACTTGTGCAAGTAGCACCTGGATAACCTTTAGCACACTGTCTTGAATCTTCACAACCACTTTGTCCCGGATAAATTACTAAAATATGTTTAAGTTGTATGACTTAATCATCTATTGTCTTTTTCCATTTCAAATTGAATTTCCTTTTTTCATTTATCCACTTATTCATTTAATTTTCTATTCATTATTGCTGCATAAATTTTATAGGAAAAAATTTTAATTAGTTGAAACTTATTAAATCATGGTTACAAAAAATACTGAAATAATTTCAAGTTTACCTGGTTTACACTTTCCCTCTAAGACAAAGTGTGTTGACAAGCAGCAGCACTTTCCGTTGCTTCTATTGCAATATTCTCCTTTTCCCGTACATTCTTCTGATATCCTACATCTTGAAGCTAATGTTTTACCTTAAAATAAGCAGGAATTTTTTAAGCAAAAAATCAAATCAAGGCATAAATCTCTCTAATGTTAATAATATTACAAGCAGTTAGAGAATGGTATGCCTATCATAGTAGTGGTAATAGGAGTAGTGGAGAGATAAATGATAAAAGAGAAGGCTTTAAAAAGTTTATTAAACAATGCTCTAAAATAACTAATTATGTAGTGATAATTAAAAAGCTTATACAGTTTACATTTCTCAATGATGATTTGTTAGTTTTATAGAAATAATTTCGAACTTAAAATTTAGCACAAAAATGATTGCATATTACTTACTTGATCTTAAGATGCACTCGCCGTTGACCTCTTCATACATTGGTGCACAAGTGCAAATATTATTGTTGCAAGAAGTATTTGGAGTAGTACATGGCAAGTTATTTGGATTCGGATCACAAAACTGCCCGACTTTACCGACATAAGCTATTCCGCTCGATGAGGTACCTAAATTTTAATAATTTACAACTTCTACGAATTTTTAAGCAGATGAAATTGTGTAAAAAAAGATAGTAAAAAATCACAAAGAGAAGAGATAAGCCAACTAATTGGTAAATGAAACAACAAAAGTAGAAAGTGTTAAATGTATTAATTAAAGTATTATAGGATGAATCTTCAGAAAGCCTTTATTGTTACGACATTGTAAGATATAGTTTTCTTCTTCAGTAATCTCTCAATTGTCTTTCTTTTTTCTCCCATTGTTCATTTACTTTCTTACTTTTATTTAATTTCTAATTTTATACACTTAAACTTATTTTTAAACTGTTAATTAAGTTAGCAATTTAGACCTGTCTAGTACTACTCAAAGTTCGCAAAAAATTCTTTTCATTCCCTTCTCTTCAATAGCTGTCATTAAATGAAATTCTAAATAAGAAATAAAATGCATGAAAGACAATATTTTTTAGTATATATGATAATTCACTGATTATTAATTCAGAATTTCTTAATAAATTGGGCAGAAATATTTTGTTCTATTAAGAGTTTATTCATTATATTAAGCATCTTTTATTAGGATTTATTAGAATGAAAGAAAAGCATTTTATCAGAATTATTCAAAATTTTTAATTGAAATAGTCAGAAATGATGTTAGAATAAAAATGACTATTTGTCGTATAAAATAATTGACAGTTTCGATAAGAAAATATACCGAAATTTTATTTATCCATCCGAATTTAAGAGAGTGAAAAAAGAATAATTGAAATAATTCAAATAATTAAAATGCATTTGAACACATTTATTATTATTGTTAAATTCATTTAAATTATTCGTTATGAAAATTTTTAATTTGTGGTATAAATTTTTATAAGAAAATTAATAAGAAATATGATAAATTGTTTTTTTTTAATTCCTTCCAGTCTTCTTAAATCATTTTCTGATAACATTTGAATAAACAAAATTACTTGATTTGCTATTCAAAAGTTTTATTCTTCTGAAAATTGATAAAAATAAGACAAATTAAATTACTTACCAGCAAAGAAAAATGATAAGAAAAATGCAATATCCATTCAATTTGCAGTTGCTGATTTAAAATATTCAGCTTTAAGAAGTGCTATTTGCAAGAAAATAACGCTTTTGTCAGATTCTTTTTATAAAATATTTTTGCTAATGGATTCGAAACTCAGAATTAGAATATGGTGAAAATAGTAGAATGAATTTTAAAATAGGGCTTATGCAAATGAAAGCTTTTAGTGAAGTTCAAATTTTGCTGTCTCTTTGGTCAACAAATTTTAGTTTATCCTAGCGCTTGGGACAAATTCATTTAGTATATCAACACAGGTATGGTTTGACAGTATTATAAAAGCTTTCAATGTTTGGGTTAGCTATGTTAGTATCCGAAACGATAGGTTAAGTTGCTCCAAAGCTAAGTAATATTTAGAGACAGTCTCTGTATTTGCACAACTGTACCAACCAACAACAAACTCTTCCTGTCCATTAATAAATCCTAACACAGCATAATTCCCATTTCCAATCGTAGTAATAAAGCAAACAAAATTTGTACATTTACATTGAACGATAATAATAACGGTGAGAATGAAATTTGTTAAATGATTGACATTTTGTAGAATTGACATTTCTACATTTTCTGATTAACATTTCTACAAAAAGCTTTTGTAGAAATTTACTTCGTTTGATTTTTAAATTTAATAATAAATAAATTTTTGAGACGAAAAATAGAGAAATGATAAAAATGAGAATTAGATATCGCAATGAATGAATTTAACTTTTATATCTCTTTTTTTATATTTATCTCATCTTCGATATATCTCAGAATTCAGTACCAGAAGAATACTGTAATCATGATACTAAAAATAACTTACAGCATAATTAAACTGCTAATTGAAATGTTACATTTTCTTTCCATAATTTAACAGTGTTGACAGCGTAGAAATTTAGATTTCTTTTTAATGATGAAAAATCAAATAGTAAGCTATGCGAATTTGTTAATATTTCATTTCATTTTCACACATAATTTAAATGAAAAGGTTCCTATTTAGCAATTGCTACTAATTGTTTCCTTTTTTTAATATTATAATAATTTTGAAAGCATTAAAAGTTAGAAAGTGCAACACAAATAGATGTTAATTTTCAGGTATTTAAATAAACTGTAAAGTATAAATAATAGAAATTTATTGATTATATATGTATTGTTTCAATGAGTGCTGGTTGCACGGAGACAAAACAATAACAATTTATTAGAATTCAATTTATTAGAATAATAATAATAATAATAATAATAATAATAATAATAATATATGGCGGAGAAAAAATTTGTTCGAATTGAGAAGAGAACTGTATTCCATCTTTTTTTTCTCGTTTATTTTCATATAAAATAAACTGATTGTTCAGGTGTGATTAGAATTCGTTCCCATTCATTCTTAAATTTCATAGCTATAACACATTGCATTTCGCAATGAATCATTCATCCAATATACGTTCCAATTTATTTAGCACTGCCAACAAAATTCCACAATGTTAGATTTATTATGCTTATAAGCTTCGAATGGCTTTATTGTTAGCTAATCAATTGTTAACGATAACAAATTCTCACACTATTGTCAGTTCTAATTTAAAGTTGAATTATTTTATTTTATCTCTATGTTCAATTTTTGCTTGCGGTATTAAAATTTTAAATTTTAATTTAAATTTAGCTAAATTAATTTTGAAAGAAAGCCTTCATTATGTAAGATTTACTGGTGAAAAAGAAAAATTCATTGACAATAAAATGTCTATTAAATTGAAATGATATGTCATGAGGCTTCTTCTTCAGAATAATAGCTTTCCAAATTTCCTTAAAAGTGGCTTTGAGAAATTGCATGCCATATTTAGGTTGGTTAAAGAAAGCGCCTACTATTGATTTAGCATTTATTTATCAGAATTATTCGTTTAAAAATTAATCAAAATTTAATTTTGCACTGTTCTACCTGTTATTATAACTTGTGATATAAGCTTTTTAAATAGTTTATGAAAATATTTCATTACGGGAGCATGAATATGTAGTGGTGATCTTCAAGTCAGTCACAATTTTTGCAAAATTTCATATTTGTTATTGATTTTTTTCTTGCTTGAATCGAAGTGATTTTTCATTTTAGCTTTCTGGGAGAGATTAATGAGCATTTTATTAGTTTCAAACTTTTACTAAACTTAGCAAATAGACTAAACTCTCTAATTTAGCTATAAAACAATGGCATTGATATTCTTCTTGTTTTGTTTTCGACAAATTCTATTTACCAACGTTTACTTTTAAACTTTTACAATAAATAGTTGAGTGGATATGATAGTTAAATTGATTATATCAACAATAAAACATAAATATTGTTTCAAATTAATGATATTGGTAGATTTAATTAATAAAACAAATTTGAAATTACTTATAAAATTTAAAGCAAAAAATAGTAAAAAAAAATAGAAAAATAGTAAAAGAATAATGAATGTATTGTGATATCCGTTCATTGATAATATAAGATGGGATACTTTTCGTTGGATTAGTAGGAGCGGCTTTGTCGTAATATTCGTGTGCAAAATTGTTAAATGTGTAAAACGCGCTAAGTGTAATTATTACACGTTTTTAAGCACATTGTTTAGTTTTATCTTTTCAAGATGGAAAAGCATTTAAATAATAATACGTAAGACGGATGATAGCAATTTATTACTTTAACATTAATTTACATATTTCCCATTTTTCGGAAAAAAACCTTCTATATCATCTTTCCTTCCCTCTCTCTCTGTTTGTCTTTTTCATTCTCTCTCTATTTTTATTAATTGATTGAAAAGAAGGATGTGTTTATTGTTGATTCATGTTGATGCTATTGAAGGTTATGGGTCATTGATGATTAATAATATTAGTTAGAGATCAATAAAGTGTCAACTTTTTTTTCGCAACATGAACTTTCTCTCTCTCTCTTTTGTTCTCCTTCAATTCAAAAATCTTTCACTAAACTCTCTAGCATATCTGCTATTAAATGATTAAGTTTCTCTTTTCACTATTGTTTATTGTTTATTGTCTGTTGTTTACTGTTTGTGTTTCAGACTTAACATTTTTAAGTTCACATTTATAATGTTAATGCATTTGACATATGAATAAAAGAAGAGATAACCTTTGACATCGCATACTAATTGCTAAGATTGATTTTAAAAAAATACTAAACTGTGAGTATAATTATACCATAAACGATCTCATTTTAAGTACAAATGTGTAATTCTTTGAGTAATTCGATTTCTGAATAAAATAAAAAGAATTTTTATTTAATTCAGAAATGATATAATATCAATAAAGCGGAAAAATATATACTTTATTGTAGCAATTAATTTTGGTCATTTAGATCGATTTTATTTACAATGCCAAATTATATGGATAGATATAGATAGATCGATAGATAGATAGATTGGATAGCTATTTAGACAGATAGATAGATAGGTAGATAAATGGGTAGCTGTTTGGCTTTAAAATGAAATGAAATAAATGTAAGTGCTTTTAGTGGAAGCAATACCAGGCGATATTAGTCAGATGATTTGAAGTGTGATATGAAGGATGATTGAGAGAGAGAGAGAGAGAGAGAGAGAGAGAGAGGAGAGAGAGAGAAAGAGAGGGAACAAGCATCAATACGTTAGAAAATTCATTTCAGCCTCATATTATTCACCTTTGACAGCTATCTGATACTCTATTATAGATTTGTATTCATAGCAAAGAGAAAACTCTTTGCTCTCTCTCATTTTTCTTGATGTTTATATCAATTGAATTACTATTATAGAGTAGTATGCATATCTCTTGTCTTCTTTTGTCTTTGCTTCCAAGGGATAAGTATAGTATGAAGAATTGCGAACTATGCCTCGATATGTTGTCCTCTAGTGAAATACAAACTGCGCCTCAATATATTGCCCTCTTATGAAATACAAGCTACGCTTCGATATATTGCCCTCTTGTGACATGTGAACATTTGGTGACAAGAAGTCATCCCAATATTTACATTTATTTATCTTTTAATTATTTCTTTTTCTCTTTTTTTTGATTTTGATAAATGACATGAAAATTTTCATGTTTTTTAAACAATATACAATCGATGCATATGTGAAAAGCTTTTGATATGCATCAATTTTTATGATCATGCAAATTTGAATTCCATTTATTATTAGTAAAATTAACAACCGATTGGTGGGTTTATTTTTGTTAGAATTTAAAACAATCAAATTGAACTTTGATATTGTGATATTATCAATTAAAAAAAATGATAGGCTTTTTTTAAACCTTTGATAATCAGTAAGAGGTCTTGATATTGATATTTGAAACACTTTTTTATTTGAAATTGAATTGATACACAATGCAATTTCCATCCTTCTGAATTGAATTGTAGTTATTTCTGAAAATACATATAATTTTTTAAAAGTAATTAAAACTTTTTCTTAGAGAACGAATTACATTAACTTATATTATTTCAGTATTTAATTGTCAAAACTGAATTATTCAATAAAAAGATTCCATTTCCTTTTGGCATCCTCTAAGAAATTATTCTTATTTTATATTTTTTTTACGAATTTATTGTTGGAAAGATTGGAATTTGAATATTTTCATAGTTAATATTATCAATTATTTATGCAACATAAAGTACCAATAAAAATTCTAAGTAATGCATTATAATTTTTATTTAAATTCCATCACCGAAGCATTATTACATTGATAATTTCCATGGAGCACTCATTTCGAATTTAGCAATCGTCAACAAATGTTTGAAAAACAATTCATAAAAATTTCACTCAATTGTTTTTCATCATTTTTAATCTTTTTAACATTGATTTTTAATTGATGGTATAAAGTATCAATGGCATAGGTTGTATGTAACAATAATCCTTTATTGTTACCCGCTTTCTGCACTATAAATAATAAACAATCAATCATACTTCATGCAACATTTCGAGAATTATTTTTGCAGAAATTTTTTTAGTTAAAGTTTATCCTTCAAATTAATATTTCAAAAGGAAAAACATTCAAAGTACTATTACTATTTTTTGTACTTATTTCATTCTTCATAGGTAATCTAACTTTTCATTTCATTATCATCGTAATTTTTATCAGCACATATCATCTCTATATTTATTGAATTTCATCTATAATTAATGCAATTCTTTAAAATCAGTTGTTAAAATTATTGTTATGAATGATTTGAAAAATAGGACATTTAGCCGTAATTATTAATTATTATATTGCAAAGGATTGAAAAGCAAGCTCACTTTATAAAACTCTCAGTGAAGACTATATAAACTCTTTCAGACAGGTGTAATATTTGAAAATATCCAATTACTGCATATTGTAAAATTTATAAATAAATGTGTAAGCGATTCTTCTCCGTTACAGCAAGTATGTTCTAATCAAAGGATGTTTATAAAACATTGTATCATATAATATAACAGATTATCACCATGTTAGTAGCAGTAGTAGTAGTAGTAGTAGTAGTAGATGATAAAAGTGGCAGCACTAATCGAAATATAATTTTGTAAAAGATATTTTAATTGAATACATAATTTTTTAGCATTATCAATTCTTTTCTTTTTTTTTTGTTTGATGTAATAAAGTGTAGAAAATGATGATAGATGTTGTTATTTTTGTTTTTTCTGTAAGCTATAATTAATGGTGATAGAGTGGCTGGTTGGTAAAGATATAATTGAGTCGTTAGCGATTTTTTGATTGGCTACTTGTTTCATCTCTTTTTATTATCATTATCAAATGAATCATTTCGAGCTTTGTATTCTTCATGTAGCTGTCATATGAGGGATCAGGAATGGATGAAGGATCAGAAATGGTTGAAGAGATAAAGTTTGACAGAGAGATTTAGTATATTTAAGATTCATTAATAAAAATTATATCCTCATGTATCAACACAGGTGCATTAATGTTGGTCCAATTGGAAGGTAATTATTTTAAAATTTTATTGATCAATTTCTAGATTTGAAATGAAAATTGAAAAGAAAAAAGTGATGAAAGGTTTTGCAGAAATAAAATTTAAGAAATTCTTACTCAAAATCACAATTGATTTAATTTTTAATTGCTGGAATTTCATTAAAGCGAAATAAGAAAATTACTTTAAGGTACTAATCTGTCTATAACAGCTAAATTATAGAAATGGTTCGATTATTACATATTTTTAAAATTTAGAAGCAAATATGAATGGAAACAGTCAATTCTAAAGAACTTGTTAATTTTGAAATTTCCAAAACATCGGAGGCGTAGTATGCAGTGTTATTGAGTATTATTTTAGAATTGAGAATGAAAAGGCTTTTGAAACCATTTGTGTAATCCCCTGAGTATGTGAACATCATTAATTACACTTTTTGGCAGCTTCTATTGTTTTGGACTTTTTATTGAATTAAAATTTTTTCGATTATAATAAGTTAAATCACAATAAATTACAATAAGTTGCAACATGTAATTTCATTCATCCATTTTAAATGATCGTAAAAAATAACTCTGAAATGTGAAAAAAACTTTATATAGGATAATTTTGGGATAGCAAAAACTTCGAAACGTAAAAATGAGCAGTTGTTCCATTCACGACTTAAAAAAAGAAGAATTATTTTAAATGATGTATCTCGAATCACTCACTAAATCACATTCCAAATGTAAAAATATTGTTTCTTAAGTTTCAATCTAATTAAGCAGTAAATTGAAACAATATGGATTTTGTTAATCATTTTACAAACGACGAATAAAAATATCCATTGTTTCAGCATATTTTATAATAACTGATTATTACCTCTATCTATAAATTACTCAAAATGATCAGCTAAAATCAGGTGGAAGTTTTCTCAAGCCTTCCAAATGTTGTTGAAGTGATATTTGGATTGCGTTATTTTATTTAATTTGTCTTTCTTATATAGATGACTTAATGAAATTCTCAATTTAAAATTAGAATGGAAAAATTCCCTCAGGCCTTTCTATAAAATGAATGTAAACTTTGGCGTTATGTAATAGTTGTGGAGATGCGGGCCTAGAAAATACTAAACCTTAATTTTTATCTTCTTATTTAGAATGTTAACGATATGTAAAAGTAACTGATATATTTTTTTACTTGATAATTTCAAACAGTCTTTTGTTTTTGTAGCTCAGTTAAGTTAATTTAAATCTCTTATCAATCAATAGTTAAATTTATCACTTCATTGTTATTTATTTTTATTTACATATTTGTATTTCTCTTTTATTATTGTTTTTTTATTGTGTTGTTGTTTTATGGTAACAATCGGAATATGAGGGGAATATCGGGGGAAACATTGCATAGCGTTGGATCCTAAAAAATTTTGTCAATTCTCTTTGGGGAATATTTCCCTCATTTCAGTCAAATTTTTCTTCATCTTTTTAAAATTTTTTTGAAAGTTTTCTTTTTTTTGTTTTTCCGCTTTTCGATATTTCAAATTTTACTTTTTCATAATCACAATTTCTTAACAGAATCATTTATCATTCAACACTGTAGTTGAATTATTACATCAATATCCTAATCAATCAATCAGATGAAGAAAATCAATCTCTGTAACCATATATAGCTATCATCAGATTGATTCATAGTTTTATTAATTTTAAAATTTAAATCAATCTATAATCACTCTAAACTAAAAAAATTCATTTAATCTTTCATTTCAAATAATTGAATTGTCATAGGTGTTATATCGTAAATAATTTGTACAATAAGCAACTGTCCATTTATTATTTGAGGTCACTAACAACATCTGCCTTTGACCTAGAAGAAATAGAAAAAGATATTATTGGTTTTTTAAAAGCTGTAATTTCGAAAGCTGATTGATAGTTCAGTGCATCTCTATTTGAAATTCTGCTAGTAGCTATCTTTCAAGTTTAGAAGTGCTAGAAGATTTGACGTAATTTCATGGGAAATACATTAACTTGGTGTGTGTAAAATTACTCTTCACTTCAGATTGATGTAAAGGAGAAGGATATGACGTTAAACTATTAAAATATTGAAGTATTGAAGCACAAAGAACTATCGAACCACAAAACATATGTAATATATTAAGTAGTAGCCATAACTGTCTTTCATCTGGCAATTGACAAATACAATCACGTTTTCATTAAATTACTTTAAAGTTATCCAATTCGAAATTAACATTGTCAACTTTATTGATTGCTGTAAATTTGAAGTAGCAGTAAATTTTAACAAATTACTAAAAAAATGCCTGCTTAAAAATCACTCTAAAACACCTTTCTAAATAATTAAGAAATTCCAACCATTTCGAAGAATTGACAATTTTCTAAATAATAATTTTAATAACCTTAAATAAATCTGTTCACTTATATTTTACTTCTCTTTCATTACGCTATGAAATCAGCTAATATTATACATTTTATTTTGAAATTTTTTTTAATTTAAGAACATCCAATTGTAATTAATTGACTTCTTATGCTGAAAGCATTAGTTGGATAAATGAATTTGTAGATAAATGGATAAATAAATGACCATATAGATAAAAGGATAAATGGATAGACAAATAGACAGCTGGCAGATGAATGGATAACTTGTTTTACGAAATTTTTATTATCGTTTTTCTTTCTAACATAAAATTAGTAATAATAAATTTTAATTCGTCGATTGTTCGATGAAAGGAAACTTCATTATTCCATTGGCTAAATTAAAATTGAAAATTGAAATAATATCTTTTTGGAGCATCGAATTCATTCTTCGAATGTTGTTTACAAATTTGCTCAATTTTGTTTGGAACCATAAATGCATGATAATGCTGAATGATTTCATGGTATTTGAAATTATTAAGTTTCCAAATGATAGAATTCATTTCATTGCAAACGGAACTGTTCATAATATTCTGTCAACAATTATTTAGCTATCTCTCTTCCTTTATCAAAAAAATGAAATAATAAGATGTTATTTATTACCATTCGTTGATTACCAATTTATTTTCAATTTATCAATTTAATCTGTTAGTGTAAAATATCGTTGTACATTTATTTTAATTAAAAAAAAATTTATAATAAACTTGCATCATTCAGCGTTCTTTCTTCAGTGATTCCATTAGTGCTGTCATTATTTGAAAGAGAATTGATTTTGAGAATTTAGACTTTTTGTTTCTGTCTGATACAATGAGATTAGCTTTCGAAAAAAAGGATGATCAATAGATCACAGATAAAGAAATTATGTTACATATCTACATTGACCTTTAACCTTCTCAACATTGTTTCACCAAGAGCAATAGACATAAAATAATAATGCATTCCGTTCAAACATTTCCCGCATTCTATGCTTCTTTTTCATTTGTTAGATAGATTGATTACTTATTAGTATTGCTGTAGGATAATGCAAATTTTTGAAATTCCATACGTTTTCAGCATAGGAAATCAATCACACCAATTATTACTTTCATTTTTATCCTCTTTTTTCCTGAAAAATATGCGTGAAATTTGAATTTTATCTGTTGTTCGAAGAGATAATTGCACGCTTTGTTTATCAAATGAATGATTAGAATGTGAAAGTAATTCATAGAAAGATTGAATTTTAATAATAATTATGGGATAAACAGAATTTTCAAATTAAAGCCAATTTGAAAATGCAACATACAATTGATTTACATTTGTTATAACTCTCAATTTAAACTATTTAGAGAAATGATAATTTTAGTTTAGTTTGTTTAATTTGTTCCTTTTGAAATAAGTTACTAATAGAATTTCAACAATTGATATATGTGATTTGAGAGAATTTGTCGTGGAAAAATTTTCAGATATCATTGCATTCTTCTGAATCATTTATCTATTGGAAGTACGTATTACTATTATATCTGTCTGTTTTTATATTTTTTGTGTACTTCAAATAGTGTGATATCATGGGAGGTGGCAATAGTACTCCAAAATCCGATCCAATGATGGATCATCAACCGTATCCGGATATGAATGTTATTTTTAAAAGCATTCCAAAAATGTTGCAAGTTAGTGTTATTGATTTTCATTTCTAATATAATTATTTTCATTGCTTAAAAACAATGAAACATATTATGGTGATATATACATACATATATAATATATGTATTCGATAATTTTAATTTATGAGATAGATAATTTTATAGGTTGCGGATGATATGCACCGAATGACAAATTACGTTATGGATTTGCGCAATATGACCATTGGTTTAGTTTGTTTGTTAATTGTTGGGGTATTTTTATTTCTAATTGTGAAACTCAGTCAGAGTCGAGGTAGTGCTTCACGTCGAAAACGTGAATTAAAACATCATTTTGAGGTTTGTTTGTGAAATATTCAAATTTTTAGAATACTCTTTCAAAAAAAAAATCTCTTTTCTGATTATCATGATTAAAGAATTGATGTTAATTCATATGAAAATAGATGATTGTAGCCTAAAATAAATATTGCTGAATTGATTTTTCTTTTTTGGCTTTTTCTCCATAAGAGCCCTAAAGAAATGCATTATATTCTGTGAGAAAAGATTTTTACTCCAAATTTGTTAAATTAGTGCCATCAAATAGTTATTCCACTGCATCTTTCCTACATTGAGAAATATGTAAATTACAGGTAGATAGATAAGGCACAATTATAGGTAGTGATTTTTTTTATTCAGGCAGTTTATGCATCCAAAACATAAAGAAGTAATTCCGAAAATAACCTAGCAGAAGTTATGTTAAGCTATTGGTCAAAATAAGTTGGATAAGGATTGAACATTCGAAAAGATTTTTTAGTCATTCGAGAATCGATCCTTACCGCGACATACCCATTTTGGTGGTTATCATGGATATCTGGATTCATGGCATGATTCAAGAAGTCAGAAAGTTGATAGTGTTGGCCCTACTGTCATTGATATAGAAAAAATTCCAATGAATCAATCGCAAGATAATTCGAGTCACAACGGAACCACCACAACACAACTCGAAACATCAAATTTGCTCAACGGCCATGCACATAAAGTTTAACATTTTTTGTGTTTCTTTCTTTTTCTTGTGATTTTTTAACAATAAGGAAATGTATTGGAATTTGTGGAATGTGTTCTTTTTTAATAGTTACTCTTTTGTGATTATTCGTTGAGAGATCAAATTAAAAATTTAAATGATTAAATCTGACGCTAAATTCCATTATCATTCGTATGTGAAAATTGAATATCAAAAAATGTTTAAAAAAAACTGTTAATTTGAAGTTCTAATGATTAACTATAGGCTAATTAGTTGTAGCCAGTCGGCAAAACATTAAAGCTATTGATATCAAAAAATATACAAGAAATACTACTAAAAAATGTTTGTTTATCGTTTAGCACATATTTCGAAGTAATATGGCTATTTAGGAATTCTTTATATTAAAAATTAACAATTGCTAGAATGTCTTAAAATATTCCGTTTATTAAATTTACATTGATTATATTGTCATCATCGAAGATTATTCCATTTCGAAAAGTACATCCGACAAAAAAATAGAGCATCATTGGTGATTCCGTAGCAAAGCCTAACAGGTATTAATATCACTCTGATAGATTCCATTTTGTAATCGTATTACATATAAACTATAGTGATATAGTGTTATCATCGTTTTTTCCTGGTCAATTCAGGTTGAGTGTTTTTTGTTTTTAAGCAGTTCATTATATTTTACTGATAATTCCATTAATTTAAATTTGCTTTCTTTAGGACCATTCGATGATTATTGTTTAAGGCGCGCTAGTAATTAGCTGATAACGATAATTCCGTAATAATTCCCTCTTTTCACAGATTATTTCACAGAAGTAATCGCTGGAAAGTTAAGTTTTTTCATATTTAAAAAAGAATTGACTAAGTTTCTTTTCCCTTTTTTTCAAATTTTTTTTGGAAATTTTATTAAAATTCATCATTTTAGCATCATTTTTTACTTTACTTTTATCATAGAAGCCAAGAAAATAAACTTTTAGCTTTGATTTTAATTATTTCATTTTCTTTTTGGCAAATTATCCAATTGTCTTTTTTTTTGGTTCATCTTGAAAAACGTTCTTTACTTTGAGTATTATCTTATCATTCGTAATTTTCGATTTAAAAGCTAACTGATTGCTATGTTCGTGCCAGCCTTTGGTGCTATTTTGTGTTGGAGATCATCACAATGTTATTGCTTTTGTTTTGTTTCGTTTCTTTTCTTTTTGTTCTTTTCTTACAAATTGCCCAGTTATTTTCTTGTTTTAAAATGAATCTCTTCATTGACTGTTTTCGTTAAAATTTATTTAATTAATTGACTTTCAAAGTTGTTGAAAGATAAAAAGGACCGACATATGCCAAATAAAAGCGGTACTTGTCACGCGAATATGAAAATTTAATTTTTTTTTTTACAAGAAAAGTTAATTTGTATTCTTTCAAAAATAAATAAGAGTGATATATGTAATATAAATCATATATGCCTATTGATGATATATGTAATATTTCTTCGTTGCATACTTCTTGCATTTATTACTGTATAAATTAGATTTTTCATTTCAATTTTAAAGTTTACCTGATTTCAGAAATTCGATTCGGTGAAGCTGGTGGTGGAAGATTTGCCGTATGCTGATAGTTAACTGCTAAATGATTTATGATATATTTTGGAGTGTAATGAGAATAATTTACTATTGAAGCATTTAGTCTATTTTTAATTTTCATTTTTTTAGCATTAATCATTTTACCTGTTTGAATTCAAGAAAAAGATTATTTTCACATTTTTCTTTCAAAAATTTAACTCTCTTCAGCTTCTTTTTTTCTGCATGTGTTATGCTGAATAGAGCCAACAATTGAACAAATCTTGTTTAGATATTCAGATCAACCCCGTTTGAATATTCAAATCATTCCCATTTGGTTATTTAGATCAAACCTGTTTAAGATCAAAATAAAAATAGAACAGAAGTGCTATTACATTTTTATTTTATTTTTGTGCTTTCAATTATAATTACAATGAATGGAAAAAACAATGATGAATTTTTGCTTTAAACGATTTTTGATTTCATAATATTCCATAGATTAACTAACCCATTTAGTGTTGTGTGAATTATATCTAACACATAATATATAGTATAGTAGTATATCGGCAATCCTTTCACTACCATCTTTACCACTCTAATTTTTATCCTTTAACCTAAAAATTTTTTTTTCATAAATTATTTAATTATACTGATTGCTATGCATAACACGAATATTAAGCTTTATATGCTATTTTGCTCGTGAAACGCTATCATTTCATTTTTTGTTTGTATTTTGAAAAATTATGGAATTCTATTTGCGCCTCTGTCATATTTGCGCCCCTGTCAAATGTTATTTAACCGATATTTGTTTCAATCGATCATTTAGCCATTAACAAAATTCATTGAATTTCATTATGTTACAAAGGCGCAAAGAGAGTTGCATAATTTCTTTGGCTCATTTTTTCATTTATAAGCCATATATTTTTATGTAAGTTTATATTTTAGTTTATTTATGTTCAATTTAATTGACGGTTTTCTGAAATATTGTAAACGATTTCTTCTTTGTTTAAGCTTTTTGGGAAATCGAACACTCAACAAATTTCTTTTAATTCCAATTTTGATTATGATGATGACTAAGGATAATGCAAATTGTCTTTCGAAAATATGAAAAATCTCATGGCAATTTGAAATTTTTAATAGATAGATCGGCGGATCAGAAGAAAATGAAGCAATCAGCCTATAAATTCATTCATTTCTCTTCAGTGGCCTCTTTTATACGTGTAAATGAAATCTCGGTGCTTTATTTTCATTTCAATTTATTGTATTCTTCTTGTCGTTTTGTTATCAATTTTACTAAATAAATAACTTCTCTGATTGTTCATTTACTTTGAGTTTTTAGATTTTATCTGTAAATTTTGGAAATAAGTTTCAAACTACATTACAATAGGTTCAAAGGTTAAAAATCCTTAAACTTTAAAAATTTCCTATGGTACTAAGGAAGAAGGAAGGCAATTATTGAAAAGCATATTAATGAGGAGCAATTCGATTCAAAAATATCATGCAAATTTGTTTTTTTATTTTATCAAAATTTTAGTAATTTAGGAGAATTGAATAAAAGTAATTAAATGAGATACGTAAGTGATAATTATATATTTTTCAATGAAAGTTTTGTCGTATTGTCGAGTAGATCATAAACAAGTACTGAAAAATATTACTATAGAATAATTTGAGAAGTAGACAAAAAGGAGGCAGTGAATGGCAAAAACCCAACAATAAATGTGATGTGATGATGTACACCGTGGCGAAAATGCCATGCATGCATTGTACTGCCGCCATATCTCAGCTTTTTTTAAAAAGGCTAAAATCATATTTAGAGTCCTAATTGCATCGCCTAACAAAACTAACGTATTTTAAGACTTTCAAACTTTGAGAGATTTCCAATTAATATTTCATAATCCGCATGATTTCTTATCCTTTATTCCTACATTCCCTAGATTTTATTGCTCTGGAAAAAAGGACCAATTTACTTCCAAAACTTAAATAGAAATGGAACGCTTTATTTTCTTCAAGTCCTTCCATTACCCGAAGGAGAAATGAAATTCTTCCATTCTGTTTCCTACTACTGTAATTCCCATTACAACTAATTTTATAATCCGATCTCTATATATAATTATGAATAAACTTGTTTAAGATACATTGTTTAGAAACGCGAAAAAAAACTAGTTTATTCAACTCGAAAACACCTAAATACTTAATATAAAACGAATTACAATCAAAAGCAGGAAAATTCCTCTACAAATAAATGAAGGCAGCACAGTTGTCTATGAATGCCCTGGCTGAGCGATAAATGAAAGACACATACAGAAGTCACAGAAGTAACTGGTAAACACCGGCTTGATGCCACCAAGCAGCTAGTTGAACTACAGTGCCATATAAATTGATTCCTTATTTTTTGAAGCGTAAATTATGTTAAATAGTGCTGCTGGTTCCAGGAACGGTATAGGCTGCTAACTAGATATTAAAGGTCATCAGCAAATTGATTCAACTTCAAAGCTCGTCAGTGAAATAAATTAGTTGGCAAGCAGAAAAGATTTCGTTCAGAATTCTTCTGCTTTCAAAAAATAGTTATTTAAAAAGATGAAACAAAAGAAAATAAACTATTAAAATAGAATTAAAAAGAGTGCTGCTAAGTCGCAGTAGAGCCTTACAGCATAGCGCACATTTAGATTATGCGGCGCACAAAACGTAATTACAAAAAGAAAAAAATAAGAGAACTGTTAACATTCAATGGAATAGTAACAATGAAAATAATAAATTATATCCACAACTAATTAGCTGTTAATGCTTTTATAAAAAAATAATACTTGCCGCTACATAAAAAGGACTATTTCACCTGAAGCGTTAATCGAAAATATCTGTGAAGCCTGCATGAATGTGTGGTATACTTCCTCGAAGACAGTTAACAAAATGAGCAGGGACTCTCACAGATGAATTTTCATTCAACGACGTCCAGAACCAGTGGACTCAGGTGGTGTGATTGGATTAGATTCGATGAAATAAGACTGTAGCGTACTGTTATTACCAGTTGTTGCCGCTGCATTAAGTAGAGATGTCGCAGTTGGATAGGTTGTCGATGAATGTGCTTGGAAATCACCTGCCATTGGGAACGACTGGAGTGCAGCATCGAATGATAACTGACTGAAATATACGGTAATTGAGCAGGAACACTGTAGGACAACAGTAGAATTTTTATAGCAGAATTGATATATTATTGTCCTCCTGCTTAACGGAACTAATGAATTCGAACAATGCAAATGCGTACTTCATCATCATGTTATAATCAATATTAGATGACTGCATGAACGCATTAACGCCAGTTGGTGTGTTTATGTTTGTCCCTGGAGTGATCGGGCTACCTGTTGGTGAAACAAAAATGGGTTGCGCGGCAATAGAACCATTAGGATGACGTATTGGTGAGACAAGTGTCATTGGTGCAATCAATCGCGGTGTTTCTATAACAATTTATTATATTCATGCAAATTATAAAAAATTAAGTAGTTGATGAGCAGTGAGACGAATTGAACTGAAACTTATGAATAATTTATAGCAGAAGATCATGAAGATTCAGAAACAGAGAGCATGCAACTGCTGAAATCCAAATGTATTCTTTCAAAGCAACGAACGTAATGGGTATTTATTGACAGGTCGATATGTTCCATTGATAATTGCAAGTTCCATTAATTGTTTCCGTTTTAGCTCATCGGTTCCCTCCGGCTGGAATAATTAAAATATCCACAATCATTTTCAGTGCAAAAATTTTCTAATGTGACAAACTGTCTCAAAAGATTGAATTAAAAACCGATGGAATGAGTAATTTTTTGATTTGTTCCACAGCAGCCTTCAATTTTGTATAAGCGCGATTGGGTGTATCTTCACATTGAACTAAGACGTGCAGCTCGTCATCTAGATGTTCCCAGTTTGGCTTACCGCGATTCATCTCTTCCTTAAAATACAAATTTGAAAATAAACATATCTTATTGCAGGAAGCTTCCTCACAACAACAGAAAACAACGAATTAGCTTGATATACTATTCATAGTTAAAAGGCATTATCTCGAAGTTGACCCTCATTGAATGTTTCATCAGACATTACTACTGTAGTATTTGCCCACTAAGCTTCATAACCAATATCTATATCATGAAATGTGAAGTTACTCACAGCAAGTTTTTCCCTAATTCCAAGAAAATCGACCAAAATCAATTGAAACACTGTAACATACTTTCCGACGATCACGCATCGAGCCACGTCCTCTAACCATGATTTTACAGCCCGTTTCTTGTTCTAGTTGTTTAGCAGTCATGCCACGAGGACCGAGTATTCGTCCAACAAAGTTATACTGAAATAACAGCTAACTTTTCTTTATTTTTTTTGCTCATGTAAAATGATTATAAATTAGTCGAAGATTTTAACCAGTACAAATAGGAGATTTTTTTATTTGACTCAAAAATAGTTTACATCAGGATGTTCCTTGCGAGGGACATACACTTTCTCCTGAATAGTAACTGGCTCGCCCTCTGGTTCTGGTAAGTCGAGATGCTCAATGGAAAAATGACACTGAAAAAGTGCCATGCGAACGCGATTAATCTCTGAAAAGACAGGAAAAACTCGATGTATCATAAATTGATACACTTCAAAAATCATGAAATTCTAGAAATTTATTAGATACCAGGAACGTGGAAGAGAGTGCTAATAAATCATTCACTCCATCAAAATTAGTTCTACGAATCTTTGTGAGCAAACATTTCATTATACCTGTGCTTGGAAAAAATTTTAGATAATCGAATTAGCTCTTGAAAAATTTAGAGAATTGAAGTAAAATCAGATTTGTCATTCTGCCGGTCAAAAGACTTGCACCAAATCTTACAAAAAACGATTTAAAAAAAATATAAAGAGATAAAAAGATTAGTTCACCCTCATCTACCAAACGTTCCATATGACGAAAAACTTGTGGAAAGACAGCAAGTTGTTTCTTCTCCTTTAAAAGATCGGCAAGATACTCCATCGTGCACTCTGTACCGGTTACTTCCCCTTGTGCCGAATTTCCACTTCCAGATCCCGTATTTCCTCAAAGTTGTAACAGTACGAAAATTTTGTTCTAGTTTGTGATGTGAAAACCTTACATCTTTCAATTCATAAAACGACAAACCTTTATCATTGCGAAGTGGCAATAGTTGCTTTTTAGGTGTTTTTGGCTGACCAAATGGTGTGAATGTCTAAAACTCACAGAAATATGGCATAACCTTTTACTGAAAACTGACAGTACATTTTTATCTGAGTGCAATATTTCTGAATGCAAAGAAGCAATATTTCACTTTTCACGGCGATACCTCAAAATCCTTGAACATTTTGAGAAGTGGTTGACCGATCGGTGTGCAGCGTTGTCCAATAGATGTTGCAGTGGGTGTTTCCATGGGTTCAAACAACGCCAAAGACCGCTTCGAGTTCAAAAATTATAAAGTAGCGAGAAAATGACAGTGGTATGAGGCTATAAATAAACGAAGATTATGATTTCAGATTCATAAAATCAGAACCTAACAATCTCTTTTATTTGCGTTTTTGTGTTTCAGATGTGGATCAACTTATAATTATCTTCAGAGTTAACAATTGCATAATAAGAATCGAAATTCGATACAAGCATACAAGAAAGTTCTTGAAAATTTCTCGAGCTTACGAATTTTACCTCAATGCATTATATTTTGACCTTAAAGTTCCTTATAATGAATGAAAGCTAGAAGGAAGTCAACATAGGCCAGAATGAAGGAAAAGATAGGGAAGGCTAAGATGAAAGGCATGAAATAGATGATGAGTCGAATTTATGGAAACAATGAAATGGAGAAGGAAGGGTTGTAAACTTGAAACTGACAGGGCTAGTTTGTTTGTTCCCACAATAATAGTTCTTGTCAAGCTATTCACTTGTTAGGGCTTCTATGTTATTACTGTCGACACCAATCCCGAGAGCGCCGACAACCTAAAATTATTACATTAATTTGGCAGTTCTCTTTTCTCTATCACAGCCACCGTAATCCCTGAAATCCTAAAAGTCCAGCATCCATTTGCCTTCTAAATACAATCCTTTCTAACCAAATCTCTTCATATTCCATTCATTTCCCCTCCTCTACACAATCAACAATTTGATGAAGAAAGTTGTAACCATCGAAATATTCCAATACTCCAATATATTTTTTTATTAATAACACCATACCACGTTCTTTTCCAAGAACTTCACATACATATTGCAAAAAGTAAGTGAATAGATGACAGAAGTCACATTCACGTACTTCAAATGAACACGCAACCCACCCCACTCCACGCCAACCAATCGCTAAGATAAACGGACACCGGAAGTGAACGAATATTAACTCTCTTCACACTCTTTCACTAACAATGCCCAACTTATTATCACTTTTTTCTCCCTCATTTTCGTTCTATTTCCCATTCTTCTTGCATTCTCTGTCTCTACTTGTAGATCATAAGAAGGGGCCCTCTTTTGTGATATGCAAATTTTACTAATTGTGCTTACTTGAGCTACTCATGTTAGTAATTGTATTACATCTTCAACAAGTATGATGTCTGTTGCGAATGACGTGCAAATACGATTGTCTATGAGTAAGAGCAAGTACAAATTAAGAACGGGGAACTAACGTGTTGTATTAGTGGTAAGCACATAATAAGTCTCATATAAAGTTAAGTGAAGCAGAGAACAACATGAGTTAAAGTAGTGCAGGAAGTGTATATTGATAACTCTTCTTGACATCTCCGGAACTCTTTCACCGGTTATCAGGAAGCAAGGGCATACAAGCAAATCCATATGCATGTGATGTATTTCACATGTGACGTGATATCCATTTTATTTAATGCCTATCAGCAGAAAGTGGAGGAGGGATCAGTTTACGTGAGATAAAGTGAGATCAACGCATATATATAGCAAAAATTCTTCACCTCAAAATGCATTTGTATATTTTATGCATTTATGCATTTGTATCTTTTATCATTGATGTAAAGTATATACTCACTTCGTTGACAGATTACCGTTGGCGCACATTTCCGGATGGTTACTGTTTGGATCAATTGCTTCATTATGATAATGATAATAGTATGGTTAAAATATAGCTAACATATATATTTCAGAATAAGAAATATATTATATATGAATTGAAGCAGTTGAAGTATGTCGTAACTTTAAAAAGAAACACAAATGTTTGTTATTAGTCGTAGGATTTAGCTTCTTTTATCAAACAAGCCTTACAAGCGCTTATTTCTTCAAGTTGTTGCGGCATTTGTAAGAGGTAATTACTTCGGTTATAATAAGTCATACCTAAAGACATCTTGAAAATGGTCTTGAAATGCATCAGGTCAGCAAACCTGAAGCCTCAATTTAAAATTTTGATAAAAATAACAGCTGTCTATTTCGAAATATTTCAAACAAATGCGACGATAGAAACTGCTCACCTATTGCAGTAGTTTATAGCAGGATGATTATGATAATATTAAAGTAGGATGAAATAAGGAAATCTTCAATCAAGCCGCTTAGGGAAAAGTTTAATTCATTCAAAGTTTTATGCTTCGTTATAACCGTACATTAATAGTGGCATATCAAATAGCTGACAGACAAACTGCTGGCAAGAATTGATTACCGAAGAAACGCTATCTGTCACAGGAATTATGATTCGAGATGCTAATTGTTAACAGTGGTCGGACTGGATTGCACATGCATGAAGAGTAAATTTTGTTGCTGTTGTTCAAATTGATTTTTAGCTGAAGCATCAAGACCAAGCAATGAACCAGCTGGCGCTAATAATCCATCCGTTCCACAACTATAACTGCCATCCATTTCTACAAAATATTCACTAATTTCGTATCGGAATCAAAATTAAACATTGGAATGAATACGATTTTCAGTATCTTGAAATAATTGTTTTGTTACTTTGCTGTTTTAAAAATGATCACATTTTAAATGTGATCACACAACATTAATTGACCCTCTCATAATACAGACATTTGCAAACTTCGGATTGTAAAAAGTTTGTTTGCAGACGATCTGTTCAATTTTTAAAAATACAACGACCATTGCGAAGATTTGCAAGAAGAATGGATATTTTGTATTGAACAGTAAAACAAAAATTGTGCAAAAGTACATGCGAATATTTGCGCATTTGTCTTTTGTTTCATTATATTCTGTTTTTATTCAAAATTTAGCTACAATAAAAAAAATTGGATGATATTTAAAATAATTGTGTAAATTACCGTATCTAACAACTAAGTGACTATCAGTATCCAGTGGCGCATCCAAATATCCTCCCGCTCCTACAACAATTAATGACAAATTGATAAATATAAAATTTTACTTATCAACAGTGATTAAAAATTAAAACAAAGAAGCTTATGAGAGAATAAATATTAACAAACAGTGTACATATGCAAAAAATTCATAGTCCAGAATCCATATCCAACAATAAATATACCTAGGAGTAGAAAGTTCTTACCGTAAACGGGACTTTCACAAATGCTATCGTTAGGTGATGCACTACCACTATCCAGACTTTTGGGTATACCATGTGTTCCCCACTGACGGCCAGTATCTTTTTTCAATCGTTTTTCTTTGGCTCGACGATTTTGAAACCAAACCTGGAAAATAATATGTCTACCTGTAAAATAATTTATTACGAATATAAATTTGGTTGGGGAAGCGAAGAGAAAGAAATGATGAAATTTTATTTGATTATTATAATTCTCATTCAACAAATCTATGAATTCCCGTTGGCTATAACCTTTTTCCACAAAAAATAGTAAATAAAAAATGAATTTAATAAAATGTTAAATAAGTATAATATTATATTTGGAAATTATGATTTGTAATATAGAAGACTGAAGACTGCGACTAAATAAGCATTTAAATCAGATCAAGTTCACCTTAAAATATGCAATAGTTAAACAAAACGCTAATAAGCAGTGATTGAAATCTAAATGGCACTAAAAAAATTAACCTGAACAACTCTCATGTCGAGACCAGTATCAGCAGCTAATTGTTCTCGAACATGCCTTGCTGGTTTTGAACTTGTTTGATAAGCTTGTTTCAATGTTTCTAAACTTTTTGCTGATATTGTAGTTCTTGGCCGTTTTGCATTCGAATCAATATCCATTTCTAAAACAGATTTTCTCGAGTAAAATGTAAACTTCGCCTTCGCTACTGTTGAAATATAACTCACTAAAAAGTGCCCTTTTTGATATTTTAATAATTGATTAAGCAATTAATGACATGGAAAATTTTTTTCAAGGTGAAGAGATCAAAGGATGACTTTTTCTATCGAAAATTTTTTATGTGTAGTCAAAAATTGATCTGCAAACTTTTTCACATTTAAGATATTCAAGACAGTAACCTTTGGTTTTGGCCATTTCATAATCAGATTTACAAACCAAACGTCCGTCAGTGGGTATCAAATAAAACTCTTCACCAGTTCGAAGTTCACGTTTGCAGATGATACATTGAAAACAAGATACGTGATAAACGTGTTCATTAGCTCGCCTTACCACCATATCAGGACAAATTCCTTCGTCACACATTGAACATTTTGTACCAAATCGTCTGCAACTGCAGCAAATTATTTTTACTGGAAAAATGAAGTACGACTTATGTTCAAATTTATGATAAAGAATTTTGTTAACAATTGGACAGACTCATATTTCTGTAGTAACTATATTTCATTTAATCAAATTTTATTATAACAAAAATATCATGAAGACCATTATGGGCTATATCGTCGTCATTCGGCTTCTTCGGAACGTCATGGTTGCGGAATGGTTGGATACAGCGTAATATTGACCAATTAAAAGAGGTGAAAAATATTAGTTAATAACCCCTGCCACTTTATTTTTAGTCCTAATCATTTAATATTCTTTCGTTAGCTTACTTCAACTTCAGCATTACCTAAATTTACGATGAAAGAATAAATCGATTTAAATTTGCAGTAAATTTATAAATAATATACTTGTAGAAATGATCCTTGCAATACGGTTGTCCACCCTTTAGATAACATTTAGATGAGAGAAGTTGTTCGCAATGAGCACACCGTAAGCATTGTGGATGAAATGAGCGATCGAGCACTTTGAGGACGAATCGATCACGAATAGGCTCTTCACATTTACTACATAGATACACTGTCCCATGCCTATTACTGCTAATGGTTTGTGCTATTGCAGTTCCTTAATTTAACTTTATTAATTAAATTCTTTAAACACTTTCTTATTTATAGCTCACAAGCCTGAATTGTACCATTACGATGATTGTTGTTAGGCATTGTATAGTATACAATGTAGTTAGAGCATGCAGCATACACTTTTTATTTCAGTAAATTCCAACATTAAATTAAAGTAACCAATTATTTGTGTGATGCATACAGGTAAATAAATGTAAAACGAGTAAGCCTTACAATTCCACTGTAACTTTTTGTTGCAGTTTGAATTTGGAATGCCTCATTAAGAGAAATTAATGTATCATATGAAAATTGATGGGATATTTATAAATATATACATGCATGCGATAGCTTTTGAAATATCCCAATTTAATCTCAAAATATACTTTTTTTTGTTACAGAAATAATTTATAAATTATGTATAATAATTTCAATTTTCAATTATCAACGGCTTACATAAAAATAATATCTTTTGTTTTGATATAAATTCCTTGAATAATGGATGATTGCTTTCTAACAACTATCTCTCAGTAACGAATATATGACAATTGTTTTTAAGGAAGAAGGATAATTTATATCAAAATATATTAAAAATTAAACTTTCGATTTATAAATTTATTAAGTAGAAAAAGAATTAGAAAGTCTATCAGATTACAAAAATTGAAAGCTTTTATTGGTTAGAATGAAAATTAAAACAAAAGCTTGGTGTGAAAGAGAATCAAGAAGAGTGAAAGCATGAAAATGAAGGAAATTTCGGTTTGGGTGAAGAGTTATGAATTGAATTAATTTCTAACTCAATTCTAAGACAATGAAAGGATAAAATTATGCGCAGTAGGCCCTGCTGTGGCATTTCCATAATTGGGGATGAGATGTGACAGAAATGTATTTTCTTGTCGAGGAATGGCAGATGGAAATATCAGTCTGATGCATATCAATTATTTATAATATTTCAATGCATATCATTCAGTTTCTGCTACTTTGTCAATTATGCTTATTTGCTCAAAGTTTTATCATATGAAAGGTGAAAGGTGAAAAGTTTGATTTGGATAAAATTTTGTAATTTACAATTGTCTGAATGATTTCAATTTGTTTTATCTTTAATTCTCCAAAATTCCATAATATTATAATATTAATTAAATTTTTCATGCTAAACAAAAGTAAAAATTTAATGAAAAAGACAATAATTTCAAGCCAATTTCTTTTTAAAACATTTCAAACAAAGAAACATAAAAAAATCATTAAAAAATTAATTTCAACTTTATTTTAAGCTGATTGATATTCCTTTTTTAAACTTTTTCCCAAAACGCCTACGATTAGAATTGAGTTGTTTTTTTAAAGCTTATTTTTAAATTCAATAAAATTTACATTTATTCTCTTAATCCCAGAAAGCATCATTTTATATTTCTACTGAAAGTTTTGACCAATCAGATGAATTTTCTAATTTAAAAACGAAATCTTTTGTCAAATGCTCAGTTAAAATGTTTTCTCATTAAATAGGCTTCCAATGGCTTTCTTCGGAAAGCATTAAAATTAGCACTGAAAAGATGGACTATAAAAAAGATTACGGTATAGTTTTTAAGCAAATAAGGTAAGGCTTATCTTTTGCTTTTAAAATCCTATAAAAGGAACTATAGCGGTAATGTTTCGCTCAGAATTTTCCTTTCTCAAATCACATGGGAGTTTTAATATTTCCACTCTTCTCTCATAAAAATAGAAAAATGGGAAATTTCATGGATATGATTTAACATCAAAGTTAAATTTTCCATTGTTCTCTATCTCTGCCATCATATTCAATGGACGGATCGAAAATTAGTTATTCCTTCAATTGATTAATTTTTTAATGTGTCAATGATAATGTTTTGTTGAAAAAATTTGCTATAATTATTACATTATAGTTGTAATTCTTAAATTTAAATTTTTTAAAATAAATTCTTGCAATTGGCATATTACACGATAACAAATCACATTTGTATTTTCTGCATCTGAAAAAATTTGCAATGCGAAAATGCGAAAAAATCAAAATATTACTGACAACACGAAAAATAATATTTAAATGTGTGTGTAAAGCTGCATCATGTGGTGATATTATATTAAATAATCCGAATACTGTAAGTTGTAGAATTTTTTTAATTTTTTCATTTCTGCTTTGTATTACAATAATACAGTCATTATCCTGAAAGCCTAAATTAATTTTGTTATTTTGATGTTCGCAGTAAAATCGAGCAGGAAAATGTTTTCCTTAAAAGAGAAACGTTAAAAAACGTAAACCAAATTCTTCCGAAAATTTTCCTGATAAATAGTATTTAGAACGAAGCTTTCTTGGAAAATGAAAATTAAAATCAAGCGGATATTTTCCAATTTTCAATAATTCCGTACGTATATAAAAGAACTCATATTTATTACGATCATCACTCTACTCAAAAACTTATTTTGATACTGATTGCCGTTACGGTAGTTTCAGAAAGTTGTAAAAGGTCATTAAAAATTGTCGCATATTATCGTCGTGTGACATAGGTTTGATATGGTCCACAACAAAATTGTAATAATTAAATTAAATACAATAAAAGATTTCTCAAAGTTAATAAGTGAAGTTTATTCGACATTAACGCAATGAAGATACAATGAAACTATTCCATAAAAATGAAAACAAAAATTAGTTATATATCCTTCTCAATACAAAATTTCAAATTCATAATTTAAAAATCAGAATTTGTATAAATCGTCACTTTTGTTTTAAAATTGAATTTTCCTTCATACATATTTTTCGCCAATGCGAAAGAATGTGAAATAAACGAGCAAATATTTACAGGAAGGGAAGCGGAAGATATCTTTCAATTGTTTTCATAATTGATGCCATTGAATGGAAGGAAATGGCTAATAAAGGCGGAATAATATGCTTTCAAGCTATCACCACCACTTTATAGTTGGCAGATGTGCTTCTCGAGCTATCCTTTTTTTCCACAACTGACAATTTTCTATTGATAACTTATTACTTTCTGTAAATTATATTCATAACATGTTTGTGAGTGTGTGTATGTGTGTGTGTGTGTATATGTGTTGTGTACCATACAAAATGATACCAGTTTTCAAGGATAAAAAGAAAGTGAAGAATTAACTGAAGAAAAAATTTCCGATTTATTATACTGAATTTGAAGTTTAAATTACCTATGAATCTATTCTATAAGAAAAATTTTTTTAAGCTTAACTAAAATCATTCCTGAGTTTACCGTATCAGAAAAATTAATCCGTTTACTATCTGAAATTACATTTCTAGTAAAATCATTTATTTTTTGTCATTTATAACTAAAAGGATTAATTTCGGTATCTATCTAGCATTGTAAAAATTTTTAAGGTGGAAATACTTGCAGTATCTATATGGTTTTGTTTATATGAGAAAATTTTAAGTGAGGAATTATAGTTTTTTGTGTATGTGAGATTTAGATTTAAATGAGAATGAACAGAGTAAGAAATAAATTCAGAAACCCCCAAAATGAGATGCCTTTCTTCTAGCTTAGAAATTTTATGAGATTCAATAAAATTTATCATTCATGAAAGGTCTAATGCTAGACAATAATATGTATATGCAAAGATAGAAAAGGATTTGATGCCGACTTAGGCCATCTGATTTAGAAAGATTTCATCTGTAGAATGTAGAGATTACAAAGTCTGAGATTAACTATAAGCAGAAATCCTACTGATTGGAAAGAAAGCATACGGATAATCGCTTTTTCTGACTATTACGGTTGCCGAGGAAACGAACCACATCTTATTAAGGTAATCTTTAAAAGATAAAGTTCTTTCAGGAAGGTCTCGCAGGAAGAAAAATACTACAAAAATATGGTCAGCACTTGGAAAGTATTGGCTTTTTATCAGAAATTTCGATTAAATGACACTATGGGATTGGATACTTGTCATTCCTTGACCTCTTGCCCCAACCTTTGACTTCAACCTTTGGCATGTTAATTGTAAATATTGCACTAGTTTTTCTTTTGGAAATAAAATGAATAAAATGTAAGAAATATCATTTTATTTCAAAAATTTTTTAGATTATTGAGAGAATGAAAAGAAAAAATATGGATGGACTTGGTTGTCAAGAATTGTGTGCTCTGTTTACAATTTATAGTTGACTTTATCATATGAATTATTCTTGCATGGTTTTGCTTATCAAGTTTGGACAGTTATAGTATTACCTAATGCTGATGATGAGTGAGAAGGGAAGAAGAGATATGTGACTGTCATTAATATCTGTAATTGTGAATGTATTTTAAAAGAAGAATGAGAAACAGAAATGGTGAACGTACCCGGTTGCTGATGATTAGGTAACGAGCAAGTATCTGGTATGGTAGTTGTAATCGTAGACATTCGAATAGAAAGCTTTTAAACTTTGGATTCGGATTGAATCCCGAATGTTGTATGAAAGCTATGCCTGCTGTCGGTAATGGTAGATAGATGACGATAATGCCGCCGTTGTTGTGAGAGTTAACGTTCGAAGCAAGCAAGGGCGGAGCATCTTCTTGCAAGCCTAGCCTTTTCCTTACCTACTTGGCCTCAATCTGTATATTGCTTGCCAAAGAGTTATATGAGATAGCACTAGGATCATCTTTTCACTTAGTGAACAATTTCATCCTAACCTGGGAAGCACTCATTTAAATATAAGAAATAGCAAATTAGAATTCATAATTGTCGAAAAAGGATCAATTCAGCTCACACCCATCCCCATTTCCAGACGAAATGGATATTAATCCCTCAAAATAGAAATATTGTATGAAGGTAGCACAGAATGAGCTGCAAATTACAACTGCAACTGCATCTGGAACTACAACTGCCACCTCCAATGAACGAAATGAATGAATGAGATGCATTAGAGAAATGAAATGAGTGTGCATGTGCAGCTTATAGAGCTGAAAACCAGCAAATCCGCATGCAAGTGCAAACCACCGTAATACTAGCAATATAAATTCCTCCTTTCTTTCCTGCTTCACTACTTCAATCTTAAGATTTTCTAGTCATTTAAACAAATTTTCTTTAAAATCTCATTAAAATTTTACTTCATTTCTATTATAACAAATAGGATGATATGCATGATATTTGCTTATTTATGCAATTGATTGTAAAAGTTGCCAGCCATTGCTATGACAGTAAAAGACAATCATTATTATTTATTTCTTTTACTCACTAAATATCATCATTTTATTTCTTGTAATTTTCGGTTAATTTCGATTGGACATTAATATATTCACCTGCTCCTGAATAAAAAAGTCTTTTAATTTTTTATATTTTATTT